TCACCGTGCCTGTAAATAATCCTCCGTATTACTTCCAGATGTCCCTCTACTTGCACAGTGGAAGTGAGACTGAAGCCTACTGGAAGCTGCTATTCTGAGCACTCGAACCAGAAAACAGAGACTTTCCTCTGCCCGCCTCTCTGCCGCCCGCGTCTTCCCAGCATGCCCGGCCCATACCTGCCCACATGGCACACGTTCCAGGATCCACAGTTGAGGCTGCTTGCTAACCTGTTTTACTTTGGTTCCCAGTTTACACACTCACTGGTTCCCTGGCTAGTGACGTACTTATTATTCAGGTAAACACAGTCAAAAAAAAAATTAATTTAAAAAATTCCAGAAATTGTTTGTTCCTTTCTGCGACTCTTCTCAAATGAAGGTTAGAGGAAGCTCTCGCATTACTCCAGGAGTTCTAGGAACAGACCGCAGTTCTCGGTATGAGGGATGGACCTGCGTCCGTGTTCTGTCACTTTCTGTGGCTTGACTCGTATCCAGGCTCCCCTTACTTTTCTTGCCCTTTTTCGCCGTGGCGTCTTTGCACACAGGAAGGTATTAACTACCGATGTCGCCAACTGATACCCATTAATGCTGTGTGTCTGTTCATCTAACGACTTCCTGTCCTTTCCAAAGCAGGGGCAGCAAAATTAAATTACAGAGCCCCCTGTGTCTCTGAGCAGGGTATAACCATAATCACTAACTTCTTTTATTATATTATTTTATTGTCCCAAGCAGAGCTACAAAAAAACAGAAATGAAAGCCATAAAACCCAGTTCTCACAGATTCTTGCAGTAAATGCTGATCGTGAAGTCAGCCTTGCGATGTGATCATTGCCTTACAGCTGACCCCGCTGGCTGCGGGTGCGTCTGTGCTGATGCTTGCGATGACACGGAGGGCAGCGCGCAGAGCGAGAGCCCCGGGGGACCGGCAAAGACGCGTAATCACATTTCATCCACCCTAGCAGTCTTGAACAATATGAGGGCTCACGGGTAATAAAGTCACTGCTTCTACCCTCGAACAAACCGAATAGTTGGCGCACGATCGGCCGCGATCGCGTTTCTCTTAGCGCCTTTGCCGAGTCAACGGGGCGGGTAATGAAAGTCTATATCGCGTTAAGCTCGTCACCACCGCGGCAGCTGGTCCTGAGTGACAACATAGGCTGTTTTTTTTTGCTTTTGGAAAGCAGAGCTTTTCCATTCCCGGTTTCTTCCAGGCTCTCAAGTAAGGCCACTATGCTTGACTGTACGTCATTCGTGTGATGACACATCCAACTGATCTTTAAAGAAGACTATGGGGTTTCACCAGGACAGGCAAACCCCTTCAATTCTTCTTATGGTCTTTGTCACCCATCCTCCGGTTTCAAGACCAAACAGTCTTCAGTAACAAGAATATTACATCAACAAATTGGATATGGCATCTGGTTTTAAAAACAGTACAAATCCATGACATGTTACTGAAATGTGACCGTATGTTGATATATATGTTTTGATACTTATAACTAGAAATGTTGTACAGTTTCATGTAATGACACAAATGGAGTAACAGAGGCGTCAAATGTGGCTTTCCTTATTGTAATAACTGTTGTAATGTTGATAAATGTGTAATGGCATGGAGTGTACAGTGACATATTTGCCTTTGTCCTTTGGGTAAATTCAACTGAGCTAATAGTCACACTTCATTGCAGTTTAGAACATTGTGTTAAGTGCCTCTCATTAACGGTTTGCCTTCATAAATCTCAGCTTGTTTAGCTGTGTACAGCAGTCGCTACACTTGACTATGGATGAGTGGGTTTGCAGTTGCAATTGCATATTTACGGATGACATTAGTGGAAGTATTTTTAAATCTTAATTACATCTTGTTCTATGTTATGACTTTAAGCGTTTACTTATCACATGATTGTCTAAAATGGGATAATTTAGGTGGCTTATTTTCGCGAGATGGACATTTCTTTCCCCTGGTATTGAGATGTGCGGTATCTTCCTGACATGTGGCACGGTTTAATTAAAACTAAATCCATCTGCCGGGTTTTCAATTAGCTCGGTCTGCCAGGCTGCGTGTGACATTTTTAGCGAGATGCTTGTTGACTGGGCCCAAAGATGTCCTGACTTTGCCCCGGATAGACTGCTACACGTTGGAACAAAACCGATTTTTGATTTTAGCCATGACCGGAACCTGTCTCTTTGCATCGACAGTATAAGTAATCACCAGCGCTGTGCCAGTTGGACGCCAGAAGAAACACCCTGCATTGAATGGTTCAGCTGCATATACAGAAATTGGCCTGGATGAGTTCTGGATATTTTAAGTGAAATGTGTCAAAAAGAATTAATGCCATTATGGAAAGATTTCTGCGGCTTACTGATCTGACATTAAAAGGTCATTCTACATCGTTCCAGTGTGTTGGCTTAAAGCTTTCTATACTGGCTCATCTTATTACGGCTTGGCAGCTAGCGATTTGCCAACGTCAATCGTTAATAGCGACCACCCACTTGCTGCTTACTCACACCTTACCCGGTCTCAGTCTCTACAACTAGCAGGTTTTTTTGTTGCCATTACTGGCAACAGCAATGGATAATCAAACAATATGATTGATAGTCATGATTTTTGTTTCCTGCTCTTGAGTCAGTAGAGTAAGCTGGACGATATATCGCTAAAATATCATACTGTGATTATGTGCATTAATGTTGTAATCGATTAGAATACCATGACTATTGTGGTACAGCCAAGGCACTAGTTTTCTTGCATAATTTTCAGTCATTATTTTTAAACAAAATCCATCAGAATATGAGTCTGTTGTTGCTGTAATTTATCATTACACCTGTCATATGCTCCATAACTATTAGTAAAACAATTTGGTCGTCATAATCAGAAAAAAACCCACCTGTCATATTTTACTGTTTTCTCTATAATATCTAATATCGTGATAAATATTGTAAACATCTCTGAAAATATTGTGATGACATTTTAAGGGCATATATCACCCAGCACTATGGTAGTGTGACATTGGGAAGATTAAAAAGTAGTTTGATTTAGTAGTATAACTAATGTATATGTATTACAGTAAGAGTGCCAGATATCCGTTAGCCTTTGGGAAAATGCTGTGTTAGATCTTCTTAGTTCAGAATCAGTAGCAGTTGTTGTAGCAATGGATGGAGGAGCAGTAACTGTGGCTGTAGTAATGGATGGAGGAGCAGTAACTGTGGCTGTAGTAATGGATGGAGGAGCAGTAGCTGTGGCTGTAGTAATGGATGGAGGAGCAGTAACTGTGGCTGTAGTAATGGATGGAGGAGCAGTAACTGTGGCTGTAGTAATGGATGGAGGAGCAGTAGCTGTGGCCATAGTAATGGATGGAGGAGCAGTAGCTGTGGCTGAGCGTGAGGCCCGATCAGCGGTTGCTGCCACTTAAATACCCATCTCTTCCTGCTGCCCTTTCAGCGTTGGTCTGCTCTTCCAGTAAAACGCCCCCAGTGTTTCTCCTGGCAGGAGGGGAAAGGCCAGGCCGAGTCAGGCCACACGGGAACGTGAAGCCGCAGGACCTGCTCTCGCTGCCAGCGCAGTGTTTGTGTGGCCCAAGGGTGACCCCGCATGGCGCTTCCCCCGCAGCCTAAGCTCCACCGTGTGTCTCTCTCTGCTAACGCTGGCCAGAGGAGTTTCCGCGCCCTCTAAGGAGAGCCTGTGCCTTCATTGGTACAGCGCTGTTTATATCTTTGCATAAAACACAAACGCTGATGCTGGGCTGATATTTATCAAGAATTAATCATTTGCTTCATGCTTTGCCACTTGACAATCATGGATGGCCAACATGCCAGTGCTTCTGTAATGGGCTTTTCAGACTAAATGTTGCGTGTCTGTTGTCTGAATTGTCATCTTTTCAACTAGTGATAATTATTATGGTTATCACTTATGATATTGACACGTTTTATAAAGTTTGCAGTTTGTTGTCCGTGTCGGCTAGGATGGAACAGGGTCCATCTGTAGGTGAATGTGTTTATGTATGCAGCTGAATTGTAGCGTTGGCTGTTTTAGTGACTATAGTGATTTTCATGGAAAAAGGAATATCAAATTTACATATGTTCCTTAAATCACATTAAAATACAGTGGGCAACCCCTGCCTTGCCATCATGAGGAAAGCCCGTTTAACACCGAACATACCTGCCCCGGTCTTGTTAAAGCAGGGCATCTCCCCACCGCGATGTGTACTGGGCACATGATGCTGTTGGCTTGACCGGAGCCTCAGTGGGGTGCTGCTTTGTTTTTTGTGGTATGTTTCACAACTAACCAAGCAGCAAACCGTGCTGGGTCTATAAAGTCTTTGATTAAAGTAAATATTTGCTCGAATCTCATAGATCAATTTCCCTAGTGCTTGGAATTGTGGAATTTAAAATACCAGAAGGAAAATTCTGTTTTTACTTAGAGTCAGACATTTAATTTTGATTAGTTAAAGTTATGGGTTCCGGTTAAGTTTTATTTTGTTAGTCTACTGCTCTCCATGTCTGTCAACACCGGATCCCAGGGACAGCAGTGCTCGGAGCGAGACGAATCTCACCAATGAAGTATGTTAATTTGTGTCTAAAAAAAACCTCTTGGGACGATGTAGTAGTGTAATGTCACTGCTTACTTGGGGAGAGTGGCCTTGGCCAGGGTTTGCTTTCTCAGAATTGTAAATACTTAGAGATTTTTCAAGCCTTATCGTTCCAGTGTTTGATGTCCACTGGCTCCCACGCTCATTAGCAAGGTCTATGAAAGTTCGCTTTGATTCAAAATATGCAGGCCGTCAACCTACCGGAAGTGACTGAGCATCCCTGGGATGGGGTATGTCATGATTGGTGGCTCTCCATCTTTAGAGGGGTGTTTCACTCATCTTAAAATCCATGTGGTACCTCATCACCGTGACCCGCGGCGCCGGATTCCCAGCCGTTCTGACTGTGGGACCGGCCACCTGTTGACATGATCAGTGGGTTCGTGCCTGTTAAGTAATTTCCGCGCATTCTTTCTGTCTCCATCCATAGCCAAGCCCTTCACATCAACAGTCAAGCAGATGAGGCTGCACAAGGAGGACTTTGAGATCCTCAAGGTGATTGGCCGTGGAGCGTTTGGAGAGGTAAGCCCCCATTGACTGCCAAAGAGTGAAGTTCTGATGAAGAAGCAAAATGAAGTCATTCAGAGCCGGGGGAAAAAACAGAATGGTTAATGGCTTGGATTACGATGTCTATTTTATTTCCAGTTGCCTGTCGTCGTCGTTTCCTAGCTGGATAAATATACAGCGCATATTTCCAGTATGACCCAATTTGTTGAAAGAAAATGCCTTTGTTCCATTTCAAAATAATAAAAAGAAAATTTAAAAAGAATCAGGGCTCATTTAGCCACTTTAAAATCCTGCAGCCAGAATTAATACCGACTGAACTTTATTTGACGTGTTTATAATGAGTGATTGTGTGTGTGTGTGTGTGTGTGTATGTGTGTGTGTGTGTGTGTGTGTGTGTATGTATATTTCCATACCTCTCAATTTCACGCTCAGGGATAAACGGAGCGCTAAGTGCAAAAGCCTTTCATTAAAACTGCTCTGCTATTTTTGAGAAAGAAGAATATCCAGATTCTTCAACTTTTACAGTTTGTGAATGGAGGAGATTTGATTATACCTCCTGGATATCTGAGGGGGTTGAGGGGGGTAAACAGTGACAGGTGTGCTCCACAGGCAAGGTCTGATGCTGGCTCCTCGCCACGCTACAGCAGTGTATATGATTTGGAGCTTAAGCTCATTCTGTCCCATTGCTGGCTATGCAGTCTAGACAGTGTTTATGTGTTGCCCACCTCTGTGCCTGCGGGTCCTGGTGATCTGGGGTCCTTCAGAACGCAGGCAGGCAGAAACAGGACAGCCTGGAGCAGCTCGGTGTAACTCAGCAGCCGCCTGCTACTCTTCAGCAAACCGTCACGTGTGCTTGGCCCGTCAGCTTTGTTTGTCTGTTTGCCTTGCTTTCTTCTTCGGCTCATTTGCTTTGTCTAATCTTTTTCAGTGTCTCAAAGTTGTTTTTTCTTCTTTTACTTCAGTTGAAAAACCAGAGTCTTTCTGTTCACCCGTCTGTCTATTGTTCTTCGGTTCATCAGATAATATATTGTAACCCTTTAATGAACTGACAGACAGCTGGGAGCTGCGTTCCTGGCCTCTGACTTAGCGCTGCACGTATTCAGAAACCTGTGGAGGCAGAGTTCACAGCAGTGATGTCATCTGGATTCGTTACACGAGAGTGCAGGCAGGGCTGACTCCGATATACACCCGGCTTCTATTTAACCGAGTAATGTTACATGTTTAGGGTCAGATCCCCTTAACCCCTCCCCTCTGTCTTTAGTCTGCATGGCAGTGGTTATAGGAAGTTTTTTAAACCCCCCCTCATTTTTTCTAGAATTGAAAAGAAAATCTCGTAGCACAAAGCCCTCCGTCTACTCCACAGCTAGCTGTATGAACCAGGACAGCATTTTAGTGAAATACATATTTTCTAATATGTCCAAATAATGGTTCAATAATTTAAGGATTTGTCAAGTTTAATAAGAAAAAAATCGAAGATTAGATAAATTAAAACAAGATTTGCACAATATCTGGAATATTCCGTTAGTAAACTACATGTAATTCCCTTCTTACACTCCTAACAGAGATTAATTCTTATGAATTACGAATTTGTTGAGAAATGAATTTTCGCTTGGCTATTTAATTTGCTTTCGTGTATTGCTGCATTTTTATAAAAATGATACGGCATGTTGTCAACCGCATTTTCTTCCTGTTATTTGTGACCAGGCTTGATTCATGTTACAAGGTTTTCAGTAATAAAAATGGAGGAGCATCTCAGGATGAAAGGAGAGGGTCTCCGGGCTGCTGACCGAGCAGCTGCACAGTCTGAAGGCTATTTGATGGGAACTGCAGGTTCTGATGTCATTTGATTGGATTTCTGGCTCGGACGCTATTTGATTGGCCTTCTGGCTCTGACGCTATTTGATTGGCCTTCTGGCTCTGACGCTATTTGATTGGCCTTCTGGCTCTGACGCTATTTGATTGGGCCTTCTGGGTCTTGGATCGTGGCGCCAGCCTCAGTGGTTACAAATAATCTTGTCACAGGAAATGCCAAAATATTTTCCATCGCTTAAGTAACTTGAAGGAGTGTATATATAGGTTAAATCAGTGTTCAATATCTATACATTTCAAGTCTCTTCTGTTATATGTCTATATTGATCATGTTTTTATATTTAAATAAATGTATATGTATGTAAAATTTATCTCTCATTCCTTTTATGATTTGTGACTCATTTTAGTAAGTATGCTTGCACTTATATTTAGTACATATGCTTTTGTGTCTTAAAGTATTTGTTCTTTGGAGTGTTAAGTGTTAGTAGATTACTCCTACTGATTATTAAATTCCGGGGTCTTTGGGAACATACATGTCCTGACCAACACCACAACAGGGATGAATGAATTCCCCAAAATTAGGTCATTCAGAAGTCTTGAGGTTTTTTTTAACATCTTGTCTCCTGTCTAAAAAAAATCTCTGCCCTATATTGTCTTTAATCAAATTTCTGAAAATATTCTGTTTAGAAGACCCTTTCTAAGAAATTAAGTCACTGAATTTGACCAATAAAACACAGCTCAGAGTCATAAATGTATATAAATTCTTTTTATGTTCCACTTCCAACATGGCTGGTTTGCTTACTTTTCTTAATCCCAGCTCATTCAAAAAAATTCAGTTGCATCCTGAAATCACTGCCATCTAGTCATAAATCAGGACATCAGCACTATTCTATGCTTTTTAGAACTTTGTTAATGGAAGTAATGTATCGTTATTGGAAGTAGTGTAGTGTTATTTGCCAGCTGGGTTGTACCGTTATCTGTAAGGGACTGCTACAAATTAACAGATGGAAAAATGTTAGGTAATACTTTACATTAACTGCACCATCATAATTTCTTTATAATGCACTTGTACAACATTCAGTGCACCTTCATAAAGCATTCATAGAACATTCATAATCAGTAAATATACCTTAATGTCCTAACATGCCTTAGTAGCTTTAATATACATTAAAACAGACTTTATGTTATAATAACAAACATTATAATTGTATAATGTTTGTTATTAATGTATAGTAGAGTTAAGGTAAGCAAAAGCATTAGCAAATATTATACTAATAAAAGGTACCTTTCTAAAGTGTCATCCAAGGGAGGCAACAACACAGTTTAATGATGAGCACGTTTTTCCATGGTATGCAGCTGTTTCCGTGAGCTGTTGTAGGCCTTAGGTCTTTCACTCTTATAGTCTGACTTGAGAAAGCGCAAGTTAGCAATCATCTAAGGAACAAGAAAAGAATGAAAAATAGTATCACGGAATGTTTTGAATTCCTGATTGTAGTGTTGTGTTGCCACCCAAGTCTGGACTGATAACTGAATCTTTTCACCTAGTTGCTTCACCTAGATTTTGATGATTTCTGCCAAAGAATGCAGGGAAAACTGTGCAATGCGAGAAAGTGTCAGTGATGCTTGTGATGACTGCAGTGTTCTGGATTTTAGGAGAACTTTCTCCTCCCGTCCCACCAGTGCTGAGTGAATAGCAATTATTCTTCAGATTTGTGTGATGGTGGTGAATGTGTCTGACAGGGAGGCGGCGTGGAGCACCATAGCGGATGACCAGCACGTGACAGGAACGTGCAGAGAGTCAGAGTGGGGGAGCCGGAGCCAAGGACAGTATGGTCTCCGATCAGGGTCTCCAGAGAGGAAGAACTATGTTGGAATTCGTTTGTTTTCAGTGTTTCTGTTTTTGAACGTCTCCTGCCTCTTTCCAGACATCCACAAACACTTCACCCCATTGGCCACTACAAGTTTTATGCACAGTAGCCATCGGAGTACAGACCTTGCTTAATAGTGATGATTGTTGTTGATGTTTTCCAAAGTGGAATTTTGACTCATCTGTCCAGGGCTGTATGATGCAGCATTCATGCAGTTTATTGATGCTTTACATGTCTTGCATTTCAGATCTTTGACTAAGACTTAGACATACACATCCTCCAGCTGAAGTCATGATCTATGTGTTAACATATGTGTGAGTCTATGTCTTATGTTGTAGTCTGTGTGTTAACCTGTGTCTTAGCCTGTGTCTTTGTGTCTTAATCTGGGCTATAGTTTGTGTTTTGGTCTGTGTCTTAGCTTATGCCTTGGTCTGTCTTAGTTTATGTCTTAGCTTATGTCTTGGTCTTTGTCTTAGCTTATAACGTAACATACACCTTGGTTTTTGTATTAGCTTGTCTTAGCTTATGCCTTGGTTTGTGTCTTAGCTTACATCTTGGTCTGTGACTTTTTAATGGGAGAATCAAGTCTGAATAGAGCCACTGTGTGGCCATCATAGTATTAAATTATTATTTTCTTAGGAATAATAGGCATTTAAATATATCCCTCTTCTGTCCATGTTTAACACTTGATGAATTAATGAATCTTCAAAAAGCACCACAGTTCCATTCCTCATCCTCATTGGCTAGATTGTTGCCATAGCAGTTGAAATAGAAATGCAGCCTGAGGTGCACACCCTGCAGCTAGACTGAAAAGAGGGCAGTTTGAGCAAACCGGGCCTTATCTCTTTCATGTCACTGGTATTGGATCTCCCATAAGCCGTGGGCCAGTTATGTGACCCAGAATCTGTTGATCCCAGAGTGACCCAGCTAGAGTGAGCTGTCAGGGAGCAGCTATTCACAGGGTTACTGCTGAGTGGGGTGGCACTGCAGAATCATGCATGACTTGGCAAAGGGCTACAGTGCTCATTTGATATGGATCTATGACCTTTCTTTTACTGAGACTGGAAATCTTCCTGGTTACTGCATGGAAGGGAAGTTTCCTGTGTGGAAACTACAGGACAAGGAGTAAAATCAATTTGTTCCCTCCGATAACAGCGCTAGAACTCTGCGTGGAAATGTGCTGGCCTCCATGTCGGATCCTTTTACTCGTCTTTGCCCTGGTGAAGAAGAGATTAACATGAGGAGTGTTTTTTGTCTCTGTGTGGTCACATTCCAAGCAGGAGTTCCAAGGTGTGCAGTGTTTGTCACACTTGGTAGTGTAGGGGCACCTGTGCTGACCAGTAGGGTGGGTCACTTAGTACATCTGTCCAATAAATCTGCAGGATTAGGATCATGTGACAGGAAGGAGAAAAAACAGTGGCTGTTTAAACCCCTGAATCCAGCATGGCCACAAACACAACACAGGAAGGAAATGCGGTTGACAATTACTTAAGCAGCTTCAGAAGTCAAACTGGAAATTAATGTGAACAACGTGCCAGATAAACACTTATTCTTATTACTAGTGTTTATGTGATGTGGCAATGGAAAGACTAAGTGAAGATTGTTTGCGCAGTGAGTGGTTTGCGTGTGCCTTTCTCACGCATTTAAATTGAACGTTGACATATTCATTGGTCTGTTTTTGTAAGGCTTTGCTGCGGTTGGCCTAATGCTTTGTTTTGTCGAGGAACACCACTGTGCCCTCCCTAGTGATAGCCAAAGCGAACTACCATCGTTCAGGCCTTGACAGGCAAAAGTCTGTCACCCATAGGAAGCTGACCTACTTATACATCTGAATGCAAAAGACGGCCAGGAAGAGGAGCAATCCAGGACATGGAGAAGTCTAGTTTGCTCAATTCCTTAATGCAAGTGGGCTGAAACAGGCAGATTTCACAGATATTTACTTAAACTTTACTTAATGCTGGTTTTTGAGAGCCCCAGTAATGTAAGGTATAATATTTTATTGCTGTATCCAGTGCACTACTGCTTAGCATTTACTCGGTCACCTGAATGAGTGGTGTCACTAAGGGGACAGGTAGATGGCTGACCTGTTCAAAGTGATCACAACATCAGCTTCCCTTGTAAAATGTTAGCCAAGCTGCAAGGTCAAGGTGATGAAATATCGTTTATTAGCAAAGAAGCATTATGATGCTGCAGTTGTAATCTATGTGTGCTGCATCTAATCCCTCATCTTAACGTTGTGCTGATTTACATTTTATCTGTATTCATAAATGTATATATGGCCGCTGTAATGTACTACTGCATGTTTGTTCTAGCTGTAAGAATTTCCCCCTTTCCCTGCTCAGCAGGTTCGAGGAATATTTTGTCGTTCCTTGTGATGTTGTTTAACAAGTTGACACAAGTAGAGGAGACAGACAGGTGGAGGCTGAGGTTTTGAGACTGGCATAATTACAAGTTTGCCTAAACTAAATATTTTAATCCCCAAAGAAAAGACAAAGGCCTCCTGTAGCTGTACTTCCATGCATAAAATGATTACAGACTGAATTTATTTGGGTTTAAATATGTGTGGGGGGGGTATGTATGTATCACATTGTAGGGACATTTATAAAAACAATGTAATATTTGTTTGGTCCCCACAAGGGAACAAAAATGCCCTAAGTCTCGTATTGTGTTTGTTTACTTATGGGTAAGGTTAGAGCTGGGTAGGGGTTAAGGTTGTCGTTGCTGGCATTAAGGTTTTTTCCCCATAGTAATGAATGGATGATCTACACAAAATATTTATGCAAAAGTGTATCTGTGTGTGTGTGTGTGTGTGTGTTTACGTTTACATTTTGTTTACTACATTGAAATGCTGGCATCTCAATCTCTTGCTGCAGTTCAGCATCTAACGTGAGATTAAAAAAATGCAAACGCCTCACTTGCTACACATATTTAGAACAAATCCTGCTTTAACTGGCTTACATACAGCATATGGCTTTCACTAACAGCATATCTCAATGACAGATTTGAAAAAACAATGCCTGTATTGCTTTTGACACTCAGATACTGAAAACATATTTTGGTTGCCTGTAAAAATATATAAAAATGATATATTAATGGATCTTAAGCTTAAAAAAATATATGAACCCTGATAAACGTCCATACAAAATTTTGGTATAATTTATGACATATCTAATAATTTCTTAGCCTCATATTTATGTGTGTGTATTTGTCTATTTATCAGTCATGTCTAGTCGTGTGCCTGTTTTGCTGTTGTGTCCGTTTGTCACTGTAATGTACCAACTGTCCAAAAAACTGTCCATGTTAACTGATGACTCAGAATTGCCCTTCGTGTATGACGGACACCCTGCCACGTACCGGTATTATGTGCTAAACCTTACGTGCTACAGAGAGAGACTTCAGACAAGACTTAATTGGGATTAGCTGTTATTGGATAGAAAACAGCCAAAAGTAAACTCCTCATGCATCACCATAAAGGTCATGTCATTTACAGCTTGGAAACATTCTGTAGAAGTTTATTATACTTCTCATTGTGTCTGTGTCTTTTTATATCAGCTGGTATGTGTACATCAGCTGAAAGTATGTGGCATGTAGTTTGACTGCATACAGGAGCAAAGGGAATCTTTACATGCCAGTTTCAATCTGTGTGGCAAAAGCTTTGATGAAAGTACTATTGAAACAGAAATGTGCCAGAAGTTTAAATGCACATTAAATTGAAGGGTGTAGATTTGAGTATGGATTGTAGTGACATCTTCAGTGGGAGTACTGTGTGTGTTTAGGGGGGTGGGGGGGTTTGGGGCTGATTTGGTCTCAATTTGGTCCCCAGCAGGGTTGAAACCAAACCTACACCCTTGGTTAAATGTTTACTGGTTTTGCCGCGCTAGCGACCGGCTGTGCGTCTTTGTGGGAGCCAGCTGACACAATGTTTTGAGAAGCGTCTGAAGGCCCCAAGGCCGTACAACAGAAGTCGTTTGTAAAACTCTGCCCGGCTGGCTGTGTAGCAGCGTGTCCCTTCCCTTGCTTCCCTGGCTATGGCCGTGAGGAGCTTGTGGGACAACAACATGCTATAGCCTTTACTCTTCTTCATTTCTGTTCTGAAGCCTCCTCCGTGTTTCAGGTTGCAGTGGTGAAGGTGAAAAATGCTGATAAGGTCTTTGCCATGAAGATCCTCAACAAGTGGGAGATGCTGAAGAGAGCTGAGGTATCGCTCACCGTTCGCTGAATAAGCCAATCGTCGTAACTAAGTCGACACCTGTTCTCGATCATGTGCCCCCCCNCCTCTCTCATAAGCGTTTAGAGGCTCCTGAAACCATCACGCAGATCTCATCTAACACCATGTTCGTTCAGCCATTCGGGAGAGTTTTACGGGGAAGGTTGACTCTGCCGTATGCTAGAACAAAGCATCGCATTCAGGTTTCAGCCCGTAACATGGGAAAGGCCTCTCAGCAACAGCAGCTTTACGGCCTGTGCCCAAATAAAAGACGTGGTGGATGAATGTGTGCTTAGTAAATCTCAGTATAGTTGTGTGTTTAGACTCCATTCGAGTGTGGGGACTGACAGCCTTGCTTTCTTTTTCCTGCAGACGGCTTGTTTTCGGGAGGAGCGGGATGTCCTGGTGAACGGGGACAGCCAGTGGATCACCACTTTGCACTATGCCTTCCAGGATGACAACTACCTGGTGAGTCACAGCATAACAGACACTGCTGTCCTCTTCTATGTGCCAGCTGGTTCTCACCTTTGGAGAGAGATCTTCTCAGTGTTCTTCTAGAGTCTTTTGCTTCGTCTGATTCTCGTGTGAGTGAGGGAAACGAGAGAGTCTGCTAGTCCAATTGATTTCCAAGCATCTCTTTGGAAGCATTAGTCTGTCTGGGTAGTGCATCTGTGCGCGCACTGGGTAGGTTGTACGCTGTCTGCTTTCATTCTTCATGTAGATGTTGGCTTTCTGTCTGCGTGTGCGATGCAAATGTATAACTACAGCAGATAAGTGAACAAAAACACTGACGCCACTGCGTGTTGATGAGGCAGCCAGAAGTTGATAAGTCTTGAAATGGCATCGGCAAAGAGCCCTCAGCCTCTGGTGCCAGGCTTACCTGGGGTCGGGTTTCTTGATCTCCTGCCAAACACACAAGTGTCTGGGTGTCAGGGTGGTGAAAGGCGAGGCGTCTGGCCGTTTCATCTCCTGCTCAGAAGTCCTCTGCCTTTGTCACCCGCACCAGCGGACCTAAAGCGGAATGTTGACACATTAGCAGTCCGTGGACAGCCAGCTACAGTGGGCGTACCACCCCGTGAACTTCCTGTCAGGCTTTTTTTTGTAGATACCCTATACTCACGACGCGTGTCTGGCAGAACTTCCACCACTTTTATAACTGATTTAAATCCGGCAAACAGCCAGCCAAACGTGCCCTGAGTCTCCTTCTACCTCCTTCTATGCCATTCATGTCTATCTGTTGCGGCTCTGCTGGCTCATGATTCCAAGTGTGAGCTGCAGTTTCCTTGCAAAAAAATAAGAAGATGGTTTTTAAGAGCAGCTTTCTATATGTCATTAAGTTATATATGACTTTCAAAACAAATGTCTTCACCAGGAAAAACTCTTCTGTTGCTGCCAGGACAAATAAATCACAAGTTATTTTGTCTTCCATGTGTTTTAGCAATATGTCTTTGCAAGAACAATCAAGACCCACCCTTCCAAACTGCACCTCTAGGATGTTATTGTGTTGGCCATGGCTGCAAGTGTTCATATATATTATTTGTTCACTGGTCTCTGTGGGCTGCTAAGGGTTTTTTTGTGTGTATATTTGAAGTGTTCTGAGGAGGGTTCCCCAATTCTGGTCCTGGTGGGCCCATCTGCAGATTTCCCAGCAGAAACACACATACTAAACCTGGCAATTAGCTGGTGAGCTGAATAAGATATGATTGTGCACAGAATCCTGCAAACTGTCTTGCAGACTGTCCCTCCAGGACTGGAATTGGGGAACCCTGGTTTAGGGTTTTCCTAAGATTCTTTCTGCTGAATATTTTGTCTTGCCATGCTGAGGTTAAAGTAATAAGTCTTTTGTACTCAAAACCCTAATTACTTCACTGTAGTTCAGAAGCTGTATGTCACATTTGATTAAATCGTCACAGCTTTTTTGAAGGAGTGATATGAATTTGTTCCAGACACAGTAATACTGGTAATCCGCCATGATATCTTATGGCTCTAGTATGATAGCTGCGCTTGGCCAGATTTAGTTATGTCTCTGCAGAGCCCTTTGAAGGTGAGAGACCTCTTGATGCTCATGTCTTTTCCGCAGTACCTGGTGATGGATTACTACGTGGGAGGGGACCTGCTTACGCTGCTCAGTAAGTTTGAGGACCGGCTGCCGGAAGACATGGCACGATTCTACTTGGCAGAGATGGTGTTGGCCATTGACTCGGTGCACCAGCTACACTATGTTCACAGGTGAGACCAGCAGGAGGCAGTGTTCATCATGAGTGCACTTCCACCAGGCTCTGTTTTAATATGGATTTTTTTCCATCATGTCTAAATAAAAATCCATAACATTTTTCTTTAGCAGCAAGGCTGTGTTCTTTGAAGAATGCAGCATCATTAAGGAGAGGGGTCGAAAGTTTGTTCATGGTTTTGGGTCTTGGGTGACATCAGAATGGTCATATCTGTCATAGCTGCAATAATTTCCCAAAAAAGCATTTTGTGGGATATGTGGTTGCCGGGGATATATTGCAGAGTCATGCTAATGCCTTTTCAAGCCCAATTTATTTACTCTTGTTTTGAATATGGGTTACATATTTGTCATAACTATTGTTTCATCCTGAGTATTTTGATACTTCCTGAAATGGCTCATATATGTCCTCATTTTCCCTTTGTCAAACTTGGTGAGTAACAGACACTGCACCACCAAATTTCCCAACAGCCTTCTTTACACTAGTGACCTTGAGATTGTTTTTCGTTTTAAATTTTTATTATTTTAAGTGAGCAATGCACAGAAACAATAGAGGCAGTGTCTGGGACTTCTAAGGATTCCTAGCTGTGGGAAATGTTTGTGACTCTGTGACATTGGAAGTCATTGGCTGTATACATCTCCTTGGTGTTGGACAGAATCCACAGCACTGCCCCTAACTAATCTATGTTTGGCTACGATTGTGAAAGGGCCCCCCAAGCCTTTGTATGTGGGCCCAAGAGGAATAATCTGAGATTTAGGTTTATTTTGCTCTTGTTAATTGTACACTCTTTTTTGGGGTGGGGTGGTCATTTTTTCAGTGTGGAAATCATAATGACTGGTTGGCATTGTGGTGCTGAGATTCCTGATTGCCGTCGGTTTGTGGAGGGTGGGGTCTCGACAGCCCACTCCCTCGAAAAGCAGAGAAGCCATCATTTATAGAAGAACATTGCATGCAGGCATTCCCATGTACGTGCTTTTTTTTGGGTAGCCCTATTCCTCTCAGAGGAGAAGACAGTAGACAGGACAGGCCTGCCAGTGCTATGGTGACCTCTTTCCCTGCCACATTTCCCAAGGGCTGGAACCGCAGTCACGATACCCTGGGGCGGGGCTGCCTTTGTTGGTTGAAGTGGTGCAGGAAGTGCTGTGCCGGCTAGTCTGCGATCTTCCTGTGGATCCCGCCCAAGGCCCCAGCCAAAAACCTCGCTGCACCATGTGGGTGAGGGGAGAAGACCAGGGCAAGAGGAGCCCCCAGTCCTCAGCAGTCACCCTCCTCCCCGGCAGGAGGGAGCTCTTTCATCAGTAATCATGAGTTGAACTCTAGATGGAGGACATTCGGTTTAGCTTGTGGAAAACTGAAATCAATTCTCCCTGTGAAGCTGGAGAAGTGAGCCACTCTGTTTCCTGCGATTCTGCCAAGACAAAGCACCGTGGTTCTTTCTGCCGGAGGAATTTCCGTGTTCCAGTGTGTAGTAACAGCACGCTGTGGATTTTAACGTATAAAATTAATACTGTGTCTGTGCCTGTGTTTTGATTTACAAGGCACGTTTGACTGAGGGGCAGCGTAGCTTGGGAAGGATTACAGGCTTATTAGGGTCAGGGCTGTTCAACTGAGAAGGTTAAGGATGATTCAGTTGGCAAAGAAGACTTTTTGTAGACCTGCAGAGGAGGTTCCAAAACCTCAACGTCAATCTTTATAACTTATTCGCAACCGAGTGCTATTTGTCGTTGAGCATCATAGGTGTCCAGTACTCTGGATGCACAGTTCCCCAGGTGCACCCGGGGTTACTCCTGGGTGACTATGGACCATGGTCTGGTCTGCTTGAATCGGGGGGGATATTTGTCCCCATCAGACCAACCGCCCCACATCTGTCTCCGATGTTCCACTGTAGGAGCCATGACTGCTTCTTCCTCCCTCAGGCCTTGTAAAGTCTTTTATTGGCTTTCTTTGCGTCTCCCTTCAGAGCCCTGTTTGAAGTCGTGGAGATAAAATGGACACCCCAGCCAGTCTAAGTCATGTGTCCTGTGCCTGGACGGGAGAAGCAGGGTGACGATCCTGGCTGCCAACCCTCTGTAGATCTCCTGGGGAGGACAGGGAACATAGTGACATGGTGCTCATGCTGATTTTGGATGTCTGGCTGAAAAAGGAGGTGGTGCAGCATCACCGTTGTGCTAGATTTAGCATCGTATGACCAGTATCACTTCGAGTGGCGGTTGGGCCAGCATGACATGCCAAGCAGAAGCCGTAGAAGCTCACTGAAGACAGAGCGAGGCCTGTGTACTGAGCATTACTCCCCAGAGTAACTTATTTTGACCATTTGCGCAAGTAGGCCAAGCAAGAAATGGCCTAGATGTTAAAAACGATCTCATTTTTTTTGGGATCAGAGGCAGAGTCACAGAGCACTGGGTTCATTTTGTTTGTCCTGAATGTAACGGGTTTGCAGATTTGGCCCGCTGATCATTCTTAATGTCAAAAGCACGGACGCAGCATAGTAGCCCACCTGGTAGAAAGCTAACCGCGTGCTTCGACCGCATTTATTGCACTTAGCGTAACAATTAAAAAGCCAAATGTTGCGGTTTTAATGGGAGGAGTAGCACAGGCACTTGCAGAACAAAAGAGGCCCTTACACCCCAGAGCCCATAACGTAGGGTAGGCCTCGCAGCCGGAACATGCTTTATGATCCATTTGGCAATAAAAATAGAGAGATGTATGTGCAAGTGTTTTTCATGTTTTGGAGGAATATGCTCCCAATGAATGGCATTCTAATGTAAATTCAGCACGGTAACTGGCCTTGTAGGAATCTGACAGCTCACACTGTTTCATGGTTAACATTATGGCCATTTGTGTAAAAGTTAAGGCATGTTAACAGTATATTTACTACTTGGAATGTAGCGTTATAAACCAAGGTCTTGTTTTGAACATTATTGTGCCTAGAATGTGAGATTTTGATGGGAACCAGTAACTGAGACGTGTGAGTTATGGAAGGATGAGCACAGTGCCCTTATTTGGTCGTATCTGGTTAACCATGTATGCTGTGGATTTCGGGTTGCTGCAGTGACGATGCAGAATATCTCACACTTAGGCTGTTACAACATGGTCTCTGAGAACAATTTAAAACCTCACTGTTGGTCATCTATTGGTGCTTTTCCACTGGCATACAGGAACCAGGCTGCACCCAACCCATACTGTGAAGAGACACTAGTTACAGGGCGGTTCTGGCTCACTTAGTTTTTCCACTGCAGAAGGCTCGTTAAAATCGTTGTCAGGTTTGGTGAGTGACAGTAACATAAAAACAAAGAGTAGCTTAGTTATTGTTCACTCAGTGTACTTCATGATTTACTACATGCTAATTTCCACTAGCAAGTCTGTGAGAATAGCTGTGTTATCTTAACATGAAATGCTAGTGTAATTAACATTAGCTTTCGTAAATTTGCATCCATTCCGTTCAGCTGTTTTAGTACTTTTTCAAGTAGGAAGCTGGAAGTTTTAAAGTTCTGAGTTATCGGGATTGCACCAATAGATGTGTAATACTACTAATGATGAATAATATATAGAATGTGTCTTCGGATAATCCATGCTTATCGATACAGAACACTGGTTCGTTCTTGTACTTTGACCAATCAGATGCTAGTGACACGACCATCTGGGCTTAGACACGCTCTCGGCCCTGGCCAGCCTGAGTACTGCTCAGTTACAGCTTGGATAATTTACAATGGGAACCCGTCTCTTCTCGGTTCGGCTCGGGTACGACTCGGTTCTTGGAGGCAGTGGAAAAGCACCACGTAACTGAAGACCTGTTCTTTGTTTGTAGGTTGTGGTTCAATGCTATTCATGAAGCCAATTTATATATTATTGACTGTATTTATAACATAGACTCTCAATACATGTAAAGTGATTTATGAAGCTTAATGCATCCATCCATCCATCCATCCTCTACACCTCTACCCCAGTGGAGGGTCACTGTGAGCCGTCCCAAGAAACAAAAGCAGGAGAACTCCCTGGATGGCATGCAATTCCTCCAAAGAATTACAACATATTAATAGTTGTTGACTAAGTTTTGTGTTTGTGTGTAATTCTCTTCCCGTCTTATGTATTCGAATGAACAGTCTTTGGTTAGACTGTGTGAGGTGAGGTTATCTGAAGCGACACTGTGGTGAACACGGTGAATAAAGCCCTGACGTCACCAGGAAGCTGATCAGGGCTCCTGATCTTTCTGTGGAGAGCCCTCCATCGCGTCCAGGTCGCTCTCCAGGCTGTAAATGTATCCTGGCTACCGCACTGCAGTCTTCCCGATGCCATAACGTTTATCCGTTTAATTTTACGCCGAATGGCGTGAGTCATATGAGCGGGATGTGTGAAGCTCTGCCCTGTTGCCTCTGGCATGCATGTGAGAAATGCACAGACGAGGGTGGGGGCCTTTTTGTCTCCATGGGGAGCGATCTGAGCCCCCACGAGCTGAAATGCTGGGGTGTCCATAAGGAAGGAGTGGCCCTATCCAGCAGCTGCTTCCCCCAAAGCACGTCTCGTCTTCCCACCCCCACGTGTATATCTCTGGGGGAGTCATTGGCGCCCCCCAACTATCCAACTTGGCACTGCAACTCCTCAGCTTACTGCACCTGAAGTGTTTGCTTAATGCTCCGCTGCTGTGGTTGAAGTAAACAGTGGCACAGGTGTAGGTGTGCTGTCAGTAACAACAGTAGGCTGTTAATGCCTCTCAGCAAGCGGCAGGCTAAGGCACCTGAGTGTGTGCGTGTAGCTTGGGGGGGCTTTCGCTCAGAGCCAAGCTGTTGTGTAACGAATATTGACACAGGTGCTGTTTGTACTCTGATGAAATACCAGAGGGGGGATTTTTGGAAAGGTTTAATGTAAAGGGGTTCAGGGGTAGAGAAGAGAGCTCCACACATGCAGAGAACACTAAGGGGGGGGGGGGGGGGTTACTGGTGCAGGGCTATTCTGTAGAATGTGGGGTGGCTTTCTGTTGCTAAGGTTTACCGTTGACCATTTGAGGACTCGTGACCATAAGCAACCCAGTTCATTCTTTTGGCTTCACTGAGAGGGTCAAGGGAAGAAGCTGATATTTAATATCTAATGAAAGATATAAGAATAAAATTTGAGAGTGGACGGTGCTCATTTAATATATAACCAATAGAGAGAGAGAGAATTTAGCTGCACAGGAAGTTACTGCACTGCGCACCTCTATACAGGAAATGAGGAATCAAGGACAGGAAGCGGTAATGGATCCTGGGTGTTGGAGCGACATTCATCCTCGTGCATCCGCTTCTGTTTGTGGGGGGCTTCTGGTCGGGGGGATCAGATGTCGGGGATCCCCTCTCCTGGAAGGGGAGAATCCCGGAGATCGATGCATGGTGGTAAGATGGTGCAAATGGAGTGTCCCTCCCGAAGGAGCTTACCTCGTTCCTGTTTCAGCGACCCAGCCCTCCTTCAGAGAGCGAGTCAAAGCCCAGCAAACCCCATGAGGCTCGTCTAAAAGCCCGATGCTGTACCTGTCTCCAGTTTATTAGGGATATTTGTAGGGGCAATGATGGGACGAGACACAAATTAATATAAAGCTTCAAGGGAGAGATGAATGAGACAGGATTATCAACCCTGAAAGCTCTGGCTCGTGGTTTGGTCTTTCCCTCCTGTCTGTGAGCATCCCTGGTGTCCTGTTGTGGTTTCTGGGGCACCAAACCCTTCCATGTTTTCTGCGTTTCCACAGACGGACGAGAGGGACGGCCGTACATAATCTAGACAATATGTGGAGCTTTCTTACAGGCAGAGTGAGTTTGGCTGAATGTGGCTCTGTTTAGCTTGATGAGCGGCCAGTTTGACGGCGCGTGGAGGAAAGTACGTGTTTACAGCGGGGAAAACGCAGAGTTTATGGCCCTGAGATGTCAATTATGGAGCCGTTTAAGCGCTTTAGAGGGAGGACGTGTTATACGCAGGAGTAGCAGAGAGGTGCCCACAGGCCACCTCGCCCGTGCTGGACTGTCGTGGTCCCTTGCAGGGCTGGGATTGTGAGAGATCTGGGATCCGAGCCACAGCCTCCATAAGCAAAGCCCCAGCAGGCGATAAGCATCCCAGCACCTAGATGGGGAGAGGTGGCACCGGCTTCCTTGTGGGAGCCTGGCCTTAATAGGAAATCTCTCTGCCCAGACAATATTTCCGGCAGTTCCCCCGCCCCCCCATCTACGGTTCGCCCATCGTTCGCACTCACATTCTCCTGCTTCTGGTCAGCTGGCTGGCTGTTTCTTCCCTAGGCCTTCACCCTAGCCTAGCCACTTTCTGCTACAGCTAACCCCCCCCCCCCCCCCGGCCACTCCCCCCTCCTGCCTTCTCCAGGCCATGCCGGCTGTGGGTGTAGCATATGGCACTGCATTTTCTGCTAGCAGGCGCAAATGGGGTGAAAAAAATGACCTTTCCTTGTAAGGGAAGCCGTCCGACGGACGCTAAGCGCTGGAGATAGTATCGGCCGTTTATGTGGAAGTACGGGGCATTTATTATTAACGTGGGGTCGACACAGTTAAAATTCCTCAATGTCCCTGAAGGATAGACAGGAAGTGGACCATTTGGCATTGCAGTGGGGTTATTGATGTGGACTCTCAGCGTCATCATTGCTTGTTCTTTATTTTTTGAAGCTGCTGGGATCTTCGGTGGGATTAGGCTGTGTTTAGTGGAGATTACCTGACTGTTATGACAAGTGCTGCTTTTTCATTTATGGCAGTGCTTCCCAATCCGGTCCTCGTGGAACCACAGTTGGTCTGTGTTTTTGCTCCCTCTGAGCCCCCTGTCAGACGGTCCACATTTTCGCTCCCTCCCAGCTCCCTAAAAAAACGTGGGTCCCCGAGGACCGGATTGGCAAACCCTGATTTACGGAAATTTCCGCTTCCTGTGTGCAGGGCTGCCTCTGGCCATGCTAGCAGCCTCCCCACACTGCATCAGCTATCGGCATGTTAGGTATGCACATGGAGGACCGGCCTGGGGTCACTGCAGCCCAGCTAAAGACAGTGCCTGGTCATTATGGGTTATCTTCTGCTGCTGCTGGACGGGTCGTCTGTGGGTCTCATCTGGTCTGGTCAGCCTGGCTCAAATGAGGATGTGGGGGTGGGGGTGGGGGGGAGCACCTGCCCCATGCAGCTGCTGTATTTCCTGTGCCTATAAGTGTTGCCGGTATGAACACCCATCACCAAGCAGTCACCCAGGCATGTGGACACACCCAGACTGAAGGCGCAGGCTATAGCTTTAGCTTTTAGCTTTAGCCTTTTAAAAAAAAATTTTAACCCCTGTCTTGTCCGGCAGTTTAGCAAGCAGGATGTTAGTCTGGGTGCTTTATTGTGCCAACACTTTTATTTTGCTAAGTGGAGCTTTAGCCTTTTTTTGAGTTAAAGCTTTAACTTCATTCTCTGCGATGTCCATTCTTGCATTTTGCTCAGGCCTGGTTTCAACATGGGTTTAGTTGTTTAGCTGCCGTATTTATAATGTAGACCAAGATCTTGGCTCTGTAATAAATGATAAAACTGTTTAGGGTGAGGAATCTTAAGGTCAGAGGTTTAAGGGAGCCCCGCCAAAAGAACTGGGGGGTTAATAGAAGTAGTGCTATTTTTAAGGCAGTAACTGCATAATGAGCAGAAGCGTGGGAGGCGGCAGAGGGGCTGGGATTACCAGGATGTGTACACCTGTTAGGTCAACTTGGCTGCGGTAAACACACAAGTCCTGGTAACCTTCAGACCTGAGGCTCTCACAAGGAGCTCTGAGTGTGGGAGTGAGCCTGCCAGCGACTGGAGGAATCACACATCCACACGAAACTTCCTGAACAGATTTCTTCCCCTTTAACTATATTCTGTATAATTTTGATTCAGTCACCAGCTTTCTGCATAAATTTTAAATACTTAAACTGGACATTTTCTCTTATAGAATTAAACACGTTATTGTAGTTCTGACAGTTATTTGGACTGTATCCTCATAGGTTTATATTTCAGTTGCGTATCTATTTTGTAAAACAGGTTACTAAATCACTTTGGTAGCAGATAATCCACAGCTCCCCACAGAATTTGTGGGAAAACAGCCCCATCCTCCTGGGGTGAGGGGCAGAGGGCGCTACAGTAGCAGTGAGGAACAAATAAACAGTGCCCCCTAGTGAGGTGGAGGAATTCAAAGGAAAACACTTTTTTTTTTGCAAAAGGCTTCTTCCAGCTGACACGTCTAGTGTCACCAGAGTCCTCGGCCAGGACGGTGAAACAGTATTGATTGGGGCCAAATCCACCGGAGCCAGACTTCAGTAAAGAAGTGCAGAAATATGATTCCAGGAGCAAATGGAACCCCCAGTGAGTGCCTGTGTAGCTTGACCAGGTGCATCATGGGAATGCAGCTTCTTGTTTCGACTTGCAGCGCCTGCACTTGTAAAGGTCCCATTTGTAAGGAATGTCGAGTGTGATGTCTCCAGGGAGCCCCTGGGATCAGTTTGAGAGCACCTGTCAATGGCGTTTGAGAACTGCTTAGCTTTTCGTGAAGTATGAGAAAAGATAAACTTCTACTTTGCAATTTAGTAATGAGTGGGGCCTCGTCGGCACGCTGGGTGTCACATGGGGGCGCCGGTCACAGCCGATGGCTTTTCTAAAACCCCAGGTGGAGCTGCCTTTCGCACACGTCCCTGTGAATGTGCCTCAGCCTGTCTCAGGAACATGTTTCCCTTCAGGAGAGTGGAACAAATTCCATTTCTGCCTCAATAGATCTAAGACTTTCAGCGACACTTTGTGGCTCGGTTCGGTCTCTGGGGAAGGGGGCACGTCTCCATCTTTCCTTTGCCTGCACAGTGGCATACTTGTCTGATCTGTGGTTTAGACGTAGGATTTTCTACAGGGGGGGGGCACCCCCTCCCCCAACCCGGCTCCTCGGCATCCTAACCATGGAGGATGCTATGAGAGGCAGCTTGGCCTAGGGTGCTGTGAGAGTCAGCCCAGTAGAGGGCGCTGTGAGGGGTGGCCCAGCAGAGGGCGCTAGGAGAGTTAGTCATCCATTAGCTTCAGACTACTACCCAGTGTTGCTATGAAACGTCTTAGGCTTCCTTAGAAATATAATCATTTATTAGTGAAAAATGCTCCAAAGACTAAAAACAGAACTTAATTGGACGGGAGCACAAGTGTATATAATGGACCATATGTGTGACCAGAAGCCTGATTTAAACTTTTCTTTAAGGTTATTCTTTACCAGCACCCCCCATCCTGAAGCAGTAGGTTCCATTAATGCTGTATCCCCACTTATTTTTAGGGACATCAAGCCAGACAACATCCTAATGGACGTGAACGGCCACATCCGGCTGGCGGATTTTGGCTCCTGCCTCAAGCTCATGGAAGACGGAACGGTAGGTCCAAGTAAACCGAGCCTGGTGTAAACCGTGACACCGAGTCTCCCAAATAGAGCGCTCCGCAGCTCCAAAGCCCACCATCCCGCGTTTATATTCAGTCTCCGCCGGATAAGCAGAGGAGCCTCGAGGGCCGTCATGATTGTTTTGATGGGAAAAGTACAGCACTTCCCTTAGACGGCTCTGAGACCATATTAGGCTCTTTGAACGCTCTCTATCTTCCTCATCCGTTTGGACACAAAGGAACACGTAGCAGCCTCGCTCCTGCAGCTCTGCGTCCTGGTTTCCAAGTAGTATTTTAAGCGTTCACTCAGAAGCTGGCTTCCTGCAGCCGGGGTCGTGGCAGGCCCCAGAACGTATGGGGGATGTCTATCGGTGTGAGTGTGTGCGTGGATGGGGGCCTGGATGATAAAAACAATGCAGAAAGACAGCAGGGGAATTAACAAAAGCTTGGGCACAAACACCGTGTTGCCATGGGAGCTGCTGAAGATCACTCAGGCGTCTGCATGCACCATGCACCTGTGAGTGAGGGTTATCATCATTGTGGGTGTCGTGTGTATCCCTAACTGGGTTGATTATAGTTAGCTAGCTGTAGAACCGAAATAGAGTAGCTATCACGCACATTTGGGAAGTTGTATTTAATCATAATATCAGGAGTAAAAGGCCAAGGAAGTTAACTTCGTTGCACAGATATTTTGACATACACCACCCGGCCAATAAAAAAGGTCACCATTTGAATATAAATCAGCAAGTGTTGAAGAGCCAATGATTGGATCATTATTATATCTCAGTAATGTTATGCAGCAATAAAGTGAAGTCAGCTGAGTACCTGAATCTCCTGAATAGCCAGGTTATCTCATCAGTGGATTTTTTTCTTTCCTAATGGCACGGGCATATTCCAGGACGTCAATGTCCGGCTCGAATTGTCAAAAGTTCACGAGCATGAATTGGCCGGCACAGAGTCTTGACCTTAACCCCATTGAAAGTTTTTGAGATCTGCTGAAGAAGGCTTTACGGAGTGGTTCGACTCACCTATCACCAATACAAGATCTAAGTGAGAAATGAAGGCAAATCAAATAAGCTTGTGAAATGAAATGAAAGATAAAGGTGGCCCAATGAAATATTGAAAGCTATTATCTTATGTATGGTGGCTAAACACCATTAAAAGCACACACATTTTTGTCATACAGGTCAAATCTGAACTGGAAAAGAATTTTGTGAAAATGGGCTGCAACGAATCAGAATGCTGTTTCAGCACCCTTCTTTAATACATAAATACATTTGATTGACAGTTTCATACATCAAAATATCAAGCCAGTCAATAATCTGTATAAATTTGGCATATTTTATGTTTATTAAATTCTGTTAGTGGAGCACACCTTATGCTACTGTAAATCATGGACATGATAAACACTGAAGTAGTGGTGAAGAGAGGGGCAACTCAGCAGCCGCAACTCTTTCAGACCTCTTAATACGCCTCCCAATAATATTTTAGGCATACTGCTAATCTGCTTATCAAATTGTGGGTGTAAGTAAACTTCTGTATTGTACCGAAAAACTGGCATCCGGACAAATATATACACCTGTTATCTAAAGCCCTGTAATGACATTTGTCGGCACCACTTTAATTGACACAATCTGTTCGTAGATAACTACAAGTTCTGTTTGGCTATAGTTTATTTCAGGTAAATTTCATCTGCGTTTTTGTTTTATAGATAGTCTAATATTAAGCACAAATATTTTTAAAATTGGAGCGTGATATTGTACAGCAATAGTAGCTTTTTAACAAAAATGTAACAGTGTGGACATAGTCGATTTGGGGGTTATTTTTGAGGTGAGTCATTTTTCCTCACTGCACTGCAACACCAGATCTTAGGATACCCCCACCTACCATTACCCACTTCAACCCCTGGTAAAGACTAAAGAGTAAACGATCTTTAATGAATCTGATGAGCTGTGAGAGTATGTGAAATTCAGACCAGACTGAAACTGGATAGACGAAACAAGCCGGAACATTCCATATACAGTAAAACCTCAGATTGCGAGCGTAATTCGTTCCGGAAACGTGCTCGTAATCCAAAGCGCTCTTATATCAAAGCGAATTTTCCCAATAGAAATAATGGAAACTCAGATGATTTGTTCCACAACTCGAAAATATTCATAAAAAATGATTAATACAAAATATAAAGTAAAAATACATTAACAAAACAAAGTAACCTGCATTTTACCTTTGAAAAGAATCATGGATGGTGTGAGGGAGACGAGAGAGAGGAGAAGAGGAGGGTTATTTTGTAGGACGACTTTCACTATAACTAACGGAATCACTGCTATCTGTTGGCTCACTGGAATCTTTTTCTTTTTGTGTGACTTTAACAATGAACCTATCCAATGACAGCCGCTTTTGCCTCCTCTTCGATTTCCCAGAAAGGTGGACATTGCATTGTCGTTAAACAGATTCATCGCTTTCACTGCTACGCCCTTATTTGGGTGGTGCTTTTCTACTAAATTTTGACTATACGAGTGAGGCACGCCGACTGAGACCGAGCATGGGAGATGCCGACTGAGACCGAGTATGGGAGATGATTACCCACAATCCCACAGCAAGAGAGAGAGAAGAACCATCTGCTCAGTTGTGATCATGTGACACTCGGCAGACAAAGCGTATACATAATACTCCTATTGCAAGACCTTGCTCGTTTATCAAGTTAAAATTTATTTAAAAATTTTGCTCATCTTGCAAAACACTCACAGACCAAGTTACTCGCAATCCAAGGTTTGACTGTATATGTTTTTATCACCAGATGCAACAGCAAAACAACATTTCATTTTTTTTTTTCCCTCCAGATGGATTTTATTTGTGATTTGGGCAGACAGTTTCCATTTGACTGGGCGCTCAGCAGTTTTCCTGGGGGCTCAGCTCCCCGTATTTCCTCCGTTTGAAACCCCAAACAAACGATCCCTGGCTGTTATAAGCGTGCACGCCCTGAACCGTTGGTGACTTAAGAGAGACACACACACACGATCCCCACACAAAGAACTCCCACACAGCCGGTCTGCATTTCAGGCTGATGTAAACAGCTGGTCAGTGACTTGTGTCTGTAGACCTGGGTTTATGGCCAGTTTGGACTGGGATTTGTTTGCAGCATGGAGTGCTGGTGTAGGTGGAGACAGAGAGCAAAAAAAAACACATAAGCTATGTAGAAAATGTGAATAATGCATCACAACTTAAGACTGTGTACATTAACGACGAGCTGGTTGCTTAGCGTTGTGGCTTTATTTTTATGGCAAATCTGTGTATCTGAGTAAAGCATACAGCTTAGAATAGTTCTTATTTATTCATCTGCATCCTTAGAGAAGTACTTAGGCGTCTTCCTGAAGGATGCTGCCCCCTACTGGGATTTGAACCTGAAACTTGCCGGATGCATTTCCAGTTTCGTAACCACAGTGTGGAACAAAGCCCTTAGTGTATACTGCAGCTCTGTATTAAAGAGCATTATAAAAAATGTGCAGGGAAGAGGGGGAATTAAATTCGCCTGATTTTTCCCCTTCCCTCAGAGAGTGTGGAATGGCTGCGTGATGCGCATGACTGCAGGGGAAAGGCAGATTTACAGGGCCAAGGTTGAGCACATTCACCCGCTTGCATACAGCTGCTGTGAGCTTGTGTTCAGGTGGGGCTTGGCCACACGGCCTCACTGAGGAGCGGGTCAAGGAAGCAGCTTCCCCCGCAAAGCCAGTGAGAGCCCACAGTCTCTCTCTCAGTAAATTGTCAAGGTCTCGGCTCCTTAGGGGTTCTCTAAAGCTGTGTTTCTCAGACCAGTCCTCGGGGACCCCCGGACCCCCAGACCGTCCATGGGTTTGCTCCCTCCCAAGTCTCAGGGAATTGGGAGAGAACGAAAAACTTGGACCGTCTGGGGTTCCGTGAGGACTGGTGTAGGAAACACTGCTCTAACGGGTAAGCACACTGGGCTTCCTCCTCTTGACTACTAACACGAGGCCCGTGTTGCTTGGTGTAGTAGTTCGGTATTTTGCTCTGTTTCCAATTTTCTAAGGTATCTGGGTGAGTGAATGTGTTGTTGCCCTCTCTCTCCTTTGATTCTGGTCCAGGTCCAGTCCTCAGTGGCAGTGGGCACCCCAGATTACATCTCTCCCGAAATCCTGCAAGCCATGGAAGATGGGAAGGGCAAGTACGGCCCCGAGTGTGACTGGTGGTCGCTGGGCGTGTGCATGTACGAGATGCTGTACGGGGAGACGCCCTTCTACGCAGAGTCGCTGGTGGAGACCTACGGCAAGATCATGAACCACAAGGTGAGGAGCACACATGGGTGGCTGGGGGTCAGCAGCAGGAAACAGGAGTGTGTGCTGATCAGAAAGCTGATCCTTTACGCTGGTACTTCCCCGCAGGAGCGCTTCCAGTTTCCGGCCCAGGTGACGGACATCTCGGAGAGCGCCAAGGACCTGATCCGGAGGCTCATCTGCCCGCGGGAGCACCGGCTGGGCCAGAACGGCATTGAGGACTTCAAGCGGCACCCGTTCTTCACGGGCATCGACTGGGACAACATCCGCTCCTGTGAGGCCCCTTACATCCCCGAAGTCAGCAGCCCCACGGACACGTCCAACTTTGACGTGGACGACGACTGCCTGAAGAACACCGTACGTTACCTGGGCCAGCCGCTGCTCGCTTTTATACAGCCATTAACGGGGGTAGATTCCTGCAGGTCTCGCACATAAACACACTCGTTGTATGATGTGAGCTGCCATCTCATATTGCCAGAACAGCCACTGCTGAACATGGCAATTTGTATTAATCTCTAATACACTAGTGTAATAGACCGTATATGGATTATACAAGTGTGCAAGAATTTCATTGGAGGAAATGATGCCTCATCCATAACCACTTATCCAGTACAGGGTCACGTGAGCCTGGAGTCTATCCCAGAATGCACAGGGCAGGATGCCAGCCTGCCACAGTGCACACCATGGGCAATTGAGGGACGTCAATTCATCTAAATCCTTTTGTTTAATTTATTTTTTACCTCTAGGAAACACACACAAACATGAGGGAATTCAAGCATCACACACGCAGTGCTTGGGGAATTGAGCGCACCACCCCTGCAGCTGTTAACGGCTGAGCCTGGAGTAGCCATCAAACATGTTGCTATGGGAATATCCATCCATCCATCCATCCATCCATTTTCTGAAACTGCTGGTCCTATTCAGGGTCACGGAGGCTACAGGCACAAGGCAGGGAACAACCCAGGATGGGGCACCAGCCCACCATGGGAGTAATACTGTGTTATTTTCCATTTCAGGAAACCATGCCCCCTCCGTCTCATACCGCCTTCTCTGGACATCACCTGCCCTTCGTCGGCTTCACCTACACCAGTAAATGGTGAGTGGCTGTCCTCTGCCAGCGCTCTCCGCTCCAGAGCAGGTCCTGTTCTCTCTGTCTCGGGTCTCAGTCTGATGCTTGGGCCCAGTTCAATGCCGGATGATATTTATTCCTCAGCAGCAGATGTCTTATTATTGAATGCAGTGTTGCGCACCACCCCCTAAAGGCTCCTAAGCATAGTCTTACCACCAAATTGTCGCATTTGAAACAAACATGAATGGAATCTTCCACTTTGCCTCATGGGGGAGGCCTTGGTACCATGGTCTGCGTCTCTCGTGTCACTCTGTGCTAAAACTCCAGTGGGCCACCCTAACCCTTCCTCACGGGAAGGACACCAAGGCAGCACTGCAGTGGCAGGTAGCAGTGCCCGTGACACTTTTGTGCGTTTTAAGGCTCGAGGAGCATGTGGACCCCATGAAATCCCAAATCTGATTGTTTTCATCTGCGTCTCTCTCTGTTAGCATCGATTTTTATGGCAACTTCCTGTTAACCTCACTTTAGTGTGATTAATAAATCCTGACCCCATCCACAATAAAAGTTAAAAGCCGGTGAAAATTTGGAGACTGTCACAAAAGGGTGGCATAGATTAACTTATAAAAACATCAAAAACATGACAAAGGTTTTTTTGAGGATATTTGTACATCTGTTTTTCAGGCATGTATTTGTTGCTACATTCCCTTGAAAGGAGGCCCTGTAAAGATGGCCAGCTCATACACACATGCATGCTCAGAGGGACCCCGGGTCTCAGACGTCCCGCCATTAGGAACTGAGCACTTAACAGAGTGTTAGTGAAGTGAAAAGAAAAAAAACGCAAAATCATAAATTTACTCCTCAGATTAATAAAACATATGTTTGCCTGTCTGTCTGTTTTTCTGAATACCTGCCTGCCTGCCTGCCTGTCTGTCCCCCTGCCTGCCTGTCTGTCCCCCTGCCTGCCTGCCTGCCTATCGGTCTGTCTGTCTGTCTGCGCCAAGACCAGGACCTCCTGCAGAGCCATGTCCATGTAAAGCTAGAAATAGTTTACATTTCTAAATAAATATAATCAAATAGTGAAGTAACAACAATACTTCACTTTGAATACCGAGTGGGTGTGTTGATGTAAATGGGTTTCGGTTTCGGTTTCCTCAGCACCGATGCCAAGAAGTCCATCCCTTTGCCCAGTTTTTAAATTACAGGGTTAGTGTGGTTAAATATTTCAATTTAGCAAAGAAGTTTCTGACCTTGCAGGTTTGTAAGGTGGGGAAGCAGCAGGCTAGATGTTTATTAACTAAATGACTTGCAAACAGAAGATCGCGGTGAATGCTGGGCCTGTGACCCTAAGGTCTCGCTTTCATGTGTGACCGGACCGTTATTTTTGCCGTTCGTGCGGATTCTGTCTTCACGGCTGCCTCCTTGCCCGCAGTATGGTGTCGGACCGGGGCTGCCTGCGTGAGTCTGCGGGGCCCGGCCAGATGGACGTGTGCCTGCAGAGGAGCCTGGAGGACAGTCTTGCCTCCGAGGCGTATGAGCGGCGCATACGGAGGCTGGAGCAGGAGAAGCTGGAGCTCAGTCGCAAACTTCAAGGTGCTGGGGCTCGGAGGGCGGAGGGGTACCGTTAGTGTGGAGGCAAGCACTGCTCCCTGGTGCAAATGCTGCCCTCCTCTTGCCCCATGCAGAATCCACCCAGACGGTGCAGGCATTGCAGTACTCGAGCATCGACGGGCCAGTTGTGGCCAGCAAGGAGGTGGAGATTTTCAGCCTGAAGGACGAGATCCAGAACCTCAAGAAGCAGATTGCAGGTGTGTGACCCCATTCGGATCCACAACTGGAGAGCCAGTGTGGTCCAGAGGTACTTAGAAATGCAAATAAATGCTCATGTCAGGGTTGCCATGTAAGGGCCATTAAGGTGACCCGGATTGTGGTGCTACTGTGCATGTTTGGCCCTCAGAATCTGGCGACCTGGAGCAGCAGCTGGAGCAGGCCAGCGTCGCACGCAAGGACTTGGAGGAGTCCTCCAAACATGTCAAGTCTCTGGAGAAGCAGATAAAGAGCCTGAAGCAGGAGAGGGATGACGTGCAGAAGGTACTGTGATTCCGGCAGGCCTCGTCCGTGGGTTCGCACCTAGATTATTCCTCTTGATTAGCAGATGGAGCTTCTTGTGAGAGCTGTGGTCATTTGACTCAAAAAATAAAGCCTCTATAATAGTGTAGTAATAACTAAGAATGATTTCAGTATATATGAAAGCTGTCTGTATCCGTTCGGTTCCTTCAGGATCTGCTGGATGCCAACGAGAAGCTCAGGTCCCAGACCAAGGAGCTGAAGGAGGCGCACAGCCAGAAGAAGGTGGCCGTGCAAGGGTTCTCAGAGATGAGCGAGCAAGTGACCGACCTGCGCTCACACAAGCAGCGCCTCACTCGCCAGCTGCGGGACAAGGAGGAGGAGGTGGAGGCCATGTCCCAGAAGGTGGAGGGGTTACGCCTGGAGGTCCGCAAGGTCGAGAAGGTTAAGAAGGAGGTGAGGGAAGCGCCAGGGCTTCTGCGGACATGTTTCTCTGCCAGCCTCTCCCATCAGTCTTTCTGCTTTTTGTTCATCTCCATGGTGGCGTCACACTTCAGCCCCACCTTTGAGTCTCATGACCCTCAGTCGCGTTCCGTTCCTTTGCAAATGTCCCCGGCCACCTGGCATCCGTCTGTGATTGGGCCGCTTGGCACGCTTGCCGCCATCCATTGTCCCATCTCCTCGGACCGCCTCCTCTGTCTGTCTCGCTCTCGCTTCACGTGCTGCCGTGCCACGTGAGGACTCTGACACGCACGTGTCCCGCCCAGCTGGAGATACAGGCCGAGGACCGGGAGGCGGAGGCCCAGAAGGAGAGGAAGCTGAGGGAGCACAGCGAGCAGCACAGCAGGCAGCTGGAGGATGAGCTGGAGGGGCTCAAGGTGAGGTGGCATAGACCTGTGCTCACCACTAGGGGGCAGACCTGAGCGCACCACGGGGGACATATCTATTATATACAGCTAACATCTAGGAGGGGCACAAAGAAAATCTGGGTTAGACCAGACTGTTATGGCGAGGCACCTGATTGACAGGGATGTCGCATCTTATAACTTGGGTTCAGCAGAAACAGGTGGGCCGTCCGGTAGGCGTGGGGGCCTCGGAGCAGCACCAGGAGCTGAGCCGGCTGCGGACCGAGCTGGAGAAGAAGACCGTCTTCTACGAGGAGGAGCTGTCCCGGCGTGAGCTGCTGCACACCAACGAGCTCAAAGCCCTGAAGAAGGAGCTACGTGATGCTGAGGCCCAGCATCTGGCCCTCAAGAAGGAGGTGATGGTACTCAAGGACAAGCTGGAGAAGACACGGCGTGAGAGGTGAGTGTGTGGGAGTTGGGGGCCAGACATCATCCATCCATCCATCCATCCATCCATGCATCCATCCAACTGCCTATCCCAGGACTTTGGTCTGTGGGAGCAAACCCATATACCATGGAGAGAACATGCAGATTCCACACATGCAGAGTACATGCATGATTTGAGCCAGCTGGAGGTTTGAGGTTACTGGGCTACTCTCAAAGCCATTATGCCAGCCTTCAGTTGGCTAGTTTTTATCTGTCCTGCTGTTAAAGGGAAACATTCAGCAAATATAATGATAGTATTTGCGTGTCGGGCGGGTATCTGCGTGTCGGGCGGGTATCTGCGCGTCGGGCGGGTATCTGCGCGTCGGGCGGGTATCTGCGCTGTTCTCTCTGCCACACCAGTGTCATCGTGTTCCGTGCATTTCCATGACGTCTCCACCTCACAGGCTGCCACATGAGAGGAATCGTTTCCAAATGCGATGGAAGGTTCTGTGCCCTTTCAAGTGAGCCTCTGGGTATTAATAGCGTTTCTGTAGAGACTGAAGTCTTTCCTCAAAAGGCCAGCGAGAAATCCCACGGTCTTTGACTGAGTGTTTGTAATTCGCAACTTGTTATTATGGGACCATGAAGGTCAGAGAACGATTTCAGATGTTTAGATAGGATTACGTGGAGACCTTGTTTCCTTCAGGTGATTTTTCTTTTATATTGGTTTTTATGTTGGCTTTTTTGGGGCCGGCATGGTGGTGCAGTGGTTAGCACTGTTGCCTCGCACCTCTGGGACCTGGGTTCGAGTCTCCGCCTGGGTCACATGTGTGTGGAGTTTGCATGTTCTCCCCATGTCGTCGTGGGGTTTCCTCTGGGTACTCCAGTTTCCCCCCACAGTTAGACAGGCTAATTGGCGTTGCTAAATTGCCCTTAGGTGTGCATGTGTGAGTGAATGGTGTGTGTCTGGCCCCCCCATCCAGGGTTGTTCCCAGCCTCGTGCCCGTTGTTTCCAGGATACCCAGACCCCCAGACCCAGTAGGATAAGCAGGTTGGACGATGGATGGATGTTAGCTTTTTTGCCAGTTGCCTGTAAAGATTAAGGGAAGAGAAGTCTAAGAATATATTACAACCAAGAGTTGAAAGTATGAATTATACAGCTTACATACACTCATTTAAGTCTTTCGGCAACACTTTACTTGAAGCAATCTACATAAGGGTGACATGTCACCGTCATAAGAATGACATGACACATGTCATGCACATTAATGACACATTATTGATGTTTATGACTGTTGTCATAATGTGTCATTCAGTTCCAAAAACCGAATGACACATTATGACAACAGTGATGTTTATGACAACAGGACAATCTGTTGTTACTGACCTAGAGTAATTAGCAATGTTGATGTAGGTTGGCAGAATGGCCTTATGGGAAATATGGGGTTTCTATCATGACGACATAGGAAATCAGAAGTAATCTCTTCAATTTGACCAAATACGGGTGCACGTTGTTGTGGAATATGAGGAAATGTTGGACTCTTCAATGCACGTCACGCAGGCCTCATGATCACCTTCCCCCCCCACAGTCAGAGCGAGCGGGAGGAGTTTGAGGCCGAGTCCAAGCAGAAGTACGAGAGGGAGAAGACCCTGCTGGGCGAGGAGAACATGAAGCTGTCCAGCGAGCTGGACAAGGTGAGGCTCCGCCCCCCCTTCGCATGCGGGATAGACGGCCCCCCATTGTGAAAGGCTTCTTCCCAGTGTTCACCGTCCATCCATTACTAGGATCGCAGAGGGATCATCCAGCAGGGCTTTCCCTGAGCAAAAAGCAGATTACCAGTTGGTCTAATACAGTTGCAATGGGGGGGGTCTCTGTGGATTCCCTAGGGGGCGCTCTCACGCCTCTTCTCAGAGCAGCTCCGCAGCGCGTACCATAGCTGTATGGCGTCTCTGGGCTCTTGCCGTAACGTATGAACTGTCAGGAAGCCGTTAGCTGCTGCTGCTCCCTGCTCTGTCGCCCCCCTGAGGCCGTAGAGGGAATCACAACTCGTGATACCAAAGTAGGGAGGCAGGTGTTGGTGTCACAAGTCGCCACGGCATCCAGGCTTCAAAGCGGTTTAAGCCCCGTCGTGTGGGTTTGCCGTCTTAACCTCCCCGTGTCTCTTTGTTCTCCCGCTGCTATCAGACCCCCCCCTCCCATTTTGGCAGCCTGTAAAATAGCGCTGGCAGGCCCAGCTGCGGTCTGCTCTGCACGCCAGTGGAATGGTTGTCTGGGACGGGGGACTGTTGACCTTGGACGATGGGGAAAAAATGAGAGAAGGGGGTGTGGAAGCTCCTGAGAAAAGTCTCTGTGGGAGGTTTGACATCCAGCAGGACAGCTTGTTTTTTTCCCCTCTAATTTATTTTTTTCGTTCACCTATTCTGTCATGCAAATGAAGATCACAGTGATTACGTATTTTATCGAAACTGAGATATGACCGAAACCGAATCTCTTTGAAGACAGGAGTGTGAAAATGTCAGTGACTACTAAATCCACAGTAAAACCAAGGCGAGACCCCCTTTGTCTTCATTTTCGCGTCTGTGTTTAGCCTCGGTTAGGGTTATATTGACCGATTACTCTGTTAAGTGTAGAACGGAGTCACAGTAAGATTTATCGGGCGCCTTATCGCGTTGGGCTGTAGCGGGGGGGGGGGGGGGGGGGGGGGGGGGGGGGGGGGGGGGGGGGGGGGGGGGGGGGGGGGGGGGGGGGGGCTCGTCATCCCAAGCCCTGCGTTCCGCTGTGTCGTGTAGCCGTGTTTAGCTAACCCCGGTCTCCGTCCGGCTCCGCTCATGGCCTGTCAGAAAGCAGCGATATCGTGATGCCCATATCCCAAAATGTGCCGAGCTGCACAAAAAGCCCCCGCTTTTGATGTGCGATGGAAAGGAGAGCCCCCTGTTACAAGACGCTGTCCCCTTAAACAAAGCAGCCCCCTGGCCCAGAGATGTATGAAGCAAGCATGGCATTCTCTGCATTGATGTGGAAAACAGTCCCTGTGGCTGTCCGCTATTGAACATCCCTTCCGAGTGGGGTGGGGGGGGTAAGGGGGCTTATAAAACTTTTCCTGTTAGTTTATTGCATAGTTTAGTGGCTTTGAAGTCATATCCAGTTTCATTAATATGAAAGTTATGCTTTATAGACACAAATGCCATAGCGACCGTAGATTCCCCCCCCTCCCCCGAGAATCTTGAAAGTTGAAGTAACGGTAAATGACTATGGACAAAAATAAATAAATCACAGTAAAAACAGTGAAACTCCACAGTAGGAGAAAGCCAAGCAGGAATGCTTTGGTGCTATGAATCACTTAGCAAAGTAATTCATATTATAGCGGAATGGAAAAGTTGTAAGGGGGGCATATTTACTTATGTGGACTTGGGGGCTTGGGCAAAAGGTGAGGGCAGTTCGCCGTTACTGCGAGCCGGTCGGTCGAGCTCCTTTTCTCGGCTACAGGAAATCGCCGCATCTGCCATTGCCTGCTGGGTGTCTGTGTCCCGCTCAGATACCCCATTGCTGCTTGATTTATTTCTCCCAGACTATTATCTGATACATCATGGCCATGTAATTAAAGCTCCCCTTTAGCCGCCCATATTACCATCTTATTATATATGCAGCAGATCACTCAAGCATGCGGGAGCCCCACCCCCGGCCCGCTGTTTATAATGGAAAAGGATCCTCCCCTTTAATGTGACCCATCCCTTTAAGCAAACAAAATAAATGGGCATTTTTATAGCACATGATCTGTGCCACATATTTCCATTAATCTGTGGAAGCAGAAGTGGAAACTGGCATCATATCTACAGCATATGCAGACTTCACAGAAAGCGTCATTTTAACTATTTTAATTATAAATGATCCTGGCATTAGATTTAACAAAAAATGTCATTTGCAGTTATATTCATTCACATTTTTTACATTGCTTTTTGTTCCATAAATCTGTGTGCTTTATAACAGCTGAAAGACAGCTTTGGGTAGCTTACTACACTTGTGAAAATAATTATATGGGACACTGAAATTGAAGAAATTGAAAAATCAGTACTAAGAATGGTAACATCTTCTTTAATCTATAAGCCTTTTAAAAGTTCATTTACCTAATCAGTGGGCATCACTGTTGTTCCATATCGCTTTGTTAAATGTAGTCAGTGCGAGTTTATGGAGACATGGTGTGGCATTGCATCGAACTGAGAATATCGTCTGTACTAAACATCTAAGGGCTGGAATCATAACAGTTTTTCTCCTCTGATATTTGTAGTTCTGTGACTTCTCAGAGTATTTTATGGTTATTTTCTTGACAAATAACTAAACTGTGCAAAAAGAAACCAGCTTGTAAAATTTCTGTCAAGTGTCCCGAAGTTTCTGGTTTATTGTATCGCCACAGTTTGCTGCAGTGACAGATTCTGGGGTTGCGGGTAATTCTAACAGGCTGCCATTTGTAAATGTGTCTTGAACGGGTAACACAAACGGCCGCAGAGCTCTGACCCTGACTCTGTGACTCTGTGTCCTCAGACCACGTCCATGTTCGAGAAACTCAGCAGCAGTAACAAGCAGCTGGAGGAGGAGATGAAGGAGCTGGCAGACAGGAAGGAGAGCGTGGCACACTGGGAGGCCCAGATCACCGAGATCATCCAATGGTGTGTGTCTGCCTGATGTTGCCACAAGCTCTGTGGTTTCAACGGGCAATTAAACATTGGATTTTTGTCTCCCCCTAGTGGTCATTGTTTCCTGAACTTGAGTCACTGCTCTCAAAATCTTTTTTTCTGCTTCTGTATGAAATAATAAAATGAAGTGAAGCTTTATGTGCCACTTGCACAAGTATGAGTGCAGGTACATTGCAGTGCTTCTTTTGGCATTTCCTGTCCTGCTCTCCTTTGAAACACACACACACACACACACACACACAATGACAGTGAAGCTTGGGCTCTGAGTGCTGGGTCAGGCCATTTATCTGGCACCCCTGGATGATTTGGGGATGTTAATGGCCAGTGATCATGTAACTATGCTGCCAAAGCCGGGACTGGAACCAGCGACCTTCCGATCACAGGCAGAATGAGCACTGCTGATGAGTGTCGCTGCCCTTGCAGGGTGAGCGATGAAAAGGATGCTCGTGGCTACCTGCAGGCTCTGGCCACCAAGATGACGGAGGAGCTGGAAGGTCTGAGGAGCTCCAGCCTGGGGGCCAGACCTACGGTGAGTCCTTGCCGCTGCTCCCCACCTTGTGCTCTCCTGCCGCTGCTCCCCACCTTGTGCTCTCCTGCCCCTCACTCCCACTCCTGTCCCGTCACCACCCGGCGTGCATCTCTGCCCTCGGCCTGCAGGACATGCCCTGGAAGATGCGGCGATTCGCCAAGCTGGACATGTCCGCCCGCCTGGAGCTGCAGTCAGCCCTGGATGCTGAGATCCGGGCCAAGCAGGGCATCCAGGATGAGCTCAACAAAGTCAAGGCCTCCAGCATCTCCACCGAGTGGTACAATCCTTATTGTTTCTTCTGATACTGATACAATGATGCCGTTTTCTTAATTCTTAACTGCCACTCCTAATTGTCTTATATGAACATGGATGGATGGATGTATGGATGGATGGATAGATATATTGGAGGCATCAGTGTAAGACTTGAGTCTTTCCATTGTAATTGTCTGCAAGCAAGTTGATCATTTCTAAGAGCTTCCACAACAGAGCTGTCTTCCTGTCACTGTGAATGGCTTTGCCGTCACTGGACACACTACTGTGAATTGATTCACACTCTGCTTGATCCAGCAAGCTGCAGGAGTCAGAGAACAAGAACCAGGATCTGGTGGTGGAGATTGAGAGACTGAAGAAGGAGATTGAGGATCTACGCGTGGGGAAGGGTGAGACATTTGTGGTCGGGGTTTGGGTCCCATCAGGTGAACATGAGCCTGGTCTTTGACCTTCCATCTTCTGGCCTTTTTAGGTGTGAAGCACCAAGACTCCCAGAATTCATTTCTGGCATTTTTGAATGCTCCTACCTCTGCCTTGGATCATTTTGATGTAAGTACTGGAACAGCTTCTTGAGTACTAGTTAGCACTCAAGTTAGTTAGTTAGTGAAATTTACTAATCTCTGAAAAAATTTGCCCAATGGAAATTGATTTAGTGATAAATAATTTAGGGTTTCCTAGATGCAGAATTTTTTATAAATCACATCAATCTAAAATAAACGTTTTCTCCATGTGACTCCATTAATATTTTTATGTTTTGCTTTTCCGCCTCATTACTTATAATTTTTTGGTCCATCAGGACTCATTCTCCTCATCCTCCTCTTTAAATCAATTTTGGAATGACGTAAGTCTCTGTAAATATGCTAGCTAGACGTCAGGCTCCATAGCTTAACGTACACCATGAACTCAGCACTGTCATTTTGGTCTAGATCCAGTCCAACCTTTGTCTGTTCAATCAGTCATTGTGTTCACCTGCCTTCGGTTCATTGATGAAAGAATGATGTGTAATTTTCTCTCTCGGAGGGGATACACTGAAATTGATAATGCTGAGAACCTCTCTGTGACTATTACATATCTGTAGATTATAATTAATATATTCTAATTAAGACTCTTTAGATCTGTTTTTATAACGTAACATTACTCCTTCCCTGAGAGTACAGACGTTCCTCTACTTACGAACTTTCAACTTACGAACTTTTAGACATGCAAACGAAGAGGACTGTAAGTCCAAATCGTGTTCATTGGGCTCCTGTTTCCTGTCCGCAACATCAATTTTTGTTTCTGCACGCCAATTCCTCCTAGTACGACTTCTGCCCGCTACTCCCGCCACGCAGCAGCGTAGCGTGTGTACTCCCAGCATCCTAGTAATCTGTACTGGTGTATACCCTTAAAATGATGTTGATTAATGACTTACAAACATTTCAAGTTACGAACAGCCATTTGGAATGTATCTCATTTGTAAGTAGATGAGCGTCTGTACTGGTGTTTGTAGAAGATGTGGTCTTTGTCCCTTGTCACTAGTGTGTTCAGTCCCTGGAAATAACTGGAATCCTGATATCCAAATGTGTACGTCCAAGGGAGAATTTGTGATGGAGTTGGATTGTAGAAACCTAATGTGTCTCATTTTATTGTCCTCTGATTACCTTCTTGGCTGTTACGTGCTGCGATTGTGGTACCCTGGTGTATCACTGGCGTGCTGCTCCTTTTGTCTGAAGATCCCCTTTGTCTCTCTCTTCCTCTCTCTCTGTTTTAAAGCGCTCTCCCGCCTGTATTCGTCCTAGCAAAGGCAGACGCGTAAGGCCCCAGTTTGTCACAGCTGCCCTCTCTTTGCATGGCGTTCAGTGGTGCTTCACTGCTGCCTCTGCTTTCCGTGGCCGTGCTGCATGTTTAGGCACGATGTGCATCGTTTTGCTTCTGACTACAGGCCGAAAACAAGGAAATGCCATCACTATGGGCTGTTGTCAAAGCATTCCTTTGTAAGCAATTCTTACTATTTTAGGACTAGTAAATAATAGGAAGTATGTGCAGGTGTGGCTGTTAAGACCTTAATCAGGGGATGCAAAGATTAACTATAGTTTTCCCAAAGCATAGCTGTTTGTCCAGATTACAGGGCATGCAATAAGGTGCTTGCACAAGCATGCTGCGATCAGTCAATCAGGTATGATTCATGTAGCCAGGCTACTATTTAATCTTATTAAGGCTCCTGTAACCTTAACATTAGGATTACCTCTAATCCACTCTTGTTGCTTGTAAATTTGGTAAAAAATAAAACCTGCAGTCTGTGTTGCTGGAAACAAAGTATGATGTCATAAAGTGTGTTTTGATCTGCATGGGAAAGGTATGTCATAGCAATAGAAATATCTGCAAAATATGAATGGTTTATCCACAACAGAGGGCAAAGTCGGGGGTCTCTTGTGAGCAGTGATTTGTTGTATGTGTTTGTCTAGGTGCAGTGTGTAGTACTGTGGAATGTCCCATTACGGCTGCTTTTCTCATATCATGTCCACCCTTTTCTGACGGGGATATTGTAAAGACGCTTAGTAGCATTCGCACGCTGGCCTATTTAGCATGGTGACGCGCTACATCTGCCTGACCTCGACTGATGCTCGCTTTCACAGTCCGTCTCTGTCCTTCTTCCTTCTCTTTTACAGCATGTGGGGTGATAAAAATTTGGAATTTGTCCTGGGCCCAGTTTGTGTGCATCGATATAGCGATGCCAAAAGCCACTAATTTGTGGACATATTTTTAGTTCTGTTGGCCTAATGCTTTTTATATATATATATATATATATATATATATATATATATATATATATATATATATATATATATATATAAATAGACTAATGTGAAATACCAGGTACTTATTCAAATAAATCACTTGTCACATTCAATATTTCCTTGTTTTTCCCATAATTAACAGAAGCCTTCCACCATCTGTGGTAAAACACTCAGGTTATACATAAAGGTCTGTTATCCATTATCAATTTAACAGCAAGTTCTGAGATTTATATATTCACACCACTGGTAGACTTTTAATAACCTGCAATGGAAAAAGTGACTCCTCTTCTGCAAATCCACCACCATCTTGAGTAAAGCAAGGGAGAATTTAAATACAGAGCAAGTTATGAATGTCTGATTTCAGAAAATTAAACCATAATATGAACCTTAAGGTGAGATATGCTGATCTCTTTCCTGTGTGGAAAGCTGCCGTAATATCCATAGCCTCTCATTGTAAATAGTAATATGTCATGTCGATGGCTGTGTACAGATCACAGAAATGCACTGTGAGTCATGCTAGTGATACGTGCCGCCCCAGAAACCCTTTCTTTATGCAGTGAAACTAAATGTTTGCCAAGGGGGGAAAAAATCTGCCCTTCTGGTAATTTTGCATATCTATGTCTTAATTAAAAAGGCGATCATCACATTTGTTACCCACCCCTATGTTGTAAGGTTTATTTTTATAGGTGATTTGCATCCTTTCATTCATATTAAAGGATGTGGACGTCTTGCAGTGCCTCTGACTTCAGGTTCATTGAATACTCACAAAGTTTGGAGGGATTGGTATTTTGATTTCTAATATACAGTCCCTTCTGAATGTATCGGAATGACGTGGACAGTTTATTTGTTTATGCTAAACACTGAAGATATGACGATTTGAGACAAATGATGAATATAGGACGAGATGAATATATCTCTTACTTCCTGTATTTACATCTAAAAGTGGTAAACAACTGTTTGTTTCAGAACATCCAATTTTAGGTGAACAAAAGTATTTGATCCTGTGACTGACAGTTGTTTCTTGTTACCCAGGTGTCTCCTGTTAGACTGATTGTTTAACCAATAAATAGCTCTGAATGTCTGCCCTTGGTTTTAGCTTTAGGTTTCACCTGTGAAGACTGTATTTGTAGTATATAGGGTAGATCAGAGAGCTGTCTATAGGAGAAAAGCAATGCATATTGGGCATAGTCAATAGAATAATCTTGAATGTTGTGATAAAGAAGGAAACCACTGGTGTATTGAGTAACGGGCCCATCGAACAGGTCAGCCAAGGAGAACAGCAGCTGCTGATGGTAGAAATATTGTGAGATGAAGAAGAACCCAAAACAACAGCCAGTGACATCACCAACAGCTTCCACAGGGCAGGGGTGAAGGTATCACAATCCATTGTTTGAAAGACGACTTTGAGAGCAGAAATATAGCAGCCATGACACAAGATGCAGTAAGAATCGGAATCAGATTGGAATTGGCAATGAAGATGAGCCTTTAAAGTTCTGCATCAATGTTTTATCGACTGATGAGACTAAGATTACCCACAACCAAAGTGTTAGAAAGGCCAAAGAATGGAGGAAGGATGGATCTGTTCATGATGTTAAGCATAGCAGCTCATTGGTGGAGGTCGTGTCATGGCTTGGGCAGGCATGGCTGCTTCTGGAACAGGCTCACTAATCTATATTGATGATGTAACTCATGACGGTAGCAGCACAGTGAGTTCAGAATCTACAGAAGCATTTTGTCTGCCAATTTACAGAGAAATGCAAAGTAATCGGGAGGAACTTCATCATGCAGCAAGACAATGATCCAAAACACACTGCCGACTCACAAAGGGCTTCATCAGGGGGGAAATAATGGAGGGAGATAGACTGGCCAAGTCAATCACCAGGCCTTAACTCAACTGAGCATGCTCTGAGCCTCCTGATGAGGAGACTTAAAGGAGAAAATCCCTGGAACAAATGAGAACTGAACGAATCTGCATCAAAAGCCTGAAAAAGCATCACAAAAAAGAAACTAACTATCTGGTGTCAGTGAGTCTCAGGCTTGATGCCGTTACTGCAGGCAAGGGATATGCAGCCAAAAATTAAGGGTTATTTACTTTAATTTACGTCAAGACGGTCTGTTTCAATAATTTTGCTTCCCTAAAAATGGGGTGCTATGTTCTATGCTGTTTACTACATCCAGATGTCAATATTAGGAAACGTGAAATTCTAAATTCCTGTCTCATTCGTCTTTTGATCTCGAACCCGAACAGTTTCAGTGTATAGTAAAGACAAATGAATTGGCCGTACCATTTAAATACTTTCAGAAAGGGCTGTATTATATTATATATAAAGGGACTTACTGTAAGAGTATGAGCGGCCAGCAAAGCATTCCTGCGGTGCTCCCTGCTCCTCTCTGCTCCTCCCTGCTCCTCCCTCGCTCTGAGTGGCTCCCCATCATCACTCCTCACGCACCAATGTCCACATTCCTTCTGTTCTTCCCTGAACGTGTCCTTTTGTCCCTCTTAGACCGATTCTGTGGACAACTTTCCCCTGTCCAACACTCTGTCCCGTGACGAGGAGGCCAAGTCACACCTCATCTCGCGGTCGAGGTCGCCCTCCACAGCCAGCGACGTGGAGCCGCTCGAGGTAGCCCGAGTCCGGCCTGGATTCTGTGAGCGTGTGGAATGGGCTGAAATCACCATGTCGAAAGACTGGAAACGTACCTGCATTACCTTCACTGATAGGGCGTAGCTCGAAATTCTGGGTATCCATACCCCTACTGCCTCCCTGACTCTGGAGACCAATCTCAATGAGTGAGGCAAAAATCGTTAATAAGATATCATGTTTTTTTTTGTGATATTACTGGTAGTTAGTACTGCAGAGTCACTCCGAGAGTTAGTGAATATATTGTTGCACCTTGAGTTCCTTCACTAAAATAATAAATGATGACATTTGCCCAGCCATGACTTGCATCCGTCCCCTTTCACACCCAGCAGACGGACTCGCACGCCTGGCCCATGCAGACGCCCAGACCATCCTACTGTGGCACTGGCACCGTAACGCCCAAGGTGGGACCAGTTTGCCACATATAACACCCTGAACACCCTTGGCTTGTGGGAGTCGGGGTAGGGGGTACAGATCACACGATGCCGGTTTTAACCGCCTCTCTCCCCACCTGTGTCTCCGCAGCCCAGAGCTCACCAGTTTGTGGTGAAGTCCTTCAGTGTCCCCACCAAATGCAACCAGTGCACATCGCTGATGGTGGGACTGATCCGGCAGGGCTGTACCTGTGAAGGTGTGCGAGCCGCAATCTCCAGGGGCTGATTTTCCTTAGTACATCATCTCTGATGCCATCCCCACTGACACACCCTGGGCTGCTTAGCTCACTAGAGTTCTACATAATGGCTCTGTTGACATACAGTACCGTGCAAAAGTTTTTTGATCTTCATGTTGGTGTAAAACTATGATATTATGTCTGTAAAAATGTGGTTCCATATCAAAACCTCTTCTGAAATCAATCCTGTATTTGCAGCAACAATCCAATATAGGCGTGTTGTTTTTTTTTTATTCGATCACTAGCACACCTCGTTAGTGATGAGCAAATGAAGCTTCATGAACCATTTGCTGTATTTTTTGACCTCACTAGATGGTGCTCTTGGCTTGCTTTGGGACATGCTTTGAGCCCTTTTTTGAGCAGACAGCACCATCTAGTGGAGTCAAAAATACATCAAATGGTTCATAAGTATCATTTTGCCAATCACTACGCCTCGTATAGCTAATCAGTATCTCAGTGTTTTTTGTTCTGAGCAAATTACAGTTATAACCAAAATTAAATTTTAAACATTTCCTTTGCCTAGAACATTTGCACAGTTTGAATTTCTTAATATAATTCCAGTCTGAATTTTCTTCCATATTGTATTTTTCTGTAACTTAATTAGCTAGTGGAAAGTAAGTTGTGTACCATGGAAATGGTACAAAAGCTCCTGTTTGACCGTCGGGCTTCATTGCTGACGTTGATCTTGAGACTGCTCTCCAGTTGCCCTCTGAGATGTTTATCTTCGCATTCTTCATGGTCATGCATCTCCTGCTGCAGTTTGCAACTTCTCGTGCCATGTGACGTGCGCGGACAAGGCGCCTGCGGTGTGCCCCATCCCTGCGGACCAGACCAAGGGCCCGCTGGGCATCGACCCGCAGAAGGGCATTGGCACCGCCTATGAGGGGCTGGTCCGGGTGGGTTGCGTTGTTCACGGCTAAGTACTCCCAGCTCGGTCACATGACGCCTGTCTCAGCCAGTGACTAGGCATCCTGCTGTTTTTTGAGAGTTTGTAAATTTGGGTTAACCCGATTTATTAATGTAATGTATTTACTGTTTTTAACTCCTTGTGGTAAGAAATGTATTTGACAATGCAAGCAGTCACTGATAAAGCTAGTAAGATTTTAATCTCTGAGGTAGTTTGTTTGCTGCGGTGGAAGCTGCTGCTTTGTGCATCCATGCCTGTGTGCATGTGTGAAAGGTAGAATGTGTATAGCTGTGATTGCCAATGTGTGTGTGTGTGTGCATGTTGGGGAGATGGAGAAGTTCCCCGTACTGATCCCAGGATGACCCCTCTCATCCTGCAGGTGCCCAAGCCGGCGGGGGTGAAGAAGGGCTGGCAGAGGGCGCTAGCGGTCGTATGCGACTTCAAGCTGTTCCTGTACGACGTGGCGGAGGGCAAGGCCTCCCAGCCCAGCGTGATGGTCAGCCAGGTCATCGACATGAGGTGAGAGACCCCGAGTCACTGCCCACACCGTCCTGTCGCTGCCCACACCGTCCTGTCGCTGCCCACACCATCCTGTCGCCCAGCTATCCTGTAGAGAGACGGAAATTCACCGCTGCTTCCTCCTTTCCAGGGATGAGGAGTTCTCCGTCAGCTCGGTTTTGGCATCTGATGTCATCCACGCCAATCGGAAGGACGTCCCCTGCATCTTCAGGGTGGGAGTCAGCAACCAGGAGCAGTCATCTGCTCTATCGTATCTCTCCTTTGCTTTCTGTCACTGTAGACAGATTTCATATATCCAGTATCTGCATCGTGCTCTGGGAGTCCAGACTGGGACAGATCTGGAACACATTGTTGTATTTGTAGTTGTATTTAATGTGCTTCTCCATGGCAGTGGAGAAATACATGCTGTATTACAGATGAAGTCTCACCATTGATAACTAACATTGATAGTCCACATTTCTCAAACTTGCGAGCTCCCTCTAGTGATGTGTAGAGGTTAGGGTTTTTTTATGATTGTCTGTCACTGTGGTGGTGCACGGAGAGCCTAATATTTTCTGAGGTGCTTTGCAGTGTGAAAAGTTTAAGAACTGTCGCTTCATTAGATGCAGATCTTTGCCGATCCCTGATGTGATCTCTGTGTTTTCCAGGTGACGTCCTCTCAGCTGTGCACCTGCAGCAGCCACCGGAGCTCCGTGCTAATCCTGGCCGACAGCGACCAGGAGAGGAACAAATGGGTGGGCGTCCTGAACGAGCTGCAGCGCATCCTGAAGAAGAGCAAACTGAAGGAGCGTTCCGTCTACGTGCCCAAGGAGGCCTACGACAGCACGCTGCCCCTCATCAAGAGCACGCAGGCCGCCGCCATCATCGGTGAGCCCGGCGCCCTGACCCCTGACCCCTGACCTCACCCAGAGGTCATGTGGGGTTTTGGCAACCCGCATATCGATCTTTACCCTGAACCGTCTGTCTCGCTTGACTCCAGATCACGAGCGCGTCGCTCTCGGCAACGAGGAGGGTCTCTATGTCGTGCACGTCACCAAAGACGGTGAGAATAAAACGTCTGACAAACCCACACTGAACTGCGAATCCCTGAATTGTAACACATTTCTTGCACTTGCATGAATCCTATTATGCACACATTAAGGATTATTTTACTGTGTATCTTTTACATCAGATATTTAATAGAACACAAGAGATCATGAGGTAAATGATAGCAGTGGAAGTGGAAAGGTTACTAAAGTGTACTAAGAACATAAGAAGATAAGAACTATACAAACGAGAGGAGGCCATTCGGCCCATCAAGCTCGCTTGGGGAGAACTTAACTAATAGCTCAGAGTTGTTAAAATCTTATCTAGCTCTGATTTAAAGGAACCCAAGGATTCAGCTTGCACTACGATATCAGGAAGACTATTCCATACTCTGACTACACGCTGTGTAAAGAAGTGCTTCCTTAAATCCAGCTTGAAATGTTCTCCCGCTAATTTCCACCTATGGCCACGAGTTCTTGTATTTGAACTAATGATGAAGTAACTATTTGGTTGAACAGCATCCAAACCTGTTAGAATCTTATAGACCTGGATCATGTCCCCCCTCAGTCTCCTTTGCTTGAGGCTGAACAGATTCAGCTCAGCTAACCTCTCCTCGTATGACATTCCTCTAAGACCAGGAATCATTCTTGTGGCCCTACGCTGCACCTTTTCTAAGGCCGCTATGTCCTTTTTAAGATATGGTGACCAAACCTGCACACAATATACTAGGTGAGGTCTCACCAAGGAATTATATAAACGTAACATCACCTCCCTCGACTTAAACTCCACACACCTGGAGATATACCCCAACATCCTATTGGCCTTTTTTATTGCTTCCCCGCACTGGCGAGAGTGGGACATGGAAGCCTGCACTGCAGGCATGCAGGAACTGACATTTTTATATTGCGCAATGTTTTTCCTTTATTCTTTTTAGTTAGTTTTGTACATAATTCTAGAATTGTAACTTATTTTTATGAATATTTTATTTTTATACTGGTATTTTAGAATTGTGCTGGTTAATTGCCCATGCCGGTTACTTGAATACCGGGTATGAGAGCTTTCACTGCACACTGGCAGATCCCCGCTTCCAGCTGTCCTGCAGCCACATCTCTGGCATAGTGTCACTCAGCCTGGGTCTGGATGCCCCTCCCTTTCAGAGATTATCCGCGTGGGGGACAACAAGAAGGTGCACCACGTGGACCTGCTGGCCTCCGAGCAGCTCCTGGCCGTCATCTCGGGCCGCAATCGCCACGTGCGTCTCTTCCCCATGGGGGCGCTGGACGGCAGAGAGACAGATTCCTTCAAGCTGCCGGAGACCAAGGGCTGCCAGGCGCTGGTGTCGGGGCAGCTGCGGCACGGCGCCCTCACCTGCCTGTGTGTGGCCATGAAGCGGCAGGTCATCTGCTACGAGATCAACAAGAGCAAGACGCGCCACCGCAAGCTGCGCGAGATCCAGGCACCGGGGGCCGTCCAGTGGATGGCGCTGATGGGCGAGCGCCTCTGCCTGGGCTACCAGGCCGGCTTTGTACGCTACGGCCTGCCTGGCGAGGCTGCACCCGTCAGTCTGCTGCACCCAGAGGACCCCACCCTGGCCTTCATCGGCCAGCAGAACCTGGACGCGCTCTGCGCCGTGGAGATCTCCAGCAAGGAGCTCCTGCTCTGCTTCAGCTCCCTGGGCATCTACGTGGACTGCCAGGGTCGCAGGTCGCGGCAGCAGGAGCTGATGTGGCCGGCCACGCCCACCGCCTGCTGTGAGTCCCGGGTCGTCCAATCAGCACCCTTGGCAGAAGGGGGCCGGCTGTAATGCTCAGGGGTGCAGTAGGGGCCTGGATGCCCTGACAAATATAGGGGGCCCAGTACTTTATAAGAATAAGTCCAGAATAACTTCATGTGTTGGTGAGTTGTGTGTTCAAAGAAGCCTCTCTGCACAGCTGCCTTGGTGGGTTAAGCATGTAACTTATAAAATGGCCTCTGAGTATACAATGTATATGCTGGAATGCAAAGTTGTACAGTAATTCTCAAACTGTAGGCAGCGGGTTTGCATATTCTGTAAGTTGCTTGTAGAAAATGACTGTGTGTACTGTGCCCTGCATTCCAGGCTACAGCGCCCCCTACCTGTCAGTGTACAGTGAGAACGCGGTGGACGTGTTTGACGTCAACACCATGGACTGGATCCAAACGATTCCCCTGAAAAAGGTACGGCGTGGTCATGCGCGGGGTCTGTGACGCATGTCCTGCAGACGCCTGCTCCCTCACTCACCCCTTCCGGTCTCCCCAGGTCCGGCCCCTGAACTTAGACGGCTCCCTCAACCTGCTGGGCCTGGAAACAGTTCGGCTCATTTATTTCAAGAACAAGATGGCAGGTATGGAAAGGGCCTCTCAGCCAAAACCGAAACAGAGTACGGTATCAATAGATTGACACCTACAGTGTTCAAAGTGTGTTACAGGTCTTTGGGGGGGACGTGAAAGTTGCATAAATGTAAACAAGTGAAGTCGGGGGGTGTTATTTGCTCATTTTAAGGGGGGGCCACCCCATCCTCCCAACCCAGGTGCATATTGTTTCTCTCATGGGGGGGGGGTCCCTGAGCTCTTATGGGGCTCTGGATACTTGGTCATATTTAAGTTAGACCCAGCAGGCAGAAAAGCCCATGCCAAGCTCTGCCCTCTGCCAGTGCGCCCCAAGGCCTGTGTGTGACTCACTGTGTGTGTCCCATTGCCCCCTGACACAGTATGTCTCATTGCCCCCTAACGCAGTGTGTCTCATTGCCCCCTAACGCAGTGTGTCCCATTGCCCCCTGACGCAGTGTGTCCCATTGCCCCCTGATGCATTGTGTCCCATTGCCCCCTGATGCATTGTGTCCCATTGCCCCCTGACGCAGTGTGTCCCATTGCCCCCTGACGCATTGTGTCCCATTGCCCCCTGATGCAGTGTGTCCCATTGCCCCCCGGAGTCCATTAACAGTCTCACTCTTCACTCCGCAGAGGGCGACGAGCTTGTGGTCCCCGAGACGTCAGACAAAAGCCGCAAGCAGATGGTGCGCAGCATGAACAACAAGAGGCGCTTCTCCTTCCGTGTTCCCGAGGAGGAGAGGATGCAGCAGAGGAGGTTGGATCTGCTCCTAGGGGGGGCTGAATAGCGCTGGCCGCCATCTCCCCAGTCTTAAATTGAACATTTAACATACCAGCCCACTTCTCTGATACTGAAACCTGGGCTGGGCAGGGGCTATTCTAGGTGGGGCCATAATTCACACGGAGGGGCCAGCTGTATATGTTTTGAATCATTGACTGGGGGGCACTCCGGGGACCAATCAGCTTACAGCTGTAGCCAATGCCCCTCTGGTTCCGCCCCTGTATGCACCTCTGGGGCGGTGTCTCTACAGGGACCTTAGACGTGGAAAGTTAACCTCCCTGCTCGGCCTGTCTTATACAGGGAGATGTTGCGGGACCCTGAGATGAGGAACAAGCTCATTTCCAACCCCACCAACTTCAACCACGTCGTCCATATGGGGCCCGGCGACGGCATCCAGATCCTCAAAGACCTGCCCATGGTGAGTCAGACATGTCCCTCTGGGGGACCCAAGCTGGGGGACCCTCAGCACCCTCCTCCTGACCTCTGCCACCTTTCCTTTGGCTCTTTTCCTTTTTGGTTTTATGGTCTAAAAGCCAAAAATGTCCACCTGAGAAGATAAATTGTTGTAAGGGGGTGCTATTTTATTTCAGCCCAAAAAGTTTGTTTTTATCACAATCTTGTTTTAACAGCGGCCTGAAGACTTTCAAATATTTAAATTTCAAATATAAATGTTAAATATTACAGATCTGAGATGCTATAAATGGCCGTAGACAGCATACCACACTGTGTCAGTTTGCACATGCTGGTTGGTGGTGGCTCCGCCCTCTCGTCTCGCATAATGACTCCGCCCTGTTAACCCCGACCATCCCTGCCTTTTCCCGCACTCCCCCTTCTCGCCTTTTCTTTCCGGTTTCCAGCCGGGCTCCCCCCTCCTCCCCTGCCCCTCTCCACACATGCGCCTCATCTCCACCCCCACCGGCTTTCAGCATGTCTGTCACATGACCACCCGAAGCTTTCTCCCCCGAGACTACACGCCCTATTCCAGCTACTCTCCATCACTGCGCTCTTTCCCCGGGACCCCAGCCTCGGCCTGCTTCCGGGTATGGCCCACTGTGTGCCTCATCTGCGCAGTTCCTGCCGCCTGCCCCGTGAGGACTGCGTCTGCTGTCTGCCGTGTGGTCTGACCTGCGCAGGACCTGCTTCCCATGCTTACCTGACCTCTCTGTCTATAACGGCTACACTGTGTAGCTGATTGACTCTATGGCCTCTGCTGTGTGTAATTATGTACCGGCAGGTAAAAACTGAAAATTGGTCCAGGTCGGATTTAATAGGTCAGAATGTTATTTTGATACCAGGGACACAAGATTTGGCTATTGGTAGTGATAGACAAAATAATGCATCATAAACCATTTGCTATATTTTTACCCCACTGGATGATGCCTTCTGTTTAAAAAAGGGCACAAATCATGCCCCAAAGCAACCCAAGAGCACCATCTAGTGAGGTCAAAAAATACAGCAAATGGTTCACAAAGCCTCATTTTGTCCATCACTAGCTATTGGGGTACCCCCTGAACTGATTAATGGGGACCTCACTTTCATTTCCATGGAAGGTTTCTGCTGTTGATTGTACGATTTCTCTACGAATCTCCTAAAAAACTTTTGTTCAAACTTTATTTTGGACCCCAGAGTTTTGTAACCATCTATTTTGAGGGTGAAAAGAATGCTGAAAATTCAGTAAATAATTTCAGTGTGGTTTGGAGAAGAAATAATGACAAGGCATAAGTTGACAAATAGCAAGAAATATCCTTTTTAATGTAAAAAATATTTGACAGTTGGATAAGCCAAATCTGAAGCAGAGTTATTGCCCTTTTCTCCGGTCCGTACACTTACCTGCCAGTACCAATGCAGTATCACAAGGTGTGTTTGCAAATTTGCTGCATGTCGCTTACACCTGCTAACCCCAGCGGGCCGGTCATGTCACTCCTGAGCTCCTTCGGCGTCCTCACCCTGCATAGACAAGCTCACCAAGGCATTTGGCATCATGTGATTTCATGCATCACTTCTTTGATTGGCTGGGTGCCTGCTTACTCATTTCCCCCTCTTTCTGCATGCGCACTCCAACTGTAAATGAGTGTCTGTTAGCCAGAAGCAGATCCTCCTGGCTGATTTACGTTTGTTAGTGAGTGAATACCACACCACTGGACGATTATTCATGTTAGGCAGGTGTTTCAGTAAAGGGAAAGTGAAAAGGCCATGCCCTCCTGTTTGGTTTGTGTAATCACTACTGTCTTGTGTGATGTCACTTAAAACCTCTTTCACTAATCTCTGTAATCCAGATGACTTTAAGGTTTTCTGTTATCTGACTGAATGTAATGCTGTGTGTATATGCTGCCCGCATCTCCTTTAGTCCCAGCCGCTTTTTGCTCCGTTTTCCGTTTCCTTCCTGTGTTTCCCGTGTCAAACTCGCTCACATGTTCCTGGTCTCTCCCTCTCTCTCCCCTCCCCTCTTCCTGCCCCATCCTGCACCTGGCCCACGTCCCCCCGCCCTCTAGAACGTCCGTTCCCAGGAGAGCCGGGCTGTGTTCAGTGGCTCCGTCAGCATCCCATCCATCTCCAAGGGCCGGGGAGAGCCGGGCCGGTCCATGAGCGCCAGCAGCGGCCTGGGCATACGTGAGTGCCGGCGGTCGCGTGACACGGGCGCGTGGGGGTGCTCCGGCGGTGCCAGATAAATGGTCTGACTTCAAGCTTTGCTTTCACCTGTGTATGTCTCAGAAGAGAGCACGATACGATATGTGAAAAAAGTGCAAATAAAGCATCATTTCATTTAGTATAAAAGTAAACAAATAAATGTAGTTTAGGGCTTACCAAGTCAGAACTTATATGCTATATCTAATATATTTTAGGCCTACGTCTGTAAGAATCTATAATAATAATAATAGAAAAAAAAATGAAATCTTGTAGTCCTCTCTTTTTATTGTGAATTTTCTATGGTGGTGTCTCTCTAAGCCTAGTATGCGGGGTCTGCTGTGCAGAGCCTGTTGTGTGGGGCCTACTGTGTGGGGCCTACTGTGTGGGGCCTGCTGTGCAAGGTCTGCTGTGCAAGGTCTGCTGTGCGGGACCTACTGTGCAAGGTCTGCTGTGTGGGACCTGCTGTGCGGGGCCTACTGTGTGGGACCTACTGTGCAAGGCCTACTGTGCAAGGCCTGCTGTGCAAGGTCTGCTGTGTGGGGCCTGCTGTGCGGGGCCTGGTGTGCAAGGTCTGCTGTGCGGGGCCTACTGTGCAAGGCCTGCTGTGTGGGGTCTGCTGTGCAGGGCCTGTTGTGTGGGGCCTGCTGTGCAAGCTCTGCTGTGTGGGGCCTGCTGTGCAAGCTCTGCTGTGTGGGGCCTTCTGTGCAAGCTCTGCTGTGTGGGGCCTGCTGTGCAAGGTCTGCTGTGTGGGGCCTGCTGTGCAAGGTCTGCTGTGTGGGACCTGCTGTGCGGGGCCTACTGTGCAAGGCCTGCTGTGTGGGACCTGCTGTGCGGGGCCTACTGTGCAAGGCCTGCTGTGCAAGGTCTGCTGTGTGGGACCTGTGGTGCAGGGCCTACTGTGCAAGGCCTGCTGTGAGGGGTCTGCTGTGCAAGGTCTGATGTGCGGGGTCTGCTGTGCGCCGCATGGTATGCAGGGCCTCACGTGCATCCTGACATGAAGACTCTTTCTTAAATGCTGCATCTCACCTCCCAAACCCCCAGGATCCACGGCCCAGAACGGCAATGCCATGAGGAGGGACTTCAGCAGCAGCAGCTACGGCTCCAAGCGGCAGGCCATGACCTCACCCTCCGAGAGCTCCCTGTCCTCGGGTGGGGGCATGGATGGGGCCATGGATGCCCCCATCTCGCAGTTTGACAGAGAGGTGAGGGGGACATTAGGGAGGGGCGTGGGATGCACACTGAACCCTGCACCCTCTCTCCCCTCCATATCGTTTGGCTAGATATTGTCTTTCCCTGGACATAAGATAACTAAGCATGTGCTTAGGGCCCAGCAGCCACCAGGGGGCCCCCCATCCCATCAGCTTGTCAAAATGAGAAAGAAGATGACAAATGACTAGGTTAATAAAATTTTGCTTAGGGCTCCGAAAGGGTTGGGCAGGCCCTGGTCGTTCCCTTGTTGTCATCCCAGTAACTTCTGTGTTTTTGTGCCCAACCCTGTATGAAAGTATGTGTGGCAATTTTGAGATTTATATCTTAGTGATTTATGTAAATTTCTTGAAGGGAAATAAATCTGTTTCCATGGTAGCTGAGCATATGCTATTTTCTAATATGGAGTTGCCTCCCTTTTCGGGCAGGATTCCGATTCTCCCCGCCACTCCACAGCCTCCAACAGCTCCAACCTGAGCAGCCCCCCAAGCCCGGCCTCCCCGCGCAAGACCAAGTCCCTGTCCCTGGAGAGCACGGACCGCATGGGCTGGGAGACGTGAGCCGGAGGCTCCACCCCATATGCCCAACATGCCCCGCCCCCATTTAGCCACGCCCACACAAAGGCACATGGCCCCTGCCAATCATGACCTCAGGCCCCAGCTGGCTAGAGCACCACTGTTTGCAATCGGATAAATGGAAGCAGACACCTTCAGACCTCAACATAAGCATGAAAAACAGGAAGTGGACATCACCTGGACAGGAAGTCCCTGCTGGGTAAACGCATCCTCCCCTTATCAGGAAGCGGGTGTGGAGCTTGTGACCACATGTGTGCTGGTGTGTGTTTGTGCGCGTGTGCGTGTGCTGCCTGAGAAAGGGAGAAAAAAAATTGTTTTTGCACCCCCACCTCAAGCTGCCTTGAAGCTGAGTGACTCTGGGATGAGTCCAGTCCAATACATACTCACATTGTAAGTGGGTGAGGGACTGTCTTACCAAGAGTCACCAGCAGGCCGTGCCAGAGGAGGCGAGAGAGAGGAGAACATGACTGGGGAAGAGAATTAGCATTTGTAAATAACACGTAGAGACGGCACGAGCAAGATGTTTAGTTAAGGTATTTTATTGAATGGGTTTCTTTCGTTTTATCATACGGGGAGTGTGACTGATTGCTCAGTTGAATCGGTGTTTGAAAGGTGAGGAGGAAGATTTTATTTACTTATCCAGTTTGCTTCTGCTGCTTTGTCTCTCATATAGACTACAGTTACCATTTTCTTCTTTACATTGAGTGGTAGCAAGAAAAAGTCTCTATTTTCAATAAGGGTTGTGACCCAAATCCTGACAAAGAGGTGATTTCCATGGCTTGTATGTGTCCCTTTTCTCTTTCTGATTTGCTTTTAACAGTTGAGGCTGTGCTATTACTCGGAAAAGAAACCTAATCTTTAACGTAGTAAAAATTCCCAGAATGGTAAGTCGCTGGGAAATGTTTGGGGTTGGTGGGCATATTGTAGTGACATCATCCATCCCGCAGATGGCACTATTGCTGGGTGTCGTCTGCTCTGCTTTTGCCTTAATTAGATAAGCAGAGGTCAGGCTTTAGAGAGGAACATACTTTGTTGCTTCAATAATGTATCTAACTAAAAGTAAAATTAATATATGAGGAAAAATGTTATAAAGTGAAATCTGTGACACGTATGGCAATTTTTATTTCTGTTTTAAGCTTGATAGAATTCTTAGTACTTTGGGCATATTCAAACAGAAAAGCCATTTTAATCATTTTTGTTGTGTCTGATTTGCATTTAGTTGCCTTTTACAGTGGGTCATCAGTATTTGGTGAAATTCGGTGCAGTTCACTGGAACCACCACCTACTCTATGCTCACACCCGTTGGTCGCCACAGACACGCACACACTCATGTGGATTTAGGGACCACAGACACACACATGTGGATTTAGGGACCACAGACACACACACATGCAGATTTAGGGACCACACACACACACATGCAGATTTAGGGACCACACACACACACACGGATTTAGGGACCACAGACACACACACACACACGGATTTAGGGACCACAGACACGGCCTTGTTACCTTCCACTGACCTGCCGTACTCTGGCTAACCTTTTATCACTGGAGCAATAATCCCACACTTCCAAAGAAATATATTCTTTTCTGATTTGTTGGTATTTGTTTTATTGTCGTTCTGTTCAGGTCTTTGTTTCCATAGCTTCTGTGGTTTTCTTTTCGGGTAAGCTGAGTGCACCTTTGCGGAAACCCCAAGAGCGATTTTGCTAAAGAAAAAATTCTTTTGACATTAGAGTAGTCTTACTACTTACTCATGGTAACTGACAGCATTGTGTGACGGATTCTACACCTTCTCATTAGTCTGGGGATCAAATTGCTGAAGAAATACGGACCACGCAATCATGAATTCTTCGCTACCATTCAAAAACCATGAAAGACTGATAGAATAGAGAGACTGTACCAGTTATGCCATTGTAGTAATGCGGTATTCTTTGAAAGTGACTGGGATGCTATTTTCATTTTTAATCTTATTGACATTCTATCAAAAACTAGCTCCATTCCTGCGGGGTATTTGGGGTTATATGGGTATTTTGGAAATATGTACTTTCTCTTAATTAACACTGTCAATCTTGCATATGCTCGCAATAAAGTTAAATGAGCGTAGTGCCCCTTCATTAAAGGATGTAATGCCTTAAGGAATTAAAGTACAAACATGGGACACATAATTAATTGGACCAGCTGCTTGCTATGTTTTTATTTTTTTATTGTATTTATTTGATGGCCACTGAAAGCGTTCCTGCAGTGAGAATAACTTGGCAGTGTTTTCATGCTCCTGTGGTTTGTCTGCCCTGTTTTCCGTGTGGATTCCCATGGGTTTGACTCAATCAGTCAAGTTTTCATGTGGCTACAAAGCTGAAACAATGTTAGTTAATAGCTAGTTAAGTCTCCGTCACTTGTGTCTGGACAGCAATATCTCAATGTAAACGGCTTTTCTATAGTAGACTGCAGTATTTTAGTAAAGAATAGAGCAATATTTGTCCAGCCCGTTCAGAAAACAAACTCCTTTGCATCTGATTTTAAACCGATTCATTTTCCCAGATGCTTCTTTTCCTCGTGAAGTTAAGCTGCTCAACTAATATTAATGAATAATTAATATTATTGTTGGACCATATGATTATGTATTCCAACATTTGTTTTGTTTTTCATCTTGAATCGAGTCCCACCTGAGGCTTGAGTGGTAAAAAAGGATCAAAGGGGACTCGGCATCGACCCTTAATCAGAAAGCGATTCAGACATATCGGGATCGTCGCCATTTGCACTTAAACCGATAAGGAAAAATCCACTTTTATACGTTCAGACCCCGAGTACTTATATGACAACCTTGGTGTACTTACGTGATATACGTATTTGCAGGCTTTGTTTGTATTGGTCAGTCCAGTTTTCTGCAGAATGATTTGCTGCGGAGAGAGAATCTCCTTGCTAGGTAGCTCACTTGGGACAGGCTTTTCCACTGCGTCTCAGCCAGGAAGCCTGTGTGTTAAACTCAGGACCGTCTAGAACCAATGATTATAATAATGCAATGAGGAATATCTCCAAGCGGGACTATACAGGAAACTAGCAGCTGCCGGATAAGCAGCTATAGCATAGCTATAATCAAATATAGTGATTAATTCTGCAGATAATGTGACAGGAGAGAGTTTGGTGTTGTGGCTTTTAAGTGGGTGGGTGGCAAAGAGGGTCAGGCTCAATGGGTCAAAGCTGAATTGTGTTGAAGATTTGTTTTGTTTTGTTTTTTTTTTTTGCTTTTCGTTGACGTTTTACCTGCATTGTATGTTATTTGCTATTTCATATCATATTAAGTTTATAGGATTTCTTTGTAAGAATATGTACAGTTTTGCATGTCATAGGTGTAATCACTTTTGTTGTTAGAATTTAAGGCTGGATTTTTTTTTAAATTTTATTATTGTATTATTATTTGAGTTGCCTATTTGAAAATGTTGGGGATGTTACAGAGGATAGCCCACTGTGGCTGATGTAGATTCTTTTTTGCACAGAACTATTTAAGGTGGAAGTTCAACAAGTAAAGTATGGGACCGGCCACCACTCTCTCTATGTGGGGGGGGGAGGGGGGAAATCCATTATTATATTAACCGGACTTTGATGTATTTCAATAAAACAGGAAAACTGTTAGAATTACGATTCCTGTGTGTTGTGTGTGCTTGCATGCCGTTGATGTGTATACTACTAAAAATGGGTTGTAAAATAGGCAGTCATTCATTTGACATAACACAAATCTCTGTACGAAAAGTTTTGTGTTTATTCTTTACAAAATTCTAAAACTGACATTTTTACACATTTTACAAGTAATCAAAGTGAAATCAACCTGATTCTGTTCACTAAAGTAGGGAAAGTGTCCGTCAAAACGCCCCTCCCTGATAATTTCTGCAGATTGACGCCCCCTACTGGGCACAACACAAACCTACATCTGCCTTCCATAGCGTAAAAGCTACCCTGGGTATTCAACATTTAAACCACTAACACAAGCTAATGGGCTCAGAGACTTTTACTCGGTCTTCTTCCGTTCTATAGTTTGTCTCCAAGAAAATGGAAGAATCAGTAGTTAAGTTGCAGCAGCTTCTTATCTTAAAGATAAACCTACACTAGACACAGGGGGAAAAGAGTGAAGTAATTGGTCTGAAGACCAGAAAGAGGGGAACAAGAGGTACTTGTGTATTTTTTACATTCTGTTGCCTGAACAGCGCAAGCAGTTTAGGATGGTCTTGGGTAAAACCCCTGAACAGGGTATGGATGGACAAAATCATGAGGGACAAACTGTGCTCATTGCTCATGCTGCTGACTATATTAAAAGTGATGTATCAATATCAGCCTGGAGCTGGACAACAAAACACACCTTAAGACATTCCAGCTATTATAAACATTCAGGGAAGGTTGAAAGATGCTTAAAACCAAGGAATGTTGCTGTCTGTGATTTTGGTGGGGGAATCCATTTCGGAGAAATCGATGGAAATGTGATATTGCATGAATGTTAGATAAAAACAAGGCAAACCATAATTTCAGAGATGTTGTGTCAGGGACCAGGTCCTCCTCTGTCAGTGAGAGTAGCAATGACATCTTAGCACGTGAGGTAGGCCTCTGGGTCACCAAAACATCACTGGAGTCCCGATGATGTAGTGTAAGGACGGTCAACCTGGGGCTTATGATCCAAAAGTGCTGACAATTCCCTGCTCTCGCGTCCTGCTTCCTGTTACACCTCCGCTCACAGGCACAAAGGGTGTGGCCTTCCTCAGTCTCTATCCCGTACAGCGTTCGATCAAGTTACAACCAGACAAGTAGGTGTGTAGAGGACTTCTCAATGGCTGCCTGAAAACTGAAGTACCTTTTGGGACAGAAATGCACAACGATAAGGGTGTTGTACTTCTGCAATGGATGTAGGCACGTGTCCCTGCTAAAGTTTGCAGGCTAGAGCCCTCTTTGATGTGCAGACTGACATTCTGATCTGAGGACGGTGCACCATAGCAAACGAGTGCGAATGGCTTCTCTTTCACGTCTCATTTAAGTCCCATAATGGCAGGAGACCAGAACCATGTTTACTGGGAGTCCCTCCTGTTTCCCATATTGCCTGCCTTTGTATGACATCAAGCCCCCTAAGGCTGACTGGGGTGCCTGTTTCACTGTTAGTCCATTGGCCCAAGTCACTGTTCCAGCATAGAGGATCCCTGAATGGTCAAGGTTATCTCGCCTTCCTCCCTGAGGAGGAACAGGAACTCCCTGTCAGGCCTGTACACCGAGGTCACGCACTGGCGCCGTCCTCCTCGACCACGCGGTTCATGGTGGTGCCGTGGGTAACGTGAGTGGCCTGGGAGTTGCTCAGATCCCTCATGCTGCTGTGCCGCGATTGGCTGTCGAGGCGCTGCATGCTGCCGTGCCGCGATTGGTCGAGGGGGGGCAGGTGAGGGAAGCTGCCATAGGGCAAACGATCTTCCATGCCGCGGTAACTGCATGGGGTGTACCTGGAGGAACGAGTCGCCAGGGAGCCAGTTAGACATCATACGATAAATTATGGCTTCATGGAATATTATAAATGGAACAATTACAATGCGAGCAGGGTTTGCCATGTAATCTCTACATTAATAAATGGTCAGTGCAGAGAGATGGGTGTCCGCTCGTCCCACCTGCCGTCACGTGATCGCCGCAGGCTGCCGTGGTAACTGCTCATCTTGCTGTGCACGCTGCCGGCTCTGCTGGGCAGGTCGTCCAGCATGGCCAGGTGAGTGGAGGAGGCGTGGGTGGAGGTGCCCTGCGTGGAGGTGCCACGGGACTTCCTTACGATGGGTGTGTTGGGGTCCCGCAGTAGGGACTGCGCAAAATCGGGCTCCTGGAGAACCTGCCGGCTCTCGTTCACGGCACTGCTGTTGGAGGGGGGGGGGGGGCAAAAGGAGACTAAATATTTAATATTATGACAGTTACAGTAGAAGCAAATGAACTCATTTCACCGGTTCAGGGCATGCTGGGCATTTTGGCTCAGAATCGCCACCTGCTGGCCACCTGAACCTCATCTTCATAGGTGAAGGAGACGCGTTGTAAGGGATGTAAAACTCACTCCTTGCGACGGCGGCCTCGGAAGAAGCCAGCCCACTCAAAGCAGGTCTTCTTGCTGCCCACCCAGAAGACAGAGGGGATTCCCACCACCAGCGTCATGAGGTACTTCATGAGGAAGAGCACCAGGTCCGGCCGGCTGGTCTCCTCCACCTGCGAGAAAGCTGCCATTATCCTCCCGCTGTTGGGGGAACGCTGGTGATTCCACTCAGCATAACGGGCATGTCCGTGTGTGACTGAATGGCCTAAAGCCTCTTAAGCATCATTAAAAACTAACTGTGGATGATGTCACTGGACTTGAGTGATTTAGGAGAGGTGTGGTCTGTTTACATGAGCTTCCATGCATTAAATCTTTGTCTTGCGTGCAGCATTAACTGCACAGCCCCTCTCTAGCTGTGCCTGTGTTTCCCAGGTTGCACAGCTCACCACACGCACCCCCCCACTCCGACTCGGTGGACCTCCCATAATGCCACGCTCCGTCTATTCGCCCCTCCCAGCTGGTTCTGCTTCACTGAGGCACACAGAGAGACAGATGCCCAGCTCCCAGAGCGAGATCGGACCGCCCGACAAGCGAGAGCTCCCATCCTCGTGTCCTCGCTTATTTGGCGAGCCTGGGCGGTCGTTACGGCAACGCACATGGCCGCGGGCCGCTGTGTTTGTTCAGCTCGGCTTCCCTTTGAGGTCAGAAATTGGACTCCTCTATTATCTGCTCATCCTCGTTTGCAGTAACGAGGGGTATTTATGTACTTCATTAAAAATGAAGGGTTTGCAGTCTGTTTGGATATGCCGGCCTTGATGGGACTCTCTGAGCTCCGTGCCAAGATGATCCGATCTAACCCTGCTGCCCCCCCTTGGTGTCTCATCTCACTGATGCCTGGACAAAGAGGTTCCGGTCCAGACCCCATCCAAAGCGTTTTAAACCAGCCTATCGCGTGACACTGATGGCCACTCCTCCTTGTCTGCCTGGCATATGCTCTTGGCCCCGCCTATATTCCTTGGAGGAACTTACCGGATGACATCTCCTCCTTGTTAATTTGCCGAAAACCAACACAAAATGAAAGATGACAGCATCACCCCCCATAGCACCGCTGGCGATCCACACCGTCATGATTCAGTGACTCCCTTCCTCTCTGCTTTGTCTGAGCTTGTTGAAGAGTGGAGACCTGGACGCTTTCCTGCTCATCTGGCTTTGCTAGGTCTACATCTACAGGTCCTGCCCATGGTTACTCATTATCACGGCTGCTCGTTACCATGCCAACCGGCATCAAAAATGCCCCCCTTACCACACCATCCCTCTACCCTCCATTCCCAGCAGTCTGGGAAGCGTGAAATAACAAGTTCTGGAACAAAAGCATTTGGATCACAAGAGTATGATTATCTTGCTGGGTCTCTCCCCCAGCAGCCACACGCATGCCCACGCAGCACAGGTGCTTAATTATTAAACGGCACCGATCTGGGTTCACAGAGGCCCCGAGATAAAGGCCAATTCAATTCTCTAAAACTGGAGGAGAAAAATTCTGATGAGTAGGATATGAGTATTTAAGACACAGCAGCTATGCATGAAGAGTCGTCCTTGTCGGCTGGTGTGTTGTGTAGTGTGGGCGGAGCCCTTAAAGGGCCGGTTACCCGGTAGGGGCAGGGGATGTGGTACTCGCGGCAGCGCTCCATCACCCAGCTGGTCTCCCACACGGCCCGGTAGCTTTGCTCATAGAAGTAACAACCGATGACCACCAGCAGGGGTGCCAGGTAGAGCACGGAGAAGACGCCGATGCGGATCATGAACTTGACCAGCTTGTCCTGGTTCTCCTTCTCCAGCGGGATCTCCATGCGCACGCGGTTGAGCGCCGCGATGCCGGCCAGGAGCAGCACCACGCCCAGCAGCACGTCAATGCAAAGGGGTGCCAAGACGAACCAGCGCAGGGCCGCCACGTCGTAGAGGCCCACGAAGCACACGCCGCTCACGTTATCGCCCTCAATCTTGCTCATGGCTGTCAGGGTCACGGTCAGCGCTCCCGGGATGCCCCAGCCGCTGGCATGGAAGAGGAGGGCCTTCTTCTCGATGGCCTCGCTGCCCCACTTGGGCACTGCGGCCAGGAACCAGGTGATGGTGAGGATGACCCACCAGACACTGCCAGCCATGGTGAAGAAGTAGAGCACCATGAAGAGCAGCGTGCAGGCCTTGTTGTGCGAGCCCTGGGTGACGGTGGAGGCCCGGTACTGGCCGGGGCTAGCGGCATTGCAGGCCACGCGGTCCTCCAGCAGGAAGCCCAGAAAGAACACCAGCGACACCATCATGTAGCACACAGCGTAGAAGATGATGGGCCGCTCCGGGTAGCGGAAGCGGGTGACGTCGATGAGGAAGGTGAGGAAGGTGAAGAGGGTGGCAGACAGGCAGACGATGGAGACGACGCCGATGAAGTAGCGGGCGAAGCGGAGTTCATCTTGACGGAGGTACATGTTGGGGCAGGACGGTGAGCAGTCACGCACCCCCAGGAAGGAGTAGCCCAGTTCGGGCTCCATCTTCAGCTCCCTTGGGCACCAGAAGCCGTAGTCGCGTTGAACAGACAGCAGTGAGTCTTCGGTGCTGGTAGCCTTGGACTGCAGGTCAACCGCACGTGGGTACGGTTCCTCGCAGTCAGGGAACCTATAGGTAGAGATCAGTGTCAATCAGATGTTACCTTTCTCCATCAAAACTTATTAAATGTGCTAGGCAGATCTCCATTTTTCACATTTTCCATTCCTTTATAAACACCTCAACCCAGTCCACATTTTCGCTCCTTCCCGGCTCCCTGCACACCTGAACCACACTGAATACCTGGCACAGGTGTGTTGGGAGCTGAGAGGGAACAAAACTGTGGACTGTCAGGGTCCCCGAGGACTGGATTGAGAAACACTGGTCTAACAACATCAGCGGTCAGAATTCAGCAATGAGAAAAACAGGCCTTCAGAACCCATGAGGGGGGGAGAGATTATTATCCACCATCAGTCTTCAGTTTCATAACTGCTTAACGGCTCTTGCAGGGGCAGTACAAATTTCTGTTTCAGCCCTCTAGGCCCGGGACTGAAGACTGCATCTCCTCCCCAACTACTGGCTGCACCTTTGTACAGAATCATAGGCGGTAGATCAGACGGTCAGATGGACACCTGCTGCACTCCATCTCCTCGAGCCAGGAGACGCCGAACACGTCCATGAGCTTGGAGCAGTCGCGCTTGGCCTGATGGCAGAGGTGGCGGCAGGGCAGGGACAGACGGCCGTACTCTGTGCAGACGGGGCCGTAGAGGGCGCAGAGGAAGGGCCGCAGGGCCGGGGAGCACTCAAGATTCACCATGGGGTGGAAGGGCTGCCAGGAGGAAGGCGGACATGACGTAAGACACACAGAGAGATGGGGGCCATAGTGCGTCATACAGCAAATATTAGCTCATTCTGACCAATCAGGAGGCAGAATTCCATCAAGAATCTTAATAAGATTCTCCAGTGCTGTGTGATGTAACAGGTATAAACTCATCTGGTTCATCTATAGGTTTACGGGCTTCCTGTTTAATGAACAGAGTACACCAGAGTTAACATATGACCCAAAACGGACTATCCTGCACCACTCAAACCTGTTCCCCCACCTCCGAGTTTGGCACGGAGATATGAAAAGGAGGAGCTGTACAAACAGTGTAACCCAACGCCCCTTGATCAGACTCCCTCCCCCACCGGCAACTGTGAGGACGCCTTTGTGTCAGGCGGAGGGATACGCTGTTCGCAAAGGGGCCTGGGCGTGCTCCGGCTGGGGCCATGCTGGGAGAGGGAGCAGCTGCCGGGCAGAACATTAACATGCAAATCCCCAGTGGTGCGAACAATGGGCCCCCACCCAGCACAAGGCCCAGCACATTCGCTTCCTGCTGGGGTCTGGCCTTTGTGGAAGCAAGGTGCAGGGGAGGGGCTGACACACCCCAGCAGAGCTGTACTCGGTGCGAAACGTCCCCTCACCTGTGCAACAAGGAGCAGCATCAGAATATCTATTATTGAGCACACTTATGTGTTAATGCAAACAGCCTGCTCCTACACATGGGGAATCATGTGTCTGCAACTGAATATATACAACATCCAGGCTGGGGTCAAGAGGTTGGGTTACTTTTCAACTAGGCATCAGAACGGGTAAGATTTCTTGAATGCCGTGTGACTGTTGGTGCCAGACATGGTGGTCCCAGCATGCTGGGACTTCCACACACTGCAGAGTTTACAGAGGTAAATAAACAAAAAGGCATCCAGTCAGCATTTCTGTGGGTGAAAACACCTTGCTAATGAGAGATGACAGAAGAGAACGGTTAACAGAAAAGCAACAAGTGCAACAGCAGCCCAATGCAACAGTGATGTGCAGAAAGGCTTCTCTGAATGCAGAACTGCTCTGCAGACAAAGGGACAGTCCTGCCTGGTGCGTTCTAGATCAGTGTTTCCCAAACCAGTCCTCGGGACACACTGGACAGATCCACATTTTTGTTTTATCCCAGTTCCCGGAACACCTGACCCAAGCAATCAGAAGCTCTAAATGCCTTATATGTGAGCTGAGAACTGAGATAAAATAAAAATGTGGATCCATCAAGTGGTTCCTGAGGTCTGTGCTAGGTGTGTCTACTGCCACTGTTTGTCTCTCTGTAGCACCGTGCAGAAACATGTCAAAGTGATTTTTAAGAGAGCCTCAGAACACAGAGACAGCTTACCTACTCAGTACATAGTTAAATGTACAAGTACAATATATATAAACAAACAGACGCATCAATAAAACTCTAATGGTGTTTCCCACTGATGGAAATGCACTTTAGCAGGCCTTGGCTACTCTGTCTGTACACCAGCTCACAGGTACCGTTGTAATTGTACCTGAAAAGGAGATTAATGATTTGTTTACTATTTGTATATGATACTGTTAAAAAATATGCAAAGAAATATGGTTTCTGTCTGTCCTGAGGGATCGTTCTCAGCATGCCATCTATCCAGGAGAATGACTGACAGAAGACAGTATATTAGCCAGAAATCAACCGTAAATGATTTTACGATGCATGTTTTTCATTTCTGGCCACCTCCTCGACGTTGGTGAACTCCGGAAGACGCATACGCTGGTAAATGCAACCGGAAAATGTTACGGTCTGTGAGAGCCCAGTCTTCTCTGCACTGTTCAGTCCAACTTGGCAAGCAGAGATCCGTGAAATGGATTAGAATGGATGTTAGGCTTGCTGACTCTGACACAAAGAAGCGAAATCCAAGGATCTCCAGTAAATATAATCCATTTGAGATGTCAGTTTCTTTTTTTTTTTTGGGAGGGGGGGTATTTTCCACTTCCGTGACAAAAAGACCAATAAGACTAATGTTCAGTGACAGATTCTCTTTGTTCAGATTTCTGAATAAATTGATTATCTGGATATAATGAGAATTCCTTTGGACTGCAACTAAATATATGCAAAAAAACATTATTACCACTAAATTGCAATTTGAGAGGTGTTTAGCATAAATAACAACAAAACTTTGTATATCCCTGGTGTGAATAATTGACAGGCGAGTTCATCCACTGTACAGCAGAACAGACATTCGAAAGAGAGAGAGACTCCTTTTTTTACCCAGTCGCTGATTTGATTCACACGGCACGCAAATAATTATAAACATGTTCCCCCATCCTAGCAAATGTTTATCGAGAGGGGCAGGATCATACTACTTTGTCCTTTAAATGTCTCATTTATAAATGCTATCTTTATTGGTATTGTATTGTTATTGCTATAGTTATTGTTATTATATCTGTAGTGCCTTCAGGTTGACCTATCACATTTATCTGTGAAGCAGCTCATTAACAAACTCAAAAAATCCCAGACTGAACTCCCATCAACTCTGTGCTGCAGCACAGCCAGATGCATGTTCCCAAAGACAGACCTCCCATCATCTCTGTGCTGCAGCACAGCTGCATGTTCCCAAAGAGCACTGAAGAAGCCGCCACAGGAGTAACTTCCACTGGTAATGTTGGGTGTGCTGGACCGGAGCTCCTACTTTATTGTCACAGAATAGTGCATGGAGTCTGGCTGTCTGTGAACACCAATGCTTTCGTGTGTTAGCCTCTGTGAGAAGATCCAAATCAGCCTTTGGCATCAGAGGGAACGTTGGGCTTCCATCCTATTCTTAATGGCTACTTTATTAGGTACACCTGTAGTACCACATAGGACTCTTTTCCCTCCAAAAAATGATTCAAAGATAGACAAGCTGTGTGTTCAGAGAAGCCTTTCTGCACACCACTTATGTACTGAACTGTTATTTTTGTACTTGTGGCCTTCTTAAACGCTTTAATAACTGCCCAGAATTACGATAATCATTAACTGATTAACTGACATAAAGCAGATAATATTTAACAAATCATGCAGAAGCTGTTATTTCTATCAAAGGCATGTTTTAAATGTCCCACATCAAAAAGTCAATGAATATTTTAATTTTACGTAGACTTTCTTATTCTGGCTACGATGCACAAGATCACAATGGTCATGCTGATGTTTTAACACACTATTGATTCCCTAATCCCAAAAATGACACACTCCCTCAGGATTACACAAGCCGATGATCGGGACTCATAAGTACTGCCCTTCGTTAACTGCCAATTATCAAAGTAGTAATTATACTGTACACATTATTTGACTGATTCCTTTTCCATACAAAGCTACTTGAGCAAAAGAGGATAAGTAGAGCCCGTGTCTGAGCTCTCTGTTTGCACTATAAATTATTCAAAGTGCTTTCCACAAGTACTAAAACTATAATTAGCCATTTTATCCAGCGCAATTCTTAATGTAACCATGGAGATTTCCTGAGAGATTGCACATTTGTGCATTAAGTACCTGCTGCTGTGAAAGATTTAGAAATATCACCATAATTCAATGTTGCAAACATGGCTGAATGCCACATACAGACCCCACTGATATATATCAAAATCAGACTGAAACAGCAACTGTAATTTTTGTTACTATAGCTACTTAAGTGCTTCTTATCGACCTGCTAATCCAGTTTAAATACAATTTGTGGCATTACTCTTTGAAATCTAATGTACAGTTCTGTATAAGGATTAGGGCTTTCGCCAATGGCTGCCCTGTCTGTGGCAGTCGATAGCGAGGCCTGCTCCCCTCATTATACAGAAGGTACCCACAACCCATGTGTGAAACCGGACAAACGCAGAATTCCTTTCTTGATCTTTGCTCTTTTTTCCCTAAGAGAAGGCAAAGAAAGGACAGCTCGCTCCCACATTCCCTTTTCTCCATTCGCTTTTCAGTCTGGATCAGTCAGCTTTTCTCGTCTGTCGCTCTCTCCCTCTCTTTCTGCCCCTCCTCCTCTCAGCTTGCATTCATCCTTTGCATTGAGACCACAGCTGCCATGGCAACCACTCCCAGAGCAACGGACCGATTTTGAGGAGGGGACCCCATCCTGGTGGGTCAGAGGCCATCAGCGGGACCCCCTCCTGACAGCAGCAGGGGTGTCCCTTTGTTGCTACACAATTTGAGCCTGTTTCCACGGCTACCCCTATAGCCAGCCAACGAGGACTGGGGGTGGGGGGGGGGATAATGAGTTTGTCTGCTAGGCTGTCTCACAGCGAAGATGCGGAAACTCAAGTCCCCAAAGTGATTACATCTAGGCACAGAAGTATATAGTTATACTGGCAATGGGGGAAAAAAATACACAATTCGATTTTCACTATTCATCACAAATGGTTTTGCCAAAAGTGAGTTTATAGCGCCAAGCTGTGACACTTTCACCATGCCCGTGCACCGTGTCACGGCCATCCTCCCTCACCCATTCATCGGGTGCCACCGGCCAGCGTCTGCGTGCAGATAACCTCACAGCGGCCGGCCTTATTGGCAGGCGCTGGGCTCTGCACGCGTCCACAGAAATGCCACAGGCGGCTGTCATGGTTACATCAGGGGGACCTCAATTCTGCGGCTGCCTGACTCACATCCTCCTTTCTACACCACAGATTCTTACTGCTAGAGCCAGAATCCCACATCCCCAATGAGCTCTGAATGCCTCACTCTTTGTTGCACAGAAAGGGCCGGTCCAGAGGAGCCCCTTTGAAAAAAAGAGAAAAACTATAAAATCAAATTAACTGAACAAGCTCTGAGTGTGTCCTTCAGAAACGTACAGACTGGGTTTGGCTTTTTTGTCCATCATAATAAATGTTGGTACGCTTCAATAACCTTTACACTGTCATTCAATTTTCAATTTTACCATGGAAATGTCAAATGTCACCACTATAATACAACTGCAAGGAAGGATTAAATGAAATGTGCCCATTTGACCAGGATTAATTGTCATTCATGTGAACCATCTAATGTCACTCGCACATTACAGAGATCCGCAGCATCACACCTTTTCTCCAGCGAGGGGCGAAATCACAGTTTATATCCTACACTAATTTCACACTCTGATTAAGGTACACAGCAGAATGAGGGAAAGACAGCACTCACACGTGTGAAATTAAGTCACCCAAAACATCACACTGCAATTTGTAGAGAAGATATATGTGTGTGTTTGTACTCAGACGTTTGAGTGCAGTCACTTTTTATGTGGGTTTTGGGGACCAGAAACACTGATGGCTGTTTGAAAAAGGAAAATCAAGAGATTTTGAAATCATATAATGATATATATGATTGGAAAATAATTATAAAGGTTTTTTTTTTTATTAATCTAGTATTTGGCCCTAATATTAAAATAGAGTCCATACTCCTAATCCACATCAATACAGAGGTGAAGCCCGTACAGCCTACACCAAATGTGCAACTGGAAATCCACAGAATCCTATAAAGTAATATTTAAGGTAATTTTCCTTTAATAAAAAACTAAAAAAATAACTCTTAAAATGCAAATTATCCACTGGAATAGAAGCGTTACAATATGTGAATAATTAATGAATATATATTCAGATAAAATATTTGATTTAAAAGCACAAATGGTTTTTTAATTACTTACACTTACGCACCAGCTAATTTAAATAAACAAGCAGAAGAAATAACAGAAATTTCCTGACAATCACTCTGAGGATGTATTGGATCCAGCCATTGAAACATCTGTCAGTAATGTCACTGCGCAGGGCTTTCCTGTTCGGATAAAACACCCAGCATTGACATTTTTACATTTTATTTCTGTCTAGTTTCTATTTCTGCACTTGCGGTGTCCTGCAAACTAGTTTTACACTGTAAAAGCTAGACTAGTGACGAAAAGATGTTTAAAGATCTTAAAAATCTTTAAATGAAGGAACACTAACATTTTTTTCCCCCAGCAACTCAAAACATACAGCCGTCTCCAAAATACCTTGAACAGAAAACAAAATATCTGTAAGATTTTCTGAATTCACCCACACATCCCATAAGATAAGGAGCAGCTGGAGAAAGTGATGAAAATATAAAGAGGTTTCAAAAAGTGACGACGCACATCAGCTGAATCTCATTGCTAGTTAAATGAAGCCTGGCATCGCTCCCATGAGTGAATCTTCAGAGAGGCCCCTGGATTGGGCCCCGGACCCCAGAACCCAGGGCAGGATGATGAGGGAGAGGCGGGCACAGTACCTCCATGGCCAGGGCGGCGGTCTGCTGGTCGTAGTGGTTCAGCAGGTTGGGCATGAAGGTGGTGTTGTAGGGAAGGTTCTGGCACATGCGCAGGGTGATGGGCTCGCAGCTGAATGCGCTGTGGCTCTCCACTGCGTCCATGTGGATAGCCCCCGCCGAGCCGAACAGGGGCAGCATCGCCCACAGCAGCTCCATGGTGCCAAGTCAGGGGGACGGGGCCGGCCTGCTCCTGCGCTCAGAACCGGTGGCTAGGGGCTGACGAGAGAACGAGGCGCGTCAGGAGGGTGCGAGGGTACCACACCCCTTACGGAGATCAGCCACACCGGCGCAATCCAAGCCTTTCATCGGAAAGGTCTGGGCTTCCTCCATGTGCAGAACCAGCTCCACGTGGGACGGCCATCATCTGACACCATTCACCAGGCCCTTCTCCTCCGCAGCCTGGCCACGGCCCCTCTGTAAGGGCTCCCAGAGGAGCACCGCACCTCCTGCCGCGGACGGCCCACGCTCCTTCAGGCTCCAGAGCCCTCGGAGACTCCAAACGTGCCAGAGGAACGGTTTGAAAATCCCGCACCTGAAAGCAACAGATAAACAGAGTCTAAGGTTTGTGTGCCTCTGTGTGAAGCCTTTTAAAGGGGCTAGCAGATAAATTTATAAAGATATACCAAAAAAAAATAAAAAGTCACAATTTCAATTATATCAGTAAAATTACACATTTAAGTCTATTACAGGGGACTGGAACATGCTAGGCAAGTAATCTAGTTGTTGTCATTTCCTCGAGGATCCAGTGACGGGAAACACAAGTCCTATTCTTTATAACATGTAACTGAATTTTATTAACAATTTATATATAAAGTATTTTTTATTAAAAGATATACAATAATACAAACTTTGACAGCATTTCTGAATAAAATGCACAAAGTAGAACGTAAAAACTGAAAGCCTAATGACAATAGCTATTTGTTTGCATTGATATTAAAAAATTAATTTCCCGCAGTAGACTTGAGCAACTATCCACAATAGATCAGAGTACAAAGCTTCCTGGATAAGTACTATGTAAACTGCAATATTCTCTCCCCTATTATATAACAGATTAAAATAATAAATAATTACTAACACTTGTCGAATGTTAATAATAATAATAATATTCCTACAGCCATATGTAGTTGTAGGTTATCACGACCACGTTAGATAATACGTTAGAGAGCTTCTGCAAATGTACAGACGCGCACACGCCCTAACAGACAACTGGATCCATTGTGAGGAGATGCCTCATATCGCTTTCCATTCCCGTCCAATTACCCGATGCAAAGTGAAATAATCTTCCCGATCATGCATTAAGTCAACCCATCTTACAGGCCACGCATTAAGTCATCTCATCTCTCTGACCATGAGCTAAATGAACCCATCTCCCTGCCCATACACATCACTACGACCCGCTGGATGAGCTTTGACACCGGCCGGAGAAACTGCACCCGTAATCCAATATCCCACTTCGTAAATTTTAATGGAAACCTTTATGCATGGGACACAACATAGAGAAAGTAAATTCAACATTTATCTTCTACAGAAAGAGACTCAACTTAAGCAGAACTGGTTCCGATACAGCTGCGTACAAACATTTATTGTGCAGTTAAAAGTAGCTATAAATCAAAAGCGTAGATTATTAGAAATCACAGAGTAATGATTGATTTTCTGAAACCGACAGTGCCGCATCTGAGAACAGTACTATAGACAAGAGCGAAAAAACGAAAGCAGAAGAGCTAAACAATTTATATACCGACACGACGCACACAAAAGATTACAATTTCAAGTATGTTTGACTGATTCACAACAAACAGTCACGTCAAACCCCTTTACAGAGTCATTGCCAGCACCTACATATAATGTTTATAATAATGTCTTGTTACTGTGTATTACTTGTTGCGGTATTAAACGTTTTCGTACTAATGCAGACATAAATAAATAGCAAACTTTACCGCGATCGCGATGGTTCTTGACGGGCGAAGCCGTAAAGCTGCCTTTCTGCTGTGTGACAATGAGCCGCCTGGGCGCCGTGCAGCAGGTTCGCACTCTCCACGGGAGCGTGCTTTCGCTCGGCGACGCGGAATCGAATCCGCGGATGCGCGCCTTGCGCGCACATGGGCATGGAAGGTTACAATGGACGTAAATTGAAGGGCTGGATTAATGTCACTGCGATTGCATTCACTTTTCCATATGTCATTAGTATCGATTGTAATCTAGGCCTCTATTTTTCTACCCCAGTCCAAATGAATTAAGTAATGCATGAATTAAGTAATGTAAATACTTATTTGGAATTAATCTTTAGCAGAATAAGACAGATGCAAGGAGTAGACGGCCCAATTTATTATAAACCTAATATTCATATCACTTCAGGCAACGGTAGTCGACAAAAGATAATGAGAGATTGCTCGCAGCTTAGGATAGATTCGCTTACGAACCATTATTTTAAAGGGGGGAAAGACAAATTAAACTTACATTTATTTAGCAGTCGCTTTCATCCAAAGCGAGTGAAGTTAAGAAAGCAGGACTAGACAGTACCTAGAGCAATTTAAGTTAAGGTTCCTCCTCTAGGGCCCAACGGTGAATCAACGCAATGGGATTATTTGAGCCAACGAACTTCCTGTCACAGACCCAGTGCTACGGACCCGCTGTCACACAGCTCATGAAAAGAAAAATAACGTGAGATTCGAGGCACTGTTGATTGTCACTTTTAACTGTAAATCCTTTGTCCACCATACGTTATCTTGATACCAACTAGTGATCGCAAAGTGGAACTGCAGGGAAATTACCATTCTAAGTAAATTATATGGTAAATGTGATTACAGAAACTATGCAAATTACTGCATATGTATTACGTCGTGTATATAATGATTGATATGCAATTAGGTAAATAAGCCAGCTGAATTGCATGCAAGAATTTAATATTGGCCTACAAAATGTTGACCTTGGATTATTATTAACATGCAAAATACGTTTTTGAATTTGAAATTTGCCGTCACAATGAAAATATGTTCTGAAGGTATTCACAACAACAAAAATCTTTGAATTTCAAACTTTTCATTGTAATACCTTGTCAGTTTTTCCAACTTTGGTCAGCTGGCTGGCTGGACGATTGAGATGTTCAGTTCGAGTTCAACCAATGTCCGGTGCCTGCATTCCTAGAATTAGCCCTGACCATTTTGCACAGACTTTCAGTGCAGTTTTTTTTATATGCAAATATCAGATAATTGATGTTTTCCAGCAGTTATTTACTTCAGTCACCAAAGACTTTAGTTCAATTTAGATGATTGGCAACAGCAAACTATAAAAGTAGCATTATAAACTATTGAACTGAAGAAGTGAAATACAGTTTAATCTAAAAATAATGATCCTCACATTATCGGAATGCACAGACCTTCATCCTGTAGTTCTGCCTACTTATTTTAATGTCATGTTTCATTTTTTATTTGTAATTAATTTGTAAAAAAATTCTAAAGTCCTACTTTTGCTTTGCCATTATGAGCTATTCACAAAATTTAAACAAGTTTAGCATAAGGCTGCAAAATAAACTCTCTGTTCACTGAAAAACAATGCTAACTGCACCATGGTTAAGCCAGTTTTTGGGGTTTACAAAAATAGTCTACTCGGTCCTATTGTGTTACGAATGAAAGCATGTTAAAGTTTCAACCATCTGTTTGGGCACTTTATGTAATAGCCTGGATGATGGAGTCCATGCATCTGCACTGGGAGCTGTCCCTAAATGCACACAGCCGTCCCTAAATGCACACAGCTGTCCCTAAATGCACACAGCTGTCCCTAAATGCACACAGCCGTCCCTAAATGCACACAGCCGTCCCTAACTGCATACAGCTGTCCCCAACTGTGCACAACAGTCCCCTACTGCACATACCCATCCCTGAATGCACAGATCTGTCCCTAACTGCACAGAGATGTGCCTAACAGCACATATCTGACCCTAACTGCACACAGCCTTCCACAACTGCATATAGCCCTCCCTGACTATGCAAAGCCATACACCAGTTACACACAGCCATCCCCAACTGCACACAGCCATACATAACTGCACACAGCCATACCTAACTGCACACAGCCATACCTAACTGCGCACAGCTGTCCCTAACTGCACACAGTCATACCTAACTGCGCATAGCTGTCCCTACCTGCACACAGCCATACCTAACTGTGCACAACTGTCCCTGACTGCACACAGCCATACCTAACTGCGCACAGCTGTCCCTAACTGCACACAGTCATACCTAACTGCGCACAGCTGTCCCTAACTGCACACAGCCATATCTACTGTAACTGCGCACAGCTGTCCCTAACTGCACACAGCCATATCTAACTGCGCACAGCTGTCCCTAACTGCACACAGCCATACCTAACTGCGCACAGCTGTCCCTAACTGCACATAGCCATACCCAACTGCGCACAGCTGTCTCTAACTGCGCACAGCCATACCTAACTGTGCACAGCTGTCCCAAACTGCACACAGCCCCACTGGTGCTGCTGTAGTGAGTGCTTCTCACCATCTTCAAATTAAAAATCTTGAATCTTGAATTGTGTACGTATGTGGGTTGTGCATGTATGTGCCCTGTGATGGACTGGCATTCTATCTAGGGTGGCTTGTGCTCTCTGATGCCTGGGTTAGGATAAGCAGTTGGTAGATGAATGGATGAATTACTAACATATGTCTACAGGGGGCAATGTCTGTCCACACAGAGGTTTTGAAGAGTACTTTCTGACATGCCCTCTAGGGGGCAGCTGGCTTACAGCTTCCCTCTGCTTATCTTCCTGATTGCGAGTTGGTGATCTACACTTTTTTTTTAATTAACTAAATGTTAGTCTTTATTTCCTTAGCTGTTTTCATTAAGGTACAAAGGAACTGAAGCATTACATACATTATTAAACATACTATACTTCTGTCAGTTTAATGATTCTCTCTCTCCTTAGGAAATCAATCCTCTCCTCCCACCATGTTAAGAATAACAAAATAATCTAAGAATCTGTTCATTTTGCTTCTAAGGTGACAGTGTTACTGGATTCTACTTTAGCAGTAGCATCGTGGCTAAATTGTAAATTTAGTAGGTTGACTTGGTAGACTTAATAGTTTGTTTAATTAAATCCAGAAACAATATATGAACATCAACCATCAAATGAAGCAGGTGACATTGGAATACAACTTCTAGGCATCAAAGAAGTGAGACGCAGAACACAGCAGGCATGTGCGGGGGGGTGGGGACGGACTGCAAATTTCTCTTTTTTGACAACACCTCACTCTCTCCCCCTTCCCCCGAAAATTTACCAAGGGAAATGATCCGTTCGTGAAAATTTCAAGAAGTACCGGTTGGTGATGCCGCCCTGTCCCAGCGCCTGGCCATCAGAAAGTCTGTGTCTGTGTGCGTCGCTGAAACACACTGTTAATAAATCTTAACGGTTATGCAGTTATTTGTTTTCACCGAGCTTCAACACGAATGTATATGAGGAATTAAGTCTTGTTTTCTTCCCACTGAAGATTTATCATATGTGGAGATGCATTGAATGAGTTTGCAGCAGACATTAAGGCATCTGACTCAGTATGTGGTTAATGCAGGGCAGGATATATAGTGGTCGTTTACACTTGTATGTTGCACTGTTCACCAGTTTGTTTGCATTTACTGTTTTTTTGTTCCCCAGTGTTTGTTATTTCCTTGTCAAAGGTTTTCCCTGCTTGTGTTCTGTTCTGGTTCTGTTTTGTACTTTTGCTCCGTATTGATTATCTTAGTGTTATAATTCCAAGTGTGTGGTTAATGTTTCCTAGTTGTGGTGTCTGTTAAGTTCCCTCGCTATTGTTAGTTACTCCACCTGTTTCTTGTTGCCAGTGCCTTTTCTGTTTGGTTAATTGTTCCACACCACTGTGTTGTGTGTTCCACTCCATTGCATGTGTTGCTGTGGTGTGTTACTCTGCCTGTTTTTCCTCGTTCTCTTCCCTGTGTTGCCTGGTTCCCTTAGTATGTTTATTGATAGTTCTTTAAAGTTGTTTTTTTTTCTCCTGTTTAGTTCTGACCCCTCGTGGTCCCTTAATTTTGTGGTCTTCCCCAGTGTGTTCAGTTCAGTCTAATCAATAAACCCTTGTTCTCTGAGAGCTGCTCACTGAATTTGTTCTTGCAGGTACCATGCCCCACCATAAAAGTAGGACAGAGCACAGAATTTACTTCATATCAATCTAAATACATTTTTAAGTGATTACTAATGATTAACAGTTTACATTTTGGTGATAAATTGTAGATTTGTGTGTGGTAAAGAGTCAATGTATGAATCTTTGTATGTACAGTAGGCCCTGATTCCTCCCTGTGTAATCAATGATCAGAATGATATTATGCTTTATTTTATGTCACACTAAAGCATATAGAATTTCATTTTAAAGAGCAAATAGGTTAAAGCTTATAGTGTCTATATTCCTGTTGATACTCAGGAGGAAGACTAAGGAGACATTTCCTCTGATGTTATAGTGTCTATTTTTCAGTTGGAGAAATCAATGGAGAAATCACAATAGGAAAAATCGCATGAGAGATCACATATGGCAGTAGGTATCGTTACATGACCTGAGGCCCATTTCTCAACTTTTTTAGGGCTAGTTGGCCCAGGCTGTTAACTATCTTGTGGCTGAGGGAGCTGGGTATGGAGAAGAAGAGTATGCCCAGGGAGAGAAGCAGCGTGAGGGCAGCAAGGGGTCCCAGGCAGGCCAGTCTGTAGTGTCATCAGGCCAGGATCCAGGTCAGACGCAACGGGCTGAACAACCAGGACAGACTGGTGCTAAGGCCGAATGGAATGACAGGCAGGGTCAGTGCTGTGACTGCTCGCATCTTTATTTAACCATCATCACTTTGATACAGACAAGAAGTACTGCACTACAACAAAGAAAAAACAGTAAGAAACACTCCGTCATATAAATAAGCAAAATCAGTGCAAACGTGTTTTTCTCTCATTCGTGTGTGTATGTGAGCAGTCGCTTGAATGAGTAAGATACAAATTTTGAGATCAGTGTCCGAGCAGGATCAACACAGGCTGAGTAACTGCACAAGGCACACCAGACATCCCATCATTGACAGAAGTCATTTTTTACAACATGAATAAACCATCTGAATTAGACTGTAACACTTGCATTTTCACATACTTGTCACCTTCCTGCCCACCATGCATGTACAGTGGGTATGAATTCACCTGATTGCATCAGTTGGTGTTTAATTACCCTGGATAAGGCAGCTAATTGAGAAACCAAGCAGGTTTCATCGTTCCACATGGGATTCCTCCATAAACGGCAACTCCTCATTTTGACCCATTGAGGGTTTCGAAATTTATTTTGTCACATGATCTCCTGCTTTCATTGCAGTTCAGCGTTTCTCCCGTAGACACAGTGCATACAGCAGGCCTATTTGCATAACGCTGAACAGAAATGGCTTATAAATGAAACTACACTAAGTTCCTATTTCTGTGAAGGCAAACGCTGACTAAAAAAACACATGCAAATATACAACTAAAACAGAACGTTGTATCGTCCACTGACAGCTTACACTTATAATTTTAACAGGTATTTATCAGTATATCCAATTCCACAGTGCATGCTTTGACAAAACTCAATATGCCTGCATTCATTCTAAAATAATGAAAACATCACAATACGTATGCTGATTATAGCTGATTATTTGGAAAAATGTAACTGCTTTATCTTCCACGTTTGATCCACTGTCATTTATATAAACAAATTTCCAAGTAAATGCTGTCAAGCTGCAACACTTAGAAACTGTTAAAATATTCATTTGTCTTGTAACTGTTTTTTTTTTTTTTTTTTTGATTGTTACACTTTTACACTTTATTATTCCCTGTTGGACTACAAATAATAGATGTCCTTAGCCCTTAGCATTTTAATTTATGAGCAACAAATACCCCAATGTTCAATAGACAGTTCACAAATATTCAGGATCCCTAATGAAAATTACTAGTGATTTGTGAAATAAACCAGCGTACAATTGTGCTACTACAAGTTCTAACCAGAAAAACACTGACCGGTGACTGACCGATACCCTAAATGGAACTGATCAAACAAGTCAGACATTTCCACCAGACACCAAAAAACAAATGCAAAATTTTATAGTACTACCAGAAAAATGCTCAAATAAATCCATGCAAATACTAGTTTGTAAATTAGCCATTTGTTAAGTTTTTAACACCAGAAAGCAGGTGATGGTTAGAAGGTTAATGGTGAAGTATGATATGACAATATGGAAGGGAGTAGTGTGTGGAGGATGCTCTCGTGTCGGGGTCTCGTAGTGCTGAAGGCCTGAGAAGTCGAGGCTGGGGCTTGAGGCATGGTGTGCAGTGTCCCTCCATGTTCATGCCCCCAGCATCTTCTTCACTAGGTAGCCTGGCATGCTGTACAGGAAGAGGGCTACCATGATCAGCAGCAGCACGGCCAGCACTATCTTAATGATCAGCCACTTGTAGCGGGTGCAGATCAGATAGCGGACGGCTTTTAGGGGGCTCATGAACCACAGGAAGGTGGTATCCGGTCGGCTGTAGCCAGACAAAAAGGGAGGGAAAACGGACAGGAAGTGCAAGTGTTAGTCATTAGCAAGCAACAAGGCCATGATGTTCCAAACTGTACACAGTCAATGAGATTACACCAAAGTAGTCCATTAGCATCATAATGTCATTTAATTACAATGGTGGTTTAATTTTTTTTTCTTGCAGTTTTCTCATAATTTACCCAATGTGTTTATACATTAACATCATTACTCTTGTATATATGCATATCCCTGCCTGGTCTGATAGCATGAATATGTGAAGCCTCACATAGGATCTGTCTGTGCCTCAGCAAGTTCAACCTCAGTGCCTCAGTGTTTAGACAATGGGTGAATCTCAATATGCGTACTTGACCGTACTTGTGTTCTCATGTACCCATTTTACGTTATCTTCCATTGCCGAAGACCAGTTCCAATACTATGAACACAAGTACAGAAGATGGTAAATATCCCTGGATGTTGGCCTTGCCCCAAATATCTAGATAAGCATTGGTTGCATCTTTGTCGAACGAGACCAATCCCATGATTCATTGCACCTCAAGTTCATTCTTGGAAGGCAAGTTCGCAAAACCAGTCTTTGCAAGACTACATGCATGGTGTGTATGATCTTGGTAATGAGATTCACCCAATGCCTCCTTTATAGAGGCATGCCTAACCTCTGACCTCTCCGGACCGTCTCAAGCACAATGCCTCTTTGTACATTGTTCATCTTCAACGTTATGTTCACTACCATAAACAATGTACACTGCTACCTTATTGCTCATGCCTATTATCCTTATTTTCTTGTATATATTTTTCATTTTTTATTACCTTTATTATCTATTACTGTTTTTTATTTTAATTTTAATTCTAATTTTATTGCTGTCATCTTTTTCTTCTCCTTTATGTTGCACAGTCTCAGAGCAGCTTAGGTAATACATCTCACTGCATAACATGTATGTGACAAATAAAGAACCTTCAATCTTGAATCTATGATTGGAAGTTCGCCATTCCGAATCATGTAGTCAACAGAATAGTTATATTACTGTTGGACTTGAGCAAGGCCCTAAACCCTAAGCGACCAACCCTGCAAGTTTTATTCTCACCTGTATATTTGTGTGTTTGCTATAAATCTAAGAGCAAGATGGAATATGCAAAAACTAAAGAATTCTTAGGTACTTGTACAAATGGCTACTAAGGCATCATCATTATAATTTTATAATTATATATATAATTATATATATTTCATAATAATCCCATTCCAACTTTCATCCATTTAAAATATAGTATTTCACATTTGTGAGATGTTTTTCAAGGGGACAAAATGAGAGATACTGGGTTTGTAAAACCAAGGAGACAGTGACGGATGAAGCACAGTGACAAGGATGAGCTGAAAGAGAGCCGGTGCACAGAGGGGGTGGGAGGGGCTACCATTTGGCTTCATTCTCAGGCTCCCAGCAGCTTCTTGACCAGATAGCCGGGTATGGAGTAAAGGAAGAGGCCCAGCAAGAGGAGCAGGAGACTCAGGCCAAGCGCTTTCAGGATCACCCAGCGGTAGTTGTGCCACAGGAAGTATCGGAGAGACTTCATAGGGTTCATGAACCAGATAAAGCTGATGTCTGGGCGTCTATTACGTGAATGTAGGGGGAGGGCGCAGGGGGAGGGAATGAAATTGCAAAGTTGATGGGAAAAAAATGTTTTGGAGAAAGGAACCAGAGTGAGAGGGAAGGCATAACAAGAAATAAGTAAAGAGTGAATATTAATGTGCCCTAACAGGTGCACACCATCCTATAAGTGATATAAAGAAACTATACGACCTTATAAGTTATATGACAGAAGGCTTTGCATTGTGGGGAATCTCCTCCCTTATTACCAGGTTGATGGAACCAGTTTGGTGCGAATCCCATATACTGATGTCATGTACCTCTTTTAATCTGCTGAATAAGCTGAATCTGCCGAAGTTATATTCTCTCTGTGACATTACAACATTATGCTCTTAATCAGTGGACCGTGAATACGTTAGCATGCAGCGAAATTTAAAGCTAATGCTAATTAGCAACTAAATGTCTACATTGAGGATTGATGGACTTACTTTGGTTTCTCCAGGGGCTCCGGTTCATTCCTCCCAAGACCTACTGGGTTCTTCTCTGCTTCATCAGCTGTCAGCAGGTGCAGTTCTGCCTCTATCTTACCCTTTAAAGACACCGGAAATTTGTGAGTCCAACAGCTGGCACCTGTTACATGCTCTTACATGCTAAATGTCTTTCTTTGTTTCTGAATGTTACGGCCGAGCTCTGCAGTACCGTGAGATACAGTTCATCGTTCTCGTCCTGGGCCGCACAGGGCCACCAGCCCTTGACTCTTTTCTGCTTGAAGATGGAGACACTTGGCAGCTCCTGGTCATTCGTTATCATGTCAAGGGTACACAATTTGGCTGTCTTGGCCCCCCGTGGAAAGCGGTTTAAGTCCAGCTCAATTGATCCTACGCAAAGAAAAGAACTAAGGAGTTAGGAAGAGACCTGCTATTTCGGACATTAAGCATTTCAAAATACATCGAGTATGTCTGAAATTGCTGACTTAACGCCGTAACACGCAACAAATGCTTTCAGGCTGATGTGCAGTTTTCTCTGACACGTCGCTTCGAGCACAACGGCAGAACACAGAGCTATGTACCCAGGAAGTCATCCGCAGAGAAGTGGTCAGCGTCCCAAACTTGCAGTGTGAGCCGAGCGGGGATCTTGTACTCTGTTTCATCCCAGGAGAACATAGACTCCTTCTTGGAAACGACAATCTTCTCCTCTGCCGCCAGATAGTCAAACGGGAAGACGAGTCGCCAGTTAAAATTGCCTTCCCCAGTTAGGGAGTGGTAGTGAACGTCTGTATCCTGTTTGTCTTCATGTTGTCCCTTCAGCCAGCTGTGGAACATGAGATCCCACAGTGCATCACAATCTCAGAGATGGTATAAACATTAATACATTGCACCTTTTGTGTGTCTCATAGGAGACTAAGACAGGACATTAATGAATTCCTTTGTACCTACAGTATACTCCTACAAATAGCAAAATAAAAATCATGGCAATCTTCATTATAAAAGATAGAATGCCTACATAGATGCTCACACTGTGACAGCGGGGTAATGGACAGTTTCTAAATAACAGAAGAAATTATTTTAATATAGTGTAAGATGCAGAGTTAATTTGATTTTGAGTACTGAATACTGTAATTTGAGAACTGGGCAAAGTATGTTAAACCCATGTTAAAACTGAAATAAAAAAAAACAGCTCACTTCCCCTGAAGTGTTCCAGTTAATAATATATTACGGAGACATTTTTCACTATTTTTGGGAAGTTTAAGTGAAGCTTCACTTGCCTGCATTTTAAGGAAAGAAAATGTCCAATCAACAAGACAGAATATGCTGAAGTTGTTTCAATGAAATGAAAGCCTCCTGCCTGCTTTGGGGTTGATTTTGCATTTGGGAAGAGTAAGTGGCAAGTAAACGATAGGCATTCATTGTCTGACTAAGGCACACAAGCTCAGTAAGTCTGCTGGAAAGTGGGAGAACCCTCGCAGATGCCCTTCAAGGGAACTCACAGTCTCTATTCACAGCGTCTGAATGATCTGCAAACCTAGTCATTCAGCTTCTTTCAGTATTACTGCCTGAAGTTTATGTATTGTAGAGTTTACTTAACTCTCTAGTGGCAGGAAATAGCAATGAATTTTATTATGCCTGTTCCACACTTCTCCTTTAAAAGAAACAAAAACAGAAATACATATAGGAAAGGCCCATAGTAGTTTCTAAATTTCAACTAGGATAAGATAATAATCTGATTTTTTTCCAAACTAGCTGTCATTGTTGCTTTTATACTAGATAGAAGTCTATTATATATATAATATTTTTAAGAAGTAGCTAGAAAACACATAAAAGAGAATGGCCGTTATCAAGTTCTCTTATAAATGCTCAGGATTAGCATGTAGCTGTGGCTGGTATCTTTACTCATACGTGTGTGTAACTAAGTGACGTGGCCTACACGCGTGTTCTTCAGTCAACATGGCTCGATGTTGGGAGGAATATGGACCACAGACCTGTTCAGAAAGCTCACAGCTGGACAACAAAGACAGTTCCAATACTATGAACACAAGTACAGAAGATGGTAAATATCCCTGGATGTTGTCACATACAAGAAAAAGCAGCATGTGCGCATGCCTGTACCTACCTCCGGACAAAGATGTCACTGGACTTTTCTCCAGTGAAGTAATCATCGTCCTCCAGAATTACTTCATCTGTATTCCAAATGATCACTCTCAGCTCATATCTGGTAGGATGGAAAGGACAGGGAGTCAACTAATAACACACAAGGTTACCAAGATTTCAAGGCCTGCTTTATAAAAGCATTAGGACACGTGAAAAGATTTTCATGGGATGCTACTTGAATGCAAAGAAGCCTGGGCCATCTAATTTTTATAGTAATTAATTGTCTGAGCTCTGGAATGTAGCACTGAAAAATGAAAGTTATACAATCACTGAAAATATAATTTCCATATTTTGGTGATTTTACAGAGACAGAGATTTTACATTCACCCTCTATATGCAACTTCTGGTGGATATTTCTGTGCAAATAAATAAGCACTTACCACCTAATGAACAGCGGCACTGTACGAGTATAAATTACGCATCTGTAATTTCACATCACTTAAGCAGTGTATTACTTCATCACTACTTAATATAAATTTGTGTTAACCGTGAGGAGCAAAATACCCAGAATATAAGAAGTTATAGGATCCACAGAATCGCCGTCATGATGGACTGACGGTGACTGCCATTTGCATAGCTCTGAGTGCTTGTCTGATGAGCAGCAATCCTGGAATACTACACTGAAGAATGACACACTGAAATCAGACAGGGAGGCTCCCCAGAGCCAGGTCATGACCTACTTCTTTGGCTTTCTGGGTGTAATGTCAACAGCAGGGCCAGGTGTTGCATTATCCATAGGAAACATGTCAACCCACAGTTCGATCCTCCCCTGCAGAAAGATATATCAGGCATACAAATGACTGAACAGAAATAACACGGGCAATTATCAACAGACGCTTGTGGGAGTTTAACTAACACAAAAATGTTTTGAGGGCAGATCAAAAAAATGATTGGTTCAGAGAGATAACCAATCAGATGGTAGAGGAGGTGGGTCCAAGCAACTAGAGGAGGCAGAATCAAGACATCTGATTGGTTGGTTCTGCCTGCTGTAGTTGCTCAGACATGACAGTTATTTACACTAGTTTTAATATTTCACTACTTTTCTAGTGAAACAGATGCAAGGTAGCTAGTTAGCAGCCAAATACCCTGTGCTACTGAAATGTTTTTAATATAAATAAACTGACAAATTTTGTTTTCTGCTACTCTGGGGGATGGAGGGTGGGGCTCACCATAACACCTGGGGCCAAACATATGTCTGCATGGATATAGTATGTAGTTCAGGGTTCCTGGTAGTGTGCTACTTGTTGGGGAACAAGGTGGTGGCCGAACCTGTTCGATTCCAGGCTTTTCCACGTTGAGCAGGGGCCTGGTTTCTACATGTTCAGGAACCAGCTTGAAGCCCCCATTTGGAATCTGTTCCCAATGCTTCAAAGCTGCCAGGGCCACATGCTCATCCGTCTGTTTCTTCAGACCTGTCCGAAAAACCACCACCACCTACTGAGCAAGACCTGTATGCTCCAGACGTTACCAAACCTAAAGAGCTAACAGCCACCACAGCGATTACATAGCGGGTACAGTAGACTCTTGTTACGAGTTTATTGAAGCTGAGATTATAAAGGCACTTCATTACTAACTGATGCAGTATATTTAGCAAGAACAGCATATAGACTGAGTCATAGGGCTGAAAATTTCAACCAATGGAGAATTTCCCAAATTTATTTCTTCCTGAATGTGAACACGTTTCTGTCAGCTGCTTACATAAATTACTACTGCTAGGAGACCACAGAATTAGAGACTATACAGGCCAAGAGTCATGGATTTTGATATGTTTTTATATTTTTTCCTGTAAATATAATAAGAATAGAATTTACATTAGAAAAGTAAACAAATGTGAATAAATGTGTTTACTGGGAATGTAAATAAAGGCAGGAATCGCTACATGGGCATGTTATGGCCCTCAGTTGTCATGAGAGCTATTAGGTCATTCCGGAGACATGGATTTCCTTCAGTCATTACTGTAAAATGAAGTGAAATTTGAAGGATTCAGTGATTTAATAAATAATAATTTTACTGTGGCTGTGACTAAATAGAGTAAAGAAGAACATATAGATCTCCTGACCATTCTCATCCTCAATTTCCGATGGGCCCAGGAAGACCCGGTTGGCTACTTTGACTCGCCCACCGGGGCCATACTGAGGTGGATCTAGCTTGGATTCCTTGCAAAGCTTGGACAGGATCTGTGAGGGCTTCATGGGGTCTCTCCACATGTTGTACCCAAAACTGCATTGAGAGAGAACAGAACGAATGTTGGTTAGCATGGTAAATACGATACAATAGGAATGTTGCGAATGTGTGGTGAACAGAATAAAAATCTGTCAGACTCTTGAAGGAATGCACACATACTTACGTGGAATAGGTAGAGGAAATGCCGCAGGTTGGCCTGTATTTGCTATAGAAGCGATTCTCCAGATCAATTTTGGTTTCCCCAATCAGGTCGTCAGTGCCCACCAAATCCCAGTCATAGATTGCCACTGAGAGCATGGATTCCATGGGAAAAATGGCTTCAATATCGAAAGACCTTAGAAAACAAATGGGTAGCAGAAAACAGATTTTAATGTTTTATTACAGCAAAAAATGTAAAATGGAACTTAATGTATGCTTCCTTTTATTCATTTTCATTCATTTAAATGTAAATAATGCTATAAACCAGGGTTCTTCAAATTTGGACCTCGATTCCAAATCCAGGCCTTGTTTTCAGTTCTCCCAAGTAGTTAGTCTAATAATTACTGATTCTGATTGGTCAGAGGCTTCACACCTGACTGACAGGTAAAGCAAGGCTGGAAAACCAGCAGGGCTCGGACCTCAAGGACCATGATTTGAATGACCCTGCTATAAACACTTTTATATTATTGGTGAGATCCAGTGATGTATTATTGAAAATCATAAATGCAGTACCATGTCAGCAGTCAAGATTAATATAAATTATGAGAAATATATTGAATGACAGTGTCAATCCCACGACCATGTAAAAAGTCTTCATGCTGAGGGTGTAACTTTCGTTTTGAATTCAACAGCATTGTGATGTGGGCTTCATGTTCAGCAGTTCTGGACTCACTTTCCAAATTCAGGGTTCAGCTGTTTGGAGATGTAGTTCTCTTTGTCTTTGATTTCTGTCTTTCCCAGTTTGACCGCAATGTATGGATCAGCCTTCCCATTAATGTCTGTAGGGTGCAGGTTAGTAGCCTACGGAGATAGTAAGTTCAGTCTCACCTGCATCCTGCTGCAAAAGCTGTTTCTTTAGCAAGCTAAAGCTGCGTAATTAAGTTGTCAAAAGAAATGTGCCAACAAATCCATACTCAAAATACAGCATTTATGCAGTGTCAAATCATACAAGCATGTACTCTGGCAATGAAATTCGAAACACAAATATGAAGAAGCAAATCGTAATAAAAACGTACCCTGACCACATATACGCGAACCAGGACGTGGATCAGATCATTATGTGGGATGCCTTGGAACATGCCCAAATTGGGGTCAAATCCCGGCTCTTTGGTGAATTCCTCTGCGAGTGACATTTTGTACATACAAATCGACCCCTGTGTAATACGTGCAAAACAGAATCAGGTCTGGTTCATTGCATCTATCAAAAATTCATCCGTGAAACAGCAATGAAGACCAATAAAACTGAAAACTGAAAGAAAGCAGTTACATCCTTAAAAATAATAAATAATAATACAGTAAATCCTCATACTTTGAATCTGCCAACAATCCTCTCCTCATCTGTCGCGTTTACGTCATCGTCGTCTCCAGCCTTTCCCCGATAAAGGTTGAAAGTGTGCAACCAGTCTTCAAAGTCGTTAAAGTCATGTTCAAGTTCCTTGTTGTATACCTGGGCACAAAGAAGGAATAAAATGAAGAAAAGTTTAGTATTCCAGCACGATTCATCCCTCCGCCACGTGAGAAGTCTTAATGACATCTGATTCCTCGTCCACCTTCAAGAAAAACCGCAAGACTCATCAGCTACAGGAAAACTTCTAGTAGTCTGATACCACTCTGTGTTCCCTGAATTCTCTTAATGATGCATTTTGTCAGTTTATTTATATAGTTGTCTTAATTTTTCATTTTCATATTTTATGTCCATTTAACTGTATGCGTTATATTTCTTATTTCATTTTCCGTAAAGCACTTTGAATAACCTTTGTGCTTGAAAATGTGCTATATAAAAAACTTGACTTAATAGGTTTTTGCCTCATTTGTAATACGTTGAATAGCTCTCGCTCCAGTGCTGCTTATTATTCTTGCAAGGGAGATGCTCACCAGAAGCTCATCAACTTTTGGCTGGGATTCCACCTCCGCTAACTCTGCCGCCTGGTTCTTCTTTTTGTCTTTGGAGCTCTTGGTCTTCTCCTTGTTCTTCTCCTTACCCTTTGAGGCTTTTACATCAGGTTTAATTTCTACATATACAGTGACAGCAAGGTAGAACGGAGTAGGAGCAGTTTAGAAGTGTGGGAGAGTAGAGTAGAGTAAAATTGAGCAGGAATGGAGTATGCATTGGGTAGAAGTAGGGAAGTGGTGTAGGATAAGTGTAAGGGTAAGCTAAAAGTTGATTAACAGTATAGTAGTAAACAAATGGATTAGCAGCAGATGTATAATACACAGATTTCCAAAGATAAATTTACCGTGAAAAGTTTTCTAATATTGGTAATTGCATAAAACTCTATTTGCACTACATTGACCTTAACAGTCTTTTTAATGACATAAACCAAAATTTATTAAGAGTTTCTTAGTTTTCCATGTTGGACAATCAATCAGCAGTCAATCACCTGGCAACGCTACCATTGTTCCAGGAATTTTGCTTTTTATAAAACATCCCACAATCCAGCCCTGATTTCACAGAGGTGTAACAATCGCTTATAATGATTATAATGACCCAAAGTCTTAAGCATTAAGGGGCTCTCCAAGTCCGGGGTCACCCATTAGCTTACCTGCGGTCTCGGCTGCAATCTCCATGTCCTCCTTTTCCTCTGCCTCTGCTAGAGCAGCTTCTTCTGCTTTGAGCCGCTAGAACAAAACCCAATTCCACCAGCTCATATATTTAAAAATGCATGATATCATCACTGCAACTCTACGAGGTGATCACTGAACACTCTGGCCGGGAGAAATAGCCATAACACCATCCATCCCTTCTCACTGACTGCTCTATTCAATATCCAAGCTCTATGATATATATTAACTACTACAATGCCAAGGCTGACGAAATATATCAGAGAGTGACAATCTTGATTTTTTCAAGTTAGATAGAAAACGCAACACTGAATTACAGTTGGAGGAAAGGGAAAGATCTAGATGAGCACATGTTGATTGCCATCCAGATGTTTTACTCTTTAATTAGCTATATGTTTTGATGGCTAGCTGTCATGCACACTGATTTTATACAGCAAGCTTTATTTTACTTTTTTGTTCTATGATATCTATCCAATCATTATAAATAAATAAAAATAATAATATACAAAACATTATACTATTGATGATATTGTTTTTTGGTGTAATAGCCCGTTTATATCGTTAATATCGTCAGAGATAAAGCATGTTCTGTACTGTGCACCATACCTCTATGATCTTACTGTTTATTTATATACAGAAAAGTCTCTCACTTCTTTTAAGGTTTCTATGGAGGCGAAGTACTTGGACCACCAATCCAGTGTGCTCTCGTCCGCCTCGGCCTCCTCCTCTGGCTCTTCTCCCTTCTTTTTCTTCTTCTTTTTCTTCTTGCCATCATCATTCTGTGAAGGAAAAAAAAAAGCAATCAGTTGCAAAAGCAAATAGCTAATAATGACATTAATCGCTATATGATGTTTATAATCAGAAATGGTATATACTGTATGTTATATAATCAGAAATGGTATATACTGTATGTTATATGTCTGATCAGGATTTCTTGGACTCACCATGTCAACTTTAACAACGGCATCAGATGACTGGAGGACATGAAAAATAAGAAAAAATAAAAATCACCATATACAAAAAGCATGAAATATGTGTGTTCAAGGACATTCCTGTTGTTCCTTTATGGAACATCTAAGTGGGTTTTCTAGTTGAATGAATGTGAAATATGCTGCAACCATGACCCAGGATAATTGCTTCATAGAGATGGACTGACAGATGGAGGAGCGCCTTAAATCACATGGCCTCTCTGAAAGTAGTGTGACCCTGCACTGATAAGCGCTAGACTTACTGCCTCCAGCTTGACGACTGTATCCATCTTCTTGATTAGCGGCTCTGGTTCCATGTTGATGATTATCTCCGCTGTGGAAGAAGAAGTGGAGCAAGAGGAGACACAAGCATAACTAGATGTTGCTCAATTTTGCTGAAAGACAATACAGATCAAAACAGAACCCAACAGCAAGACGAGGGAGAACTAAACCATGAAGCTTGAGAGAATGAAGAACAGATATTGTGTTAAAATGAAAGGTTTTTAAAGGAAACTTACCACCAGTGTCCCAGTTGCTGGCCAGCTTGCCGTTGCCGGTATAGTGGAACCTGCGAAGGGTGGCGACAGCATGACAGCCGACCAAGGTGTAGCGACCGAAAGCCCTGCAGTCAACCACACGGATGTTGAGCGGAGGATGAAGAAGCTCATTTTCAGGCAGGTCCTTCAAAGGAACCACAGAAGAGTTTCAAGGAAAAATGTTACCTCTGTCAGAAGCCCAAGTTAACAAAAGTATGAATTTCTGTATCAGTCCTTGCCGTGTAGGACTGTGACTTATGAAGTATGATTCGACTGGACAGAATAGCACTGGAGGATATTTTCAAGGGTAAATAATAATATAAACATCATCTTAAATATGAATATTACAAATAATAAACCTGGCAGTTGATTTAAAGGATACTCACAACTTCAAACCACTTGACCAGGGTGCTGAAATTAGGATTTTTCTTATAGTTTGCAATGACCGTTGACTGTATCCCTTTACCAGAACATTCAATGTCCACACGGGGCTTGTCCACATTGGACAGGTTGACACGCTTCAGATCCCTCAGGCCCCAGAAAAGAACCTGAAGGAGAATTTCCACACATGAAATACTTTGGGTCACACGGACCATAGAATGTGACTCCAGATGGCAGATATAAGGCTTTTACCTCAATTCTATATCTGCTCAGGACTGGCCTTATCCCCACTGGGACAGGGAGGATGGGGCCGTGGTCAGTGTCTGTTGGACTGTCGATCGGGGGCAGATCAGCTTTCCCACCCGGGCCAATCTAAAAGCAGGTTTATTTGCAATGAAATTAGTGAAGAATCATGAAGAGAGACATAGACGAGCCAATAATTGCATCCTGTCCTGTTGCTTAAGGCACTAGTTGTAATATGAATGTGGTATATAATATGACTTTGGTATACAATATGAATGTGGTATACAATATGACTGTGGTATATCATATGACTGTGGCATATAATATGAATGTGTTATATGATATGACTGTGGTATACGATATGACTGTAGTATATAACATGACTGTGGTATATCATATGACTGTGGTACATAATATGACTGTGGTATACAATATGACTGTGGTATACAATATGACTGTGGTATATAATATGACTGTGGTATATCATATGACTGTGGTATACAATATGACTGTGGTATATCATATGAATGTGGTACATTATATGACTGTGGTATACAATATGACTGTGGTATACAATATGACTGTGGTATATAATATGACTGTGGTATATCATATGACTGTGGTATATAATATGAATTACTGGTTCTGTGTGGATTGAAGATGCAAGTTCTCTGCTGATAGGCCCAGCATCAACCCACCTGCAGCAGCTCAAAGGCGGCCAGCAGATCCCCCGCAGGAGTGTTTCCTCGGTAAATCTGGTAATACTCCAGCGGAGGCGGGAAGAGCGGGGGGCCATAGTGCTCGTCCGACATCTTAGTGAGAGGCTTGGCGAAGGCGCGACCTATAAACTCAGCTCTGCCCTGGATTCACACACGAAAAGTGCTGTCAACCTCTGTACCGCTGTTTCTAGCTGGAGAGACAGCCCGGATATTTTGGAATGTTCCAGAGTCTCCCAGAAATTAGACTCTCTGATGCCCCAAAATGAGTAAAAACACTCCAAGATGGAAAACACACCACTGGTCATAATGTCAGAAATAAGAAAATTCCTCTGAGAAAATACAGTTTTCAACAATTTCAGTCCAACACTGCAGCAGATTTTTAAAATAATTTAAGATTAACTGATTAGATTAAAATATTTAATTATGTAATAATTAGAAAAGTTTAAATAAGTTTAGATACAATTTGAAAAGGAAAGACTAAAATCAGACCTACCAAGGCCATGAAGAATAAAAAATTGTGTTGATGATTATAATCAAATGGAATTAAATTATAGTGTGAAAATCATGTGATTTATACTTAACCTTTAGAAATTTCAAAATCTGTCACAGCACTCAGCAAACCATCAGAAAGCTGTCAGCAAACCAGGGAAGCTGATGAAATGCAAGAGTGACGTTCTGGGCAATTTAACATCTTGTTTTGCCTGTACTATAATAGTAGCTTTTATTGAGCTGTACTGTGTGTTAATTGAAGGGTCTTAAAGTGCTTGTATTCAGTTGTCCTTGTGGTCAAAATGTACCACTGTGTACTGCCTGAAGAAACATTGTACATTGTAATATAATGGAAAGGGAATGTGGAGAATGTCTGTGACAATGTCTGCCTCTTGCATGTCTTGCAGCTGTATCCACAATGTGCTGAAGAACAATCATCAGTCCTATTGGAACAGTGCACACTCTACTTAGCCCAATTAAATCCAGAGTTTGGTGGAATTTGCATAGGAATAAATGCACAACTGTCAGAAAACTTTGAAAAAATTCATAGTCCGTGTTCATCAGGTGTGTGGCATGCTAACATGCTAGCAACATCATAACACTGTCTGTCAAGTAGCCAGATCACTATAAAAATTGCACTTTATCTTAGGATCCAAGTATAGAGTTCAGTGACTATTAACACTAATATTTCTTTGAACAGGTTAAATAAATAATATTAATTTCAAAATTATTATAATAGATTAGATTAGATTAGATAAAGTTTATGATGAACCACAATTATTTGAAGGGAAAATAACATATACAACAGTATTAAATATTAAAATATGTAATTACCACATCACTATTAATCTCTTTCATCATAGATTAATTCAGTCTTGCACCTATGAACTTTCTTACCACATTGTCCTCATCATAGAACTCAATAACTAAGATGGGTGGGTCATCCCTTAGTTCCGCGGCTTCCCCATACAGCTCCACGTGATCAAACACCAAGAGCTGGTCCCACGTAGGGCACAGAGTTTCACTCAAAATCTTGGAGAGAGAGAGAGAAGGGCACCAATAGTCAGCAGTCTGTCTTCCCTATTAGATTAGGCAATTAGATACTTTGTAAATTAACATAAAATACTTGCTGGGAGATTAAAATAAAATCCAATGGGCACAATGGGCATTAAGATTCAGCTGGAATGGATCATTTACTCCCGGACTCAGGTAGTTGGGACACAGCGACATTGTTTAGCACCCATTTCTGCCCACCTCAGTGACTTGGCTGTAGGTGGAGAAGAAAACTCTGGCAAAGGGGTCGGAGAGGCCACTGCTGTCTGCTGCAAACAGGCTTCGTGCCTGATACATGTGTGCCCTCAGCTGGAACACCTGCTTCACTGCGGCACAAAGACGGCAAATCAGCCGCCATCCCCTCCTGCTTCACCTTGTGTGCATTGTCAGCTTATTAGTTTAACTAGTTATAATAAGAACAACAACATTAACAATAATGACCCACAGCAGTCTGGCCAAGTATGCAGTGCATCATGGGAGTTTAGCGTCACCCTTCATATATAAGGACTTACTGTTGTAGATGAGGGTGGTGGGGGGGCCGCTGTTGGCGGGTGGGACATCTCTGAACTCCTCAAAGCCATTGGGCAGGCCACTCAGGAATTCCTTTCGCTGCTTGCTGAGACTGAGCCAAAGGTACATCTCCAGTTTGGCCTGCACTGTCCAGCCACCTGGTCCAAAGCCTTTCTTACCCGGTAGCTGGAATTAGCATGTACATAATAAACAAACAAACAAACAAACAAACAAATAAATAAATAAGAATTTCTTACACAATTTTGCACAAAAAAACATATTTAACACATCACATTTACAAAAGACCGTTTTCCACCTCAATTTATTTGACAAACGGCAACGTCTGCAAAAAAAAATTGCTTCGCAAAGAATATGAGAAACGAAACGATATGGTTGGAAACCAGTACCCGAAGGAAGATGGTTTTCACTTTTCCACAGTCCTTCCCAGATTCTTCATCTACAATGGAGTAGAGGATGTCCTTGGCCGGGATGCGAGCATAGGCGATGCGCTTGTTGTTACTAATCATCCAGATGAAAATGTCAGGAATGCTGTTCTGAGGCTAAACACAAAGGCAGAGGCACCCCGTAGTTATAACACTGGTACACATCTGCATCTCAACTGCTCCTCTGACAAATGCAATGCAACAGAAAATGGTTCATTAGAAAATAAAATATCAATCCTATGCTAGTAAAGGTCACTTTTTCATTTCACCAAAATACAGTGAACCTTCTCAGTTTATATGCTGCATTTGCCACATCACCTCATCTGCCAGGAACCGCAGCTTCTGCAGGAAGTTCTGCACCTGCTTCAGCTTATCCTTCACCGTGTTTTTCTTCACTTGAGAGCGGATTAGTTTCGCCTGCTGGGCGATGTTTTCCTTCAGGGGCAATAAGGAAAGACCAGAAATCAGCAATCTCGCAAATGACAGAGAATGCACCAAGGTCAGGCACCGCTGAGCTCCATGGAGAGCAGGATGGCCACTGTGCATCATTGTAGAGCTGCACAAAAAACGCAGCGTGAAAGTCTCCGTGTTGGGAAAAAGCTTTGTGTCGGAGAAGCTCACAATGTAGGGAACAAGTAAATACATTTTCATTTTCGAGGACCAACTATGAACCTCCCCTCACAATCTAGAAGCACATTAGACAAGGAGCTCTGTCTTAAACAGAATATAAGTGTTTTGTATATTTTGTATGTTTTCTTCTGCCCTGCTTTCATCTACTCCCACTTCACTTAACCTTACCTTCCTTTTACTCTCAAAATACAAAATATGTCTTTTCTTAGAAAGAAAAGACATTTTCTTTTAGGTAAGTGTTACCAGTTGCTTGCGGAGCGGAGGCAAAACAGCTGTTTAAAAATTGCTAATGAACAGCTAGATTAAATCATACCAGTTCCCTCAAGCAGGATTTCAGCCTCTCTCGGTCCAGCTTGGTCCTTCCTGACTGGTTCTCATCCTTATTTGCCAGCGTTAAAAAGCGACTGAAATAAAAGGAAAGGTTATAACCAAACGGCATTTAAAGGTTTGCCATTTTGCCCAGGCTTAATCTGAGTAATCGTGGTTTTAAAAATTTGCAGTTTGAAAAATTGGCAGCTGACATTTCAAGAAGTCAAGCAAAGGAAGCGTACGTCACACACATGCTAAATTCCTCTTACTTGCAGTCTGTGGCTAGCTCCTCCAAGACGCCCCTCAGCCTCCTCTCTGGGTAGGCCTTCTCGGTTTTTATGATCTCCTGGACATCGTTCAGACCCTCTTCCTGTTACGCCCCAAGAGCAATCAGGAGTGACAGTCATTTACATGCAGTCTTCAAATGCACTGCAGCATCTCAGATGTTTCACCATCCACATGTCCATGTTGAGTTAACTACCTCACCAATGTGACTAATATAACAGGACTGCCAGTGACACAGCAAATCTGATGGGGGGGGGGTGCAAGCCAGGTGGGGGGTGGGGAGGGGGAATGGAAAGACTTGTCGATCGGGGGGTTGGAGGGAACATTGTGTAAGCATACAATCTAGAGCCACCCCCCCTGCGAGAGACCAGGCTTTTTCGTCTTAAGATGAATTCCTTTTTTGAAAAATAAAATTAAGGTAAAATAAAATAAAATAAAAGACAGGGTTCTTGGTGGGTGGCATTTGGAGGGGCACAATGGCTCACAATGTCCGGCACGGTTTTGTGTACTAACCAGTTTATCTGCAATCTTGTCCATGATGTTGGAGTTATAAAGGCGTCTTCTGTGATCTGGCCACCAGCTCTTGATGAAAATGCAGGGCTTTCGATCAAAATACGGCAAATGGTAATAATTCCTGAAATCAAGAAATTTTGCGGATGTTAAAACTGTGCAGACAGTGAATTATTCATTGCAAAGCCACAGTGTCTTGTTTTAAGGTTGCTTTAGAACATCCATCCATCCATCCATCCATCCATCTATCCATCCATTTTCTGAAACCTTTTATCCTACTCAGGTTGGCAGGGGGGCCAGCGCCTATCCCAGAGGCTATGGGTGCAAGGCAGGGAACAACCCAGGATGGGGCACCAACCCATCGCAGGGACACTCACACACCAGTTACTCACACATGCATCCCTATAGGCAATTTAGTAACTCCAGTTAACCTCAGCATGTTTTTGGACTGTGGGGGGAAACCGGAGTACATGGGAGACACCCCCATGATGACATGGGGAGAACATGTAAACTCCACACATGTGGAGCCTCGGCGGATCAATAAATTAATATGTAATTTAAATAATTATTTAACTTATAATTTAAATTGTCATTTAAATTATTATTTTAAAATATTTAATCTAAACGATTATTTAAATAATTATTTAAATTATTAAAATAATAATAGATATTTACTATTTAAATTATACCAGCAGGTATTAAAATTATCTGTCAAAGTCACTCATCAAACTCAGTGGCCAGGCTGAAAACAAAACATAACATGCTTACATTGCAAACTACGACGCAACAGATCCATCTTGCCTAGAATATTGAATTCTCATTTAGAGCCGCATTTTGGCTGGTCTGTCCTGGGGACGAATTAGATCCTAAATCTCCTTATTTAATCCATATGGCTGCTCTTTTATTACTTTTATGCTACCCGGTCATGACAGAGCAAAAAATGTTTGTCTGTGTAAGATTTTGGGAAGTTAAGAAGCTTGTGTAATACAATTTCCTGTCTTAGGATAGGAACAATTACTTAGGAACTGTAAACCAGGGCCTAACCCTAGTTACCATGGTTACCAAGCAGATAGGACAGGATCTGCAAGTTAGGAAGTTCTAGGATGGAACAGCCAAAATGCGGTTGTAAATGGGAATTCAATCGACTAGGCGACATCGATCTTTTATGACTTAGCTTGCAATGTAAGGAATCAGACGTTAGGTTTTGTTTCCGGCCTGACCACTGAGTTTGATGGGTGACTTCGACAGGTAATTTTAACGGCTGTTGGTATCATTTAAATTGTAATTTAAATAATCATGGTCGACCAAACCTCTCAGTGATCATCGGCTTCATTAGCGGAGTGGAGGACACTGGGACCAGATCTTCATCATCTCCATCTTCCTCTCCCTCATCGTGATGCATAAGCTCAGACTCTTCATCGCCTTCGTTCCTCCTCGTCTTCCTTATTTTTGGCTTGCTTGCGCCATCAATTAGGTTTCCATAGTTTCCTGGGAATTTTTTGAAGAGCCGCAGAATGAGTTTTGTGTAAAGAGGTACTTCAAAGCAAATGACAATGATCAACAGAACCAAAGCTAAATCACTGCAGATATTAATGCTGAAATATAACAGAGTTATATCCACCATATAATTCTGAAAGTGACTCACCTATTGTGACTTCAAAGTTAATGGGTTTGTCTCCAATTTTCCTGTCAATCATCGTGGCCTCTAGGAAGGACCCAAAGAGGAAGAAATCTTCTATTTTCCCTGCAGATTCCTATAAAGGAAAAGAAAACAAGACTGCAGCATGAGCACAAAACTTCTATCCCTTCGACCGGAAACCACATTTCTGATCGTGCTGTTTGCACTGACTGCAATTATGACAAATAATAAGACCTATATCCTTTATCTCTAGATAGCTCTCATTTATATTCCTACATTATGTTGCTTGGCAGCATAATACCATTATATACATATACATCTGAAGAAATAGGCCACAAACAAAACTTTACATTTTGTATGGGAGGAAAAGTTTGATGTTAGTATGCCAAGAAGCAGACGCCAGAGCAAAACATTTATTTAAAAAATGACAGTAGCTTTATTTATTGAACTAGATATGTACATTACACGGGTATGTTAATCACACCACAGGGTATGATTGCTGGGTTGGACCTCCTCTAGATATTCTCTCTCCTGTTTTTAGGCTATAAAAACCTCCTCTAATCACATTTCAACTTTGACCAAGTTATTCAAGGATGTGTGGAACAGGCGCCTTTAAGACAGATGATGACTGATGACTGATGATGGAAGACTCACCTCTGAGATACTTTGCAGTGGTTCCACCTGCACGTCGGTGGAGGTGGGGGTCTCAACACTGGTGTCCATGATCTCTACAGCGATGCTAAGGAGTAGCCTAGCTCGGAAGGAAATCCCTTCCCCAAGCCCCTCGTTAAGGTCCTGATGCTCATCCATGAGACCGTGGTTCCGCGTTGAGCCATACATGTATACCCAGGTAGGCCCCAGTGTGGGAAGAAACCCTAGTCAATAAGAAAAACAACTTAAGGACCCGCTCACATGTGCCTAAAGTAGTCTTTCCCAATCTGGTTCTCGGGGATCCACAGTCAGTCCATGTTTTTGCTCCCTCCCGGCTCCCTATTGCAAAAATGTGGACTGTCTGGTAGGGAGCTGGGAGGGAGCAAAAACATGGACTGACTGTGGATCCCCGAGAACCACATTAGGAAACACTGGCCTAAAGGAATACACTTATATAGAAAAAATACGTTTTGATGTGACATTTATCATCCTTACTGTGGATTTTTACAATGGAATTACTTGTTTATGATGGTCTGTTGGTAATGGAGTAGTTTTAAGAAAATATGCAGTGAAATTTAAAATGCAGAATCAGGAGCCTAAGCAGAACTAGCAGCAAAAGGCATTAAAGAGTGAGAGATTCACCTTTGTCTCCTTCATTAGAAATCTTCGACAGGTCAATGAAATGTGTGCCTATAGCGACATCATTTACTTTATCCGCATCCCGTATTTGGATCTTCATCCGCTTACAAAGTGGGGGAAACATCTCTGTGAAAATGATTTGCTCGTTCCAGGCGGGCTCGTAAGAGCTCTTCTGGACAGATGTCTTTCCCTGTGTGGATAACAACATTTTACTAACTAAAAGCACTAAAATCTTTAGAAATAACCAAAAATATTTTATTTGCTGAATTATCACCCTCAACATATCTCAGGTCAGAAGACTTACTTTCTGTCCTGCGAAGAGAACTTGGACATAAGGATCCACCAAATCTTTGTTCTCGCCAATGAAAGCCTTCTTCACATTAGCCATGAGGCTGGTGTTCATTTTCGGAAGACCGTCGGCTTTTAAGACCTTCACATAGAACCGAGCCCATGGTCGCTCTGCAGGAACACCTTCTGGGATCAAAAGGTTCCTGATAATCCAGAGCCAGAGAATACTGGTTAGACTGTGAATCATTCCATAATAAAGATTAAAACTTATTTATTGTGTACTCATGTATTTTGCTAAGCTGGTTTACAGATAATAGCTCCTCAGGACCCATAAAAATATAGAACACATAAAATACGCAAGTCGCCAGTGGAACAACTCTGGAGTAAGGCGTAGTCCACTGAATCCTCACAGTTTGTAAATCTGAATTGCGTTTACCCTTCTATGTCGTCGTCATCTTTCTCTGTGGTTTTGTGTGGCGTTTTGATGTTGTCTCCCTTTCCGACCACTGCGATGTCACATTTGACGTAGCCCTTGCATCCACCGCCCATGTCGTCAGGGTCCGTGATCATTGCCCATTTATGGTAGAACATATGCTCTGCGAAGGACCACAAACCGGCAGGTGATGTACAGATTGCATATGCGAAAGCTATCATGACGATAAATGGATGTGGGTCAGCTTACCAGGCTGAGCGTACACCGTGCCAACGTCCATCTTGAACAAGCCTACTAGAGTTCCACTCCGCAGGAGGTTTTTAGAGTGGATGACCTGAGGAGAAGCGGAAATGACCATCAATGCTGGAAGAGTTAAACCTGGCAGTCAGGAAGGAACGACAGCAGAGTGCATGTGAGGAAAAGTACTTACAGATATCTTTAAAATCTTGTCAAACATGAAGTCTGGAGACATGTGGAAGTCGAACACAAGATACTGTGCAAGAAAACAAGTGCATTAATGAATCAAACATATAATGATGAATTCTTTTGATGCTGATATTGTCACTTTAATAAGCCTCCCTTTTGCCACTTAAAAAAAGTAGTAATTCATGAATAAAAAATGTTATAACTTATTTATGATTGTCTATTAGTGATCTACAAAGTGTTTGAACCTAATTAATAATCTGATTATACACCATTCATGAACCCTTTATAAGGGAAGTCTTATTGTAAAAGTGGAACCCTTGTGAACTAAATTTACTTCTTTTATAAAATCACTTTTATCTTCAAACCAAGATCATTAAAGAGCTGTATTAGACAACTGAGCAGTCTTGTGGATTTATTTATGTCCCTTTTTCCACCTATTGGTTTACATCTCCAGTTAACAAAGCTTCTGAACATTGCTTGTCATATTTCAAAAGTCATTGCATTTGACCAAAGAACATATGATGTGTAATTTTGCTTAAAATGCTAATGAATGTGGAAAGTCTGAGGATTTCTTATTCATTCAGGGTTCAACAGAGAGCTGAGGACTTTCCAAATGGGTTTGTTTGCTAAACTCCTCTCCCAGTTGCTCTCAGGTTGGGTGTCTAATTCCAGCTGCTTATTGTTACAGTCTCTAGAGTAGACTGGCTTTGGGTAAAGGCAGTTTTCATTCGTGTACGTAGCTTTGACCTTTGTCTGGGCGCTTGGCCCAGCATGAGGGAGTCACCTCGTTGTAATAGGGGCTGTTTGTCGATTCCTTCGCTGACGTGTACTTCTTCTCATCCCCAACTTCCACGCAAACCACCGGGTCCATGTTTGCGCCGGCCAGCTGTCGGGCTTCTATCACCGTCACGCTGATCTAAGAAGACATTATAACGCTCTTTTCTATCGTGTTAATTTCAGAGAACAGCTTAAGACAATTAAATTGCATTCGCTGAAAATAATAAGCAACAGAGTGAATTGCATATGGCAAGTGATGTACATCTATATGTATGATAAATTCATAAAGTAAAAGACAACAACGTGAAATGCATAACAGGGAAAATATTAGTCTCAGTGTTCAGGAATGTGGCTTCTGAGGGTGTGATATAACGCTGCAGTAATCAGGGGGCCCAGCACTTTATACTGTAACATCAGGACCCAGTCGGGAAAATCTCCCGATGGGGACCAGACCCCCCCAGCAAAATCTACAGAGTCCCCCACCCCCGCAAAATCTACCAAGGGGATCCTAGGTTATATTTTGCCATGGGGTCCAGAATTTCTAGCTAGCCCCTGATGACATGACTCATCTGATCGGGTCCTGGAGTTAACTTGGACGTGCTCAGGGGTCATGACAGGGAGACAGAGACTGTGGACGGGAACTTCAGTGGACTGTGAGAGACACTGTGCTACATGTTATATTTAGGTCACTGCCTGCTTGATATCAGGAAAGACCCTCCCTTTCTGTGTGCCGATGCATAATTTAGCATCCTTCACTGCAGCGAGTCTCCAAGCAGCACGAGCCATGGATCACCAAGCTCAGGCGTGGAGAAAAAGAAGCAGGAAGGCAGGCTGAGGTGACCATCTCCGTAAAGGATCACATGGTTCACTGGAGGTGACAGTCTTTATACAGCCAGCCAGTGACCATCTAAAGCTTCCAAGTACCTGATAATCCACTGGCCTCCCGATGGTAGGTTCCATCTTAATATCGGGCTTTGATCTGCAAGATAATATCATTACAAAAAATATATGTGTGTGTGTGTGTATATTATATATATAGATATATATATGCACATCAGATATGTACCGTGAATGATGTTTTGCTCTGTACCAATTTATAACACCTGATTATAAACATCTGCTTTCAGTAAGCAGTAAATCATTGGAAACTAGACAGCTGTTCTTGCAGTGAAAATGGCACTTAAGGTGCAATTACATCAATCAACAGTGTGAATAAAATTAACCAGAGCAATGACATGCGTCACTGGTACTTACCCACCTGAAAGACAATTACATTGCGTATATCTGTCAAAAGGGATCAAATCACCGATCCCTAAAATGTCATACACTGTATACCACTGGTATTTACTGTAAGATTATCCTGCAGGTATGTAAGATTATATAATGAGTATATGATTGTGATTTTATTCGGGGAAATTTGGAGATAAAAGCTTGTACAAAACAATCAATGAATAATAAGTATCTTATTGGATAAAATGCTTTCCATGCATGTTTGACAGTTAGAATGTAATTTGCTGGGTTGAACACGCCAAGCTCCATTGATTATAATGTCAGTATAATGTCAGAAGCATGTAGATGTGAGGCCTGTGGGGAGGTCGGGGCCCTCAGGCAGGTGGTGGATGAGGCTGTCAGACCTCTTGTTGGAGACATTGGTGGTAACAGCAGTAACTGAAGCCACAGAGATGCTGTCTGGGTCCTTCCGAGAGGACTTTCGGTTCAAGTCTTCTGTTTCCAGGAAGGCCAGATCATCTGTAAATGACCAGGCATGTTCTGCTTAGTGTGGCTTGGAGCACTACACTGGGATTCCTTTGACACCCTGACCTAAAGAGCGCTAAATATTCACAACAGCAACATGATAAGAGTGAGAATGGCTGCCATTCCGCTCTTCTCTCGCCCCAGAACCCCCCAGGTTCCAAGCCCCCGCACCTTTACCTCCTTTCTTCTCCTTAGATGCACGTGACTTGCCGAGCTTCATGGCTGAGAAGACTCTTTTCCCGGCTCTGAGGAGGAGAATTACAGCAAAGAAAATTACACCGTGTGTAAGATGTGTCGCAGGGAAATGCTGTCCCAGCCATCAACTGGCATTTGGTTCCCTTGTTCCAACTATCAGCACGGCGCCAATCCATTCTAATCTCGCCCCCAATTTCTTGGTTCCCTAGGCAACTGCTCCATCCTAACGTGGCCTGATAAACAAAATAAGTAACTGACTGTCCACTAACTGTCTGGCTTCATAATCACTTGGTCATTTAATTTGCTGCTCCAATTGCCTGAACATGTAACAAAATGCCCCCTAACCACCTGATCAAAGAATCACCTAGCCCACTAATTATCTGACACCATTACTACAAAGCCGTATAATGTCACAGGGTCCCCTAATCTCCATGACTCCCAGTCTCCCACCGCATCCCCATGAGACACAGAGAGAGAGAGAGAGAGAGGGGGGGGGGGAGACACCACCCAAAGTTACAGACTCAGTCACACACTGAGACTAAAAAATACTCTGAAACCACCTTTAAATTTACCTCTTAAACTTAGTACCAACTTTTCCTTTAAAGTAACAGGCATTTATTTTGAAAACAATAAATATGTAAGACTGTGAGTCAATGTCAGAAGTTTGAATGCTTTGATTATTATGACACAGTATGAATTAATACTGTTTTGGTTTATCACGCTTTTTCTGAGGGTTCAAGAAATACTAACCAGACATTTGATGTATAAACAAGCCACAAAAATATTTACCCCCAGGCACAACTGTGTACAAGGCAAAGGTATTGCATGACATTAGACATAATGTGTATCAAATATCCCTCCACAAAAGTTAATGATGTCATTGCCTGAACTTCAAATTAAGAACTTTAATTATTAAATGGATGAAAATCTATCAGTGAAATATCAGTTCAAGATACATTCTACATGAGAAAACTTTTGTTTTCAAATATTAAGTTTTTGTCTTGCATAGTATTCAAATGGTAAAGACAAAATAAACAGCATTATAAAAATATAAAATATATTTGAACTATAAATTAAAAAGTGAATAACAGCCTACTTTGTGATATACTTCAATCACAAACCAGCCAAAACCAACATTTATATATTACTTAGTTTTCTTAAAATTGCCTAATTATATGTCTGTAAAATATTCTAATAAGTATCTGAACAATAAAAACTCAGTAATGTCATATGAAGCGCAATTTAAAAATCTCCCTCTTGACATTGTTTAAATGAGTTTGTCATTATTGAGATTTTAAGTAATGAGGAAAAAAGTCAGCAGTGCTGGCAACTGATATTTAAGAATAATTATTGTGCTGAACGCCACAAATTACATACATAAACAAGCACACAAGCAACCCAGAGGATGAAAATTTAAATATAATTAACATGCACCACAGTATAAACAGGTATGTGCCAAATACCTTACCAAAGTAGAAAAGTTGCACTTCTCAGATAGGCTCTAAAGTACTCCACCAAAAGAGAAAAAAAGAAACTTCAAACTACAACTTTCTGCCAAGCAGCCGTCCTACATCTCCGTCACCGCGTCTGGTACCGAATGTCTGGCAAACGAAGTGCAAAGCATAGGCGGCTTCGACCAGAAGCAGTCACTGGGCTGGGGTGAAACCAGGAGCTGGACAATGAAGACGCGCGGGCACCAGTAGCAGCTGTGGCTCTGCACGCACTCTGACCGTCCATACGGCTACACCTATCTTCCTCTTGGATCCATCACCTGAATCCACTGCTCCATCTACCACGTTATTCCAGTGACCATAACACCCGGAACTATAACGATTTTTTTGAAGGGTATCGAACTGAACAATGGGAATGACGACATGAGGTGGTGGATGCTGAATTTATAAATGCATGACGTTTGTGTGGTAGACAGGTGAGCTTTATAGGCTGTTCCGGCGCTTACAGTGTGTGTCTTCTGTCTATGAAGACTAGTGACGCCAAACTAATGTGCTTCGACCAAGAATCAACAAAGATTTAAGGAAGGGGATTGGGTTACATTCAGGGGAAACAAATTCATATAACGTAATAGAATACTGAAATTACCACAAATATAAAAAGCACTTGGATACAGAATGTTTGTATTATACTTTTTACCCTGGTCAATTGGCATATTCTTGCATTAAAGTAGTTCATATTGTGTTTTGGTTGTTATTGTTACTGTAAACTTAAAACGCAAAAAAACATTAATAAAAACTAAATTGGAGTATATATGAACAGCAAACCAGAACACCGTTGTAAAAATAAAAATGAATAAGCTGAAAACGATCTGGCAATGAATAAAAATAAAATATAATGGAAATTAACAGGAATGTTCAAAAACGATTTGTGAAAGCATATTTTATTTATTTGATATTTTCTCGTTGTTTCGTCTCGGAATGAACTAAGAACACAACCACAGCCCAGGTTTGACTCATATTATGTGTTCTGTGTATGACCAAAATTTAAATAAAAATATAACAGTCTAAGCTTCCAAATTTCATATCTACAATATCTTCAAATAGCTTTTCTTAGGATTTTCATTCAACCTAACTAAACACAGGCGCTTTTGAGAAGGTGATTATTGGCGAAATATGAGACCATAGATCATAGACACTGGGAGAGACGACTGGTGAAACAGCGCCTCTTGTGGTCACTTAGAGTACAACGTACACACACCCTTACAAACACTTATCCTTTGATTTGCCCCTTCCATCCCAGCCTTGCCCTTGTCTTTGCTGAGCAGGAGGGCCACGTGTGAACAGCAAGTTACCAGCAATGTTCAATGTTATAGCTGCTGTCATGTCATAAACATGTAATATACAGTAAGCTAGTACACACATTCCAAATATCCAATTCAAAGCCCACTACTCTACATTACAGCACAATAAAATAATATAACTGGGTATTCTAAATTCAATTTAAGCATAGATCGTTCCCAGGAAGACCTGGGAACGATCTATGCTGTTGTTTCACAGTGTCTGTCAATGACACATTTTCTTAACTAACTAAAGCCTCAGTTTCTTACTAAACAACAGAAAACAGTGGTGCTGAACCAGGGCGACCAAGACACATGCTGAAGAAATGTGAAGAAACATGAAAGCAGGTCAGATCAATAATGTGCTGTCACAAAGCTGGAGTTTATGGATTTGTTTTACTCGACTGTGCCATTGAACGGTGTTCTTCTGGGAGCTGCTACTGTGAAGCAGAGACCAAAGCTGTGATCCCGCAGAGCCTTATAAATGCCCTGCCTCACACTTACTTGGGTAAAATACTCCATTCCTTAAGCCATTATTGCCTTGTTGTAAAATTTCAGCTAAACATTCTTCCTTCCTTCTTGTTTTATTTGGGATGATTGTTAAAGACATGCCAGTAAAGCCATTTTCTTAAATGATTAAATATATCTAATTGAAACAGTGACTTGTTCATTATTACAATTTGATGAACTGACTGTAATTAATAAAGATTTGATTATAATGTATTATAGCTGCAGTATAGTGAAGCTGATCACATGCATCATATGAGCGGCTACTCGGATCGCGGCTTTCGGGCGAAGTTGCACATACTGTTTATACCACAGCACTGGAGTCTGGGAGCAGCACTGGCTGAAGCAAAAGATTGGGATGCTTTTTTTTAATGGTCAATGAAAACCAGAGCTTGATTAGGCTTAGTGTTGTTTGTAAAACACCCAAACTTTGCAATAATAATTATATATTTGATACATAATATGTATATCATACACTCACCTAAAGGATTATTAGGAACACCTGTTCAATTTCTCATTAATGGAATTATCTAATCAACCAATCACATGGCAGTTGCTTCAATGCATGGTCCTGGTCAAGACAATCTCCTGAACTCCAAACTGAATGTCAGAATGGGAAAGAAAGGTGATTTAAGCAATTTTGAGCGTGGCATGGTTGTTGGTGCCAGACGGACCGGTCTGAGTATTTCACAATCTGCTCAGTTACTGGGATTTTCACGCACAACCATTTCTAGGGTTTACAAAGAATGGTGTGCAAAGGGAAAAACATCCAGTATGCAGCAGTCCTGCGGGCGAAAATGCCTTGTTGATGCTAGAGGTCAGAGGAGAATGGGCCGACTGATTCAAGCTGATAGAAGAGCAACTTTGACTGAAATAACCACTCGTTACAACCGAGGTATGCAGCAAAGCATTTGTGAAGCCACAACACGCACAACCTTGAGGCGGATGGGCTACAACAGCAGAAGACCCCACCGGGTACCACTCATCTCCACTACAAATAGGAAAAAGAGGCTACAATTTGCACGAGCTCACCAAAATTGGACAGTTGAAGACTGGAAAAATGTTGCCTGGTCTGATGAGTCTCGATTTCTGTTGAGACATTCAAATGGTAGAGTCAGAATTTGGCGTAAACAGAATGAGAACATGGATCCATCATGCCTTGTTACCACTGTGCAGGCTGGTGGTGGTGGTGTAATGGTGTGGGGGATGTTTTCTTGGCACACTTTAGGCCCCTTAGTGACAATTGGGCATCGTTTAAATGCCACGGCCTACCTGAGCATTGTTTCTGACCATGTCCATCCCTTTATGACCACCATGTACCCATCCTCTGATGGCTACTTCCAGCAGGATAATGCACCATGTCACAAAGCTCGAATAATTTCAAATTGGTTTCTTGAACATGACAATGAGTTCACTGTACTAAAATGGCCCCCACAGTCACCAGATCTCAACCCAATAGAACATCTTTGGGATGTGGTGGAACGGGAGCTTCGTGCCCTGGATGTGCATCCCACAAATCTCCATCAACTGCAAGATGCTATCCTATCAATATGGGCCAACATTTCTAAAGAATGCTTTCAGCACCTTGTTGAATCAATGCCACGTAGAATTAAGGCAGTTCTGAAGGCGAAAGGGGGTCAAACACCGTATTAGTATGGTGTTCCTAATAATCCTTTAGGTGAGTGTATATCTAAAGTATATGTGATATATCACTTGATATATATTAATGTATTTTATACACTGAAAAGAGTATCAACAATACACCATTGCAGTTGAGCATCATGCAAATAACATTAGCCAGAGCAAATCCAAAGGAGCTGAAAATGAGAAAATTGTCATCTATGATTTGACCCTGATGAATGTCGTTTTCCAGTTATCCACAGAAATAAGAAATATGTGTATGCTCAAATTAAATTCACCCATCCACCCATCCATCCATCCATCCACCCATCCATCCAGTATCCGTACCCGTGTGTCCTGTGCAGAGTCTCTGGGGGCTGGAGCCTATCCGAGAAGCAATGGACACAGGGCAGGGAACAACCCAGGACAGGGTTCAAACCCACTGTAGCACATTAAATCCTGAACCATTAAATAACTTGCATTATAACGTACGAAAAACAAAGCTCTTTGTTTCAAATTCCAAATGATTATAAAAAAATCACAGTCATATAAAAATACACAAGTGCACCAGTTACCAATTATGCAATGCTGTTAGAACCTTTCTCTCAAGCATACTTGAAATGGTATTGCTAGAGCTTACTTTAGGTCTGTGGAGCAGGCACAGTGAGAATTGTGCCATTATGAACTGAAACTGAAGTTATTGGATCTAAAGTGTATTAATTATAAAATATGGTGGAGTCGACCTACTGTAAAGCAAGAGGGAGAACTTTGCTTGATCTTGTAGAGAAAAATAAATAAAATGGCAGATGAAGCCATATATAGCTTCGTGCAACACAGAGCAATAATAAAACTGTCCTTTTAAATCGAACACCCTCCTCTGTTGGAGGGTAAAATAAGGAATCTAGTCCCAGTACAGTAGAGCACAATGCAATATCACAGCACAGTACAATATAATGCAAATAGCACAGCAATCCAAGCAGAACACAGGACAGGACAGCAAGCAAACAAAGCAATGAACTTAACAATAGGGCTTCTAAAAACATGCAAAAATTCAGGCCAAAGCTACACAGCACAAACACACTTTCATATCCTTGATACTGCATGCAACACAGACTGATCACTTCAAGACATGCACCTCTCTGCATTAATAACAACTGTAAAGCACACACAGACGCATAGACCTGTATTCATATCTTTGTGGGAACCGTCCATTCAGTTATATGGGCAAAACCCTAATCCCAACAATGCCCCTACCCAGCCCTAACCTTTACCATAAGTAACCAAACAAAATACACGACATTTGGCCTTTTTAGTTTTTTGATTGCAGTCACAGATTTTTATATAATTGAGTTTCCCCTTGTGGGGATAGAAAAAATTGTCCTCACAAGATCAAAATAACAGGGTTTTATCACATTGTAGGGACATTTGGTCCTCACAATGTAATATATACATAGCTGACATACACACACATTTCTGACTTCATGCCTTTCTAGCACAGAGGTGGGATCAGAACCCAGAGGCTGCCAGCACTCCACATGTGATCTTCTCTGCTGTCAATCTGTACTTCAAACAGACCAGGAAAACAGCACTAATTTGCATGAGAATGATGTTATCAAGATGCATTACAGTCTTCCTGCAGAGTTGATGGAAAATAAGCCTTATAGCGTAAAGCAATTAAAACACCCTCTTCTGCTATCTTGCTAAATTCAATCCTGTTAAATGCCAGAGGAGGTAGTGTTATGGGACTGGTCATACAAGATGCATGTACACCACGTTTACTGACTGGAAAGTGATACTGTCGGTGCATAAAATAATACTGTGTTAGTATAGACAACAGTATTGTTCAGTAATAATGAAGGTTCAGCCTGGAATGAAGTTGATGGTACACATTGAGTATCTTTTTGAGGAAGATGCTGAAACAGAATAATATTATCATTAAACTAAAACTGTATGAGTTAATTCAAATTCTTTTTTAATCGGAATCAACGCATTAAGGGGTGAGTCATAAATCACCATTGGTCCCCAGAGCACATGCCTGAAAAGAGTAGGTCGAAAAAAGGGAGGAGAGGCAATTAAAGCCAGTGAGAAGCTGCCCCCCCCGCACTGAAACATGACAGTGGCTCAATATTATGAGTAACAAGGAGACTCTTCCCTCATGAGCCATTTCTCGATCTTTAACTGCTAGTTCTGACTCAAATAGCCCATAAGCAGAAAGCGTATATGGATTGCTAGCTATGTTTACTTAGTCGTATGCATTTCCCAGGGTCACACATTGGACAAAATCAGCCACACTGAGTGACCACACATTTGCACATTAATTGCTATATAATAAGGTTGATAGAACTTGAAGCCTGGGGCTTCTTTTGGGAGAATTTCGCTAACATCATTTCTTGTTTCCACTAGCATACATGAACGGACCTGTTCCCGAGCTGTACCACAGAGGCACTAGTTACAGCATAGGTCCAGCTTCCTTCAGTTTTCCACTGCAGCGTGGTCAGCTCCGTAAAGGCGTTCCCAGATTTGGAGAGCGACAGCGACGTAAAACTGAAGAGATGCTTATTTACTGTTCACTTGGTTCACATGAATCCATTCCATTTAGCTCTTCTATAGTACTTTTTTACATAGGTGGTTGGAAATTTTCAAGTTCTGAATTATGGGGAATACGCTAATACATCTCAATGTGCGATACTACCAATAATGAATAATATATAGAATACAGGGTTGCTAACTCTCTCACACTCACACTTTCAGACTCTCACGCTCAAGCAAGAAATCTTACAGCAAATCTGTATTATTCCATTATGAACCTAAAATTAGCTAAATCAAAAGCGTTATGGTAGTTTGCAACTTTGACAGACCATTTACAAGGTAATAAAACTGTTACATACTGTAGATTTGTCGCTAATTGAAAATCTCACTCCAGCTAACTGACCAAAGTTGGCAACCCTGAAATATGCCTTTTTTCCTTCAGATAATCCATGCATATCAACACAGAACACTGGTATCTCCCTGCATTTCGACCAATGAGACAGTGGTGATGCAACCGGCTTGGTTTGGTCACTCTTTCTGCGCTGCTAGTAAGCAGGACTATGTCGGCATGGATATGGCTTGGATAGTTTACAATGGAAGACCGTCAGTTTGTGGTACGACTTGGGTACGACAGTGGAAAAGCGCCATTTTAAGCAGCCTTATATCCAGCACTCCTTGGTTCACTGGGCAGATAAGCAGCTTCCACACTTCCATATTTGTTGACTTTATACACTTGCAGAAATTAAAATGAAAACCTGCTGGATTGCAGCACTCCGGGGTCAGCACTGGTTGCCCACGCTCTACACCATTTATAATGGGTTGTACTGCACCACCCTTTGCAGTTTTATTGCATCACCTGCTTCTAGCATTATGAGTTATAGTTAGATAACATAGCGCATCTCAGCGACACAGTCAATCTAAAGTGATCTTCGTTATTCCCCATAGTTTACTTTTGCATGATGCGGATTTGTTTGCAAAGAATGAATAAGTTACCTGCACTGAAAATTCACACTGCTATTTTGGAAAAGCCTGACTCGATGAATGAGTTAGTTACACAGACACTTTATCCTACCATTCGGGTCAAACCCTAGAAGATAAATGACCACCTAAATGACCAGAAGATAAGCATTTGCGGGGTTTTTTTTGTTGCAACCTACCCAGTAACCCAATAATACAGTGTCAGGCTCTCTCTCTCTCTCTCTCTCTCTCTCTCTCTCTCTCTCTCACACACACACACACACATACACACCAGCACAGTATTACCACTGGGAATGACACTATGGTAAAGGCAGGATTCTATGGATCATTATAGTGTAACGCATGAGGGGAAACACTAATTAGAGCCATTGGTTTGTTGGGAAACCACTATGAGAGCTAAATAATACCCACCATCTGAGCAGTATTAACTGGATTTCTATGTCCTCTGGAGAACATGGATCATATGGAAAGCATCGTAAAAGACAAAACCAGACTATAAAAGCACAATAACAAAACATGGATTTTCTCTTAACCAATAAAAATGAAGCTGAAGACCGTACACCAAAACTGTCGGCAGGCCAGAATAATCTCCCATTCTGTTTGTTGTTTAGCCTCCAGACAGAGAGCTACTTAATGAAGAAGTAGCAATAAGCATATTCCCCTGCATTTATTGCAGACACGGCAAGCAAGACCCTTAGGATGATCTCTTGACAGTGCTTAGAAAAGGGAGAAGAGGTGATTTTGGCAGCGTACATTACAAAAACAAAGAGCTCCGAAACCAAGGAGATGGGGAGAATTGTAGAGTGCAAAACAGAGATGATACTGGCACTTTCTGAAAAAGGTACCACTAAGTGGAAAAACAGGGTGGCTAAAATGGAGAAAGCAGCACAGCCGACATGGCTATAGTGAACAACATACAGGGGCATCAGCATCATCAGCCGAAAGGCAAATACTGGAAAGCAGTTACCTTCTCATAAAATAACCTAGAGTAATTCATAATCTACAGGTCTTGGATAATAGTGATGAAACAAAGGGTCATATGCATCAGTACTGCAGGTTAGGGAATGAAAAGCGCAAATTGTCCTTTGAATGACCCAAGTATCTAGGTCAGGAAAAGCTCTTAAGATTGACTGGTGCCCTGAGATAGATAATGTATATAATGTATTATCATCTCAACTGTATGCACTGACGATAAGCTCCATCTGCTAGTTTCTAAAGACGCTACTCACTTCCGCAAGACAGGAAGTCCATGGCTGGCCTTCCCAAGAGACGTCCCTGAGCCATTGCTGTATCCAGAGAGGAGGCTGCTGGTCTCAAAGCGGACGGTGCCATCTGGGTCATCTGGCACATCCAGGAACTCCCCATCATTCCAGGTGCACATAGTCCCATCCAGGGGCTGGTACCTGATCTCTATTGTAATGTTCGTCTGCAGGAAAATATGTCTGTCACAGAAGATTTGGCAGAATACAGATCTGAGGTATCCACACAACTTCATGTGCATTGCCATTGAATCTCATACGCTAAACAGAATCTCAAAACACAAAGACAACATTTTTGTTTAAAAAGAGGCTAACTATTAAGTGAGCTTGTGTGCCATAAGTCAGCTGCCCATACGGTTAACTTGCATGCCATAAATTAGATAGCAATAAGATAAACTTGCGTGCCATAGATATAGGGTAAATACCAGAAGTAGGCTATATACGGGGAAAACTTTTGCACCATAAGTTGATTAACTATAAGCTAAATTTGCATACTGTAAGTTGTCTAGCTATATGATAAACTTGTGCATCATTAGTGCATGTTTTAAGCTGTCCAGCTATGGGATAGACTTGTGAACCAGAAGTTGGCAAACTATAACCTAAACTTGCATGTTATAACTTGTCTAGCTAAAGGATAAATTTGCTTGACATAAGTTGGCTAGCTAGAGTGTAAACTTGCACACCATAAGATAACTAGATATAGGGTAAACATGCTTGTCATAAGTTAGTTGGCTGTAAGGTAAACTTGCATGCTTGTTCATTTCCATAAGTTGTACACCACTGTGGTATTGTGACTGATTGTAGAGATGGGCCTTCCGTGGGTCACCATTATCAGTTACAGCCCCTACTGTGTTTACCGATATAACTGAGGAGGGAGCACTTAACATTACGCCTTTTCTGGCAAGGGACATGACCTGTGACATGTGACCCCAGTGCTGGTTAAACTTAAGCTAAAGTACTCCAGACTGATATTACACACCAAGCGGCAATAGCCTCTTTCAACTGCACCCCCTGTTGCTTCATTTAAATATCGGCGGCTAGTGGATGTGCGAGGGGCTCCACTGCAGCCAGCTTGGTCAATGCACTGTCAGCACTTGCCTCCAATTGTGCTAGCTAGCTAGTTTAATACATTTTAGCAGTTTCATAAATATGTCTGCAGTAGTATCAAGGTCAGGGCTGCTATCTTCAATATCTTTCGTTCATGTAGTATGAGCAGCCAAGGTTTCATTAAGCCTTTCTGGGAGGAGGCCTCCTGTCTGTGGGCCTTCCTATGAACTCTCCACTGTCACATCAGTGTAACTGGAGCCAGTTCCCTGCACCAGGAGCACAGGATACTGTCAGCTTTGGCTGTTCGCCTGCTGGGTTTTTTGTAGACTGCAGTTAATCAGATGGAGCTGGAGGATCATTTTGTCTCACCTTCATGATCGACTGGGAAGTCTGAATTACACGCACAACTTTCCCTTTTTCGAAAGTAAACAGGATTCTGCACATATTATAATGTGCAAAAGTCTTGGATGACCTAGGAAAACTGTGTTATGCTGGATTGTCACAGCAAATGCTGTGGTGACTTGAGGAGAAGCTTCAAAAAGCAGACAGACTTTCACAAAGTCATAGTTTCACACCAGCTTAAATATTATTTAAACAACTTCCGGTGGAAGCCTAAGACTTTTGCATAGTGCTGTACATGCATTTGCCCCTAGTTGGAATGAAATTACTGCAATACTTGGTAGTTATTAATGCTGTTCTTTTTGAGACATTTGAACATTTTTGTGGAAACATTAAAAAAAGTTCTGGTCAGGGTTGACCATACTTGTGTTCTCATGCACCCGTTTTACGTCATCTTCCATTGCTGAAGACCAATTCCAATACTCCAGAAGAGCAGTATAGAAGATGGTGAAAATCCCTGGATGTCGTTCTTGCCCTGCTCCAAATATCAAGGAGGCATCAGTTGTATCCTCGTCAAATGAGAACAATCCCATGACTCATTGCATCCCACGTTTGTTTTTGGGAGGCAAGTTAGCAAGATCAAGATCGGTCTTGAAAGACCACAAGTACAATCTTTGCATTCTTGAAATTGAGAAACACCCATAGATTGAGCCGGAGAGTGGGTTTAGATCATGCCAGGAACCGAAGCGAATTTCTCTACCTGTGCACCTATGAAGATTGCTCACCCGAATAGCTGTGTTGTTGTCATCTATAAGAGTATCAGACACCTCCAGCTGAGCCTCCTCCGCTACCTTCTGCAGCACCATACGGAAGGTTCCAATCAATCTGGGAATGAGAAAACAGAGGCAGGAGGTCAATGTCATTCTCTGGCACCCTTTTTGTGAAAAGAGTGCTACGAAGTGCTTAGTACTGGCAGGCTAACTGAAAACCTCAAGCAAGAGGTCTTTGCTGGGCTCTGTGGAGCAGGTATATAAAAGGGAAGGAGCCTAAAAATCTGCAGAAATTATGTGTATCCATTATTTTAAAATAATACTACTAATTAATGTGGACTTTTATGGGTTGGGTGCACCATTAAAAAGCATGACAATGAGTAACAAAGCTCCAGTCAAACTTTGGATGAGACAGAGTGCAAAGCCAACAAGTGATATCAGGTGATAACAAATATCAGGCTCGCACAATGGTATGTCTAATAGGCCCAAATTAATTAACCAATGTGTCTTATGTTTTGAAATATATTCATTTCTTCCTTTGGCCTGATCAGTTTCCACTTCTCTGTCCCCTTGGCTTCCTGAATCCTATTGAGAAGCCAGGAACCATGAGAGTCACCCAGTCTGCCTTCCTCTCCTCATGTTTTTTTTTCTTGTACACTGAGGGAGTTGACTTTAACACTGCCTATAGTGTTACTGCAAGCCGGAGGTGGACGTAGATTTCTGATGGAGAGCACTTTTAGTCATGATTAATTGGGAATAATGACTCACAGTAAACACTTTTTCCACAGTAAAGTGGTGGTATTGCAGACCGTGGTTGGGATTTTTTTTATTATGATATTATAATAAATGTTATCGCCCTTTTAGAATACAACATCCAACTATATTCATAATGCCAGGAAATCTGAAGATATGTGATAAAAAAAAACTTCCATCATCCATCATCTGAAACCACTTGTCTTATTCAGAGTCACAAGTGCTTGCGGCAAAAGGCAGAGAACAACCCAGGATGGGGCACCAACCCATCGCAGGGCGCATTCACGCACCAGTCAGTCTCACTCACGGGCAATTTGGTAACTCCAACCAACTTCAGCATGTTTTTATACATGTTTCTTTTATAATAAAAACAGACTTTTATAATAAATCCCATCCCATTCCGACAGGCTTAATGCGGTGACTATAAACAGGATTCTTTATGCCTGCCTGCCCTGATGTTGATCTGGACACAACACAGTTTCTGTTTTCCCTCCTTTAATTAGCCCATATCAGTGTTTTCAAAAATAACAAAGAAGCAATTAAGTCAACTTATCTATTTCTTTTCCTGCCTAAAGTAACTTCCTTTTTGGCCTGAGGAAAAACAAAGAACCTAAAGGAAAATAAAATGCAGAGAGATGTGAACTGGGCTACAGACACCCGCGAGCCTGAGCAGGATGAGCGGTTACAGAAAATGGATGAAGATGGATGGATGGATAAATGTAAACAGCCCCCCACCATGGCAGGATGGATGGATGGTGGGACGGCTGTAAACAGTTTAAAATGCTCTCTTACCTACCCATCACCCAATATTGTATGGTAACCATTACAAAACTGCTACTCTTATTCAGCACAGATTTGCTTGCAGACAGAAGGTTGTGTGATTTAGACAACGTGAGGAGTCCCACACTGTGTAATCATATGCAATGGACTGACACACCTAATAACGTTACCCATCCGCTCCTCAGCTCCATGGCTTTTCAGTGGAATATAGTGCTCATTGAGGCAATTTGCTTCTTGCTAATACTGGGTAGGACTCCAGGTTTGGGCTTGACTGAAATGACAATACCTATTGCTGCTTAATTAATCAACTTATCGCTTTTCATTGCTTCCTGCTAACGATATCCCGTCAATCTATTGCACAGTATCCAAGCACAACATAGCTAGTTGAATGGGAGGGATTTACCCAGAACTAAGGTCACTAACATCTGTTTTATCCATGCTTGTAGTTCATTCTGTGACAACAGGCTAACAGTGACCTGACCTGAAGAACATGAGAAGTGATAATATGAGAAATGAGAAGTAACAGTATAGCCTTTGCATCAAGCACTTCCGATGTCAATTTCTCGGAAAATGAATGAGGCAAAACATAACCTAGAGTATCAGCCAGGGAACCATCAGAGAATTATTCACGAGGCGGCTGAGCATTCATTTTCTTTTTAGCTCTGTGTGTATTATGTGTTTGGTGCTATATGAGATAAACGTGATTGGGCAAGAGCTATTGGAGTGATTTGTTTCATTGAGTGGTATTTATCCCTGTTATTTTTGCTTGTTTATAGTGTGCTTTCAGAATCCAATCAGCAGGAGCTGTTAGCGTACATTTATGGACTATACACATTATAGACTGAAACCCTGCTGACATAACAGTGAAAAGATTAATCAATTTATACATGGAGATTTTACAGATGGTTTTTAGACTCATGCTGTTTCTTTAAAACACTCATTAGTGCAGATTTAGTTTAGTGTAGACCATTACTGATATATTTCTTGATTTGATAATATTGTGATCAGCAATACATATACAGAAATAAACTTAAAAAAACTGCAGCTCATAGAAAAAGTAATTTTGTTCTCTTTGTGATGGAAGGTATTTATCCTCCACAACACGCACGATACCGAAAATGTATGATTGCCATTCCTTCGTAGCTACAGTATGTATTGTCAACAACCTTTTAATTATTAACAAATGTGGTATCAGGTTTTGGCTTTAGATCAGCTTTTGAATAGACAGCATTCATTATTAATTTTGCCAAACAATTGCACTTTCAATTGCTTCATAATTTACTAGATGTCCATGTTTCCTGTGAGATATTTCTAGGTCAGCCTTGCATGTATTTTTTACAGTAGAAACACACAATTGTTTATGGTTAAACAAGAAGGAAGTTTTGTGGAAAATGCATTTATAATCATTACTCTAAATTGTTATTGTTATTTAAATTTTTCTCCAGAAAATACTTCACTACAACAATACTTGTACTACAACATTAATTTCTAGTTTGTTGCAGTAAATAAATCGTATATATGGGACATTTTGGTTTAAATATCTTCCTAAAAAGTAAAATGGAATACATAAACAAGGTTTATATAGGTGCAGACTATGGGTCTGAATTAATCACAACACATTTAGTTAAAGGTTTGATCTTGGTTTAGTTATTCATATGTCGTAGGTGTGGCAAACTGTCCACTTATCAATGTTTACAATTATTTTTACATACTGAGGATGGTTCTGGTTTGCCTGCCTCTAGTATTATTTGATATCCAGAAGGAATTGCTGAAAATACAAAGAAAGAATGTGCACATTTCTTCTACTTGTAAAATCTGACTGGAAATGGAAGTCAATGTGAGCCTGAGTACAGCTTGAGTACATCAATGGGACCTTATTTAAAAAGTTATAACCATTAGTCTACAGAGACTGGGGAAATTCTGTAAGCCCAGGAACAAGAAGCTGTAATTACAAGTCAGCAACCTCAGCCACTCAGGGGCTTAATTAATCTGCTCGATGTTGCAATATAACATATGATTATACTGTACTCACTCCATGGTCTTGTAATATAACGTGATTATACAGCACTGACTCTGTGGTGTCATAATGTAAAATGATATTGCACTGACTCATCATTATTGTAAAATAACATATGGGTATACTGTGCTGTTTTAATGTACGATTGAAGCACACTGACTCTTGCACACCGTTGTTATAATAGGACATACCATCATAATGGTCCTGGCTTCACTGTGACATATTAAAAGCCATAATCACAGCATTATCAACTATCTGGGCCCCCAAAGGCCCCTATCCAGATCTCTTCAGGAGTTGTTGCTCCTGCTTTTGCTCACAATGATGCTAAGATCTTAAAGTTGGTTACCATGATGACCAATCAGCTAACAACGTACTGTCTCACATAAGGAAAATGATGACATTCAAGGCCTAAATTATTCCACACCTGATATTGCCTTACGCATGAGTTAGGAATGGCATACAAGCGGCATGTTTAAGTAATGACCTGTCCCTTTGTTTGAAATGCCTTTGTAAAGACCTGCGGCTTTATTGTTAAAGGTGTCATTTGTCAATCAGACCCGTGGCTGAAAATTTATACTGTTTGTGGCAACCTTTATTTTAACACACCCTATGTAAATGACTTTGGATTAGCTATATCGGGAGCAGTCTTGGTAGGCACCCCATACCCCTTACCAATGGGCTCACCGGCAGTCTCTGGGACTCCAAGTCTGAGGTAGATTAACCCTAACCCTAACCCTAACCCCAACCCTAAGTCTAACCATGTCATTCCCCTCATACTTACACAGAGACCTTTCCAAAGGATTAAAGAACAGAACTCTTTTCTTGTATGAAGTTATTCATGTATATGCATGTATGTTGTGATGCTGTTGTGATTATTATTAATTATATTTTTAGTAGTAGTAGTATTGTATTATTAATATAAATGTCTTTTAAAGTTTTTACTTCGGTGACTAACCTGTTTGAAAAGACTTTGCTAAAGTTGAAGACCTGGATCTCCAACATCTCGTTTTCATCAATCTTACTGGCAACTGGCCACCGGAAAGTCTGCAGAGAGAGAGGGAGAGAGAGAGAGAGAGCAAGAGAGAAATAGGGGGGGAGAGAGAAAGAGAGATAACGATAGTCATTAGACATTATCAAACACTTCTTAAATGAGTACCAACAATATTTCAACCCCTGTGGCCTTGATTTGAGGTTGTTATTCCTATGAAATTGTATTTCTTAAAGAAAGCAGTTCTTTACATTTTTATCAGCTAAGGAATATAATAATTGACTCCGTGACACTCAGTGGGGGAATGCCTTTTATGCTCTAATGCTATTATTTAAATCAGTGTTTCCCAATCCAGTCCGCAGGGACCCCTAGACAATCCATGTTTTTGCTCCCTCCCAGCTCCTGGTAAACATGGACTGTGTGGGGACCCCAAGGAACAGATTGGGAAATGCTGTTGATTCCCAAATAAAACGTTAAAGACAAGGTGATATGTCAGCAGCCAGTGTTTGGTTTTCATGTCTTTGAGTCAAAATTAATAGTGACACACTCACAGTTTTTCTTAAGTACCCTCCTTAGGATTTAGCATCCTCGAATATAGAAAACTCAGCACACATTAATTGTTCAAGGGCTAAATCAGCCATATCGTTATTCGAATGAGACAAACCAAAGATGACCAAATCACAGCACAAAGATTGCAATTCAAAACCCAAAACTGTTAACCTGCCTTATGTAAGCTGCTTAACCAGTCCCCTGTATGTGACTAACCACCAATCACCAACAGCAAAACACTAAACTACTCAGAAATCCATTTATGCAGGTAAAGATCCACCAACAAGACAGTTAAATACTAACCAACCACGTACATATAGGCCAATCAGCCCAAGGTAGGTCATTCACCACCGATCAGTCACATGGCAACAGTTCAAATTAAGAAGCCAGTCAGTTACTGACCTGTCCACAGGATCACCATAAACAATGAAAGTGAAACGAGGTAAACTAACTATCACCCAAAAACACGTAACCACCCACACATAAACAGCATGTGTACCATTACTAAAATTGTTGTTTGGTATCTTCGGCAATGTTTTCATCCAAACAGAATTTTTAATCAATTTTTTTTCCAGATATACTTTCAAGAATTAGTGATGCCATTGTCTTGACAGCACTAACAGCTAATAAATTCATACAACGTGAATTTCCACAGCCACCTTAAAGATGGGAATATTTGTTGGTTGAACTACTGGGAGCCTTTGAATGTGTGCCCTCAATCACCACACCACCCGCTGCATGGACTGATCCTGATGACTTCACTCTCATCTCAACTCAGCGGTAAGCAAAGCAGGCAGCATGCAGACAGCCCTGACTCTTCAAGGAGATGCTAGGGACTGTAAAAACCAACTATCTATATTGTTTGCAGAAAACACTGTGTAGCAGAACATACAGTACGTATGCACATCTGCATTTATACATACACACACACACACACACACACACAATCCCTCTGTATAAACGTCACATGTTAGAGAAAACCAAAGAAACATAGCTATTTAATTTATTTTTTATTTTTTATAGCTATTTACAAGGTTGCCATGGTTATTTTAGGCAATGTTGCACTGCGCATGGCAGATACCGGAAGATTCTAGAATCATCATTCTTTATATCGTACCCCTAAAACAGCGGCCTTAGGGGTACGAATCACCCAATTCATTTCTGTCAAATTCATTTTAAAAATGTTATATTTTTATTTTATTGTCGTGGCAATATTTTATAAGTCCATATGAAGGAATGTGCTCTGTGTATTTAGGAACACATTTTAACCACCTCAGTGACAGTAAGATGGGCCTGTTTTATATTGCTTTTCAATAAGCTAAAGAGAAATCAGGAGGTCATACACTACAAGGCGCCTTAAGGGAGGCGGCAGGAAAACAGCTCTGCACAACGTAAAGGACTTAATTGAAAGGCAATATAAAAGCAGAGAGAATGCCCTACAGGACATGTATAGAGCGGCGAGCCGACTACAGCAAGCATTCTGCAATGTTACAGATGCTACTTTCCTACACTTCACCGTTGCCATGGACACAAATGGTATAATTGTAAATCATACTCTACATGTAATTCCTCCTGTAAGATTAGAAATCTAGCTGTGCTTTGAAAGGTGATAGCTGCAATTAACAAATTGCTCTGATTAGCCAGTAGTCAATTTAGGTACCTGCACAGTAAGCAGGATAGTTAATTTGATGGTGATTAATGCTATTTCACTAGCTAATGACTGTACCTGTTCCCAAATCTCTCTATAAATATAGCCCAGATTTGGCAGCAGGTGTTCATGTGACACCGAATGCAGCAGAGAAGCTGTTGTAGTACTCCTGAGCCCTTCATCTAAGGGACTAATGTCTAACATTTGTTTAAAAGACGGATGCAGTAACAACTGCTTAGTAATAATACTAAATGTCATGTAGGCACTGGAAAGTGTCCTCAAGCCACTATAATTCAAATTGGCTCTATAAAAAATTATTAGGGTTATAGAAAGAAAAACTTGTTTGCATCCGTATAAAAACACCTACTGCTGCTGGCCTTGCCCTTCTAGTTAAGAAATATCTACCCTAAAAGCATCTGTAGGTCTCCCTGTGCGGATTTTTGGATGTTTGATATTTGAAGGAATACCCGAATCATAGATTTGCTTATCATAAACAGGAACAACTGCTGCAAGGAGTATTTAATGAAAGAGCCACTACCAATTACAACATCTAAGGGAATCTTCTGCTTCTGAAACTGCAGAGGCTTGTTGAGAGCCCTTTTCAGGGGAGGCCCTTGGGCTTCAGCCTGGGAGAGCCTGTGCACTGAAGCCCCCCTGCATAGTATGCCATATAACAATATTTGCTATATGTACAGACGCTCCACTACTTACGAACTTTTTTTAACTTACGTTATGTCTTCAACTTTCAGACATACGAACGAAAAGGACTGTAAGTCCAAATTGTGTTCATTGGGCTCCCATTTCCTGTCCACAACATCAACTGTGTGCCAATTCCGCCTGATACGACTTCTGCCCGCTACTCCCGCCGTGCAGCAGCATAGCGTGTGTACTCCTAGCATCCTAGTTCTTTGTACTTGCGTATACCCTTAAAATGACGTTTAATAACGACTTACGAACATTTCAAGTTACGAACGGCCGTTCGTAACGTATCTCATTCGTAAGTATGTATTATTTGCTCATTATATCATACCATTATGTAAGAGATGCGGTATTTGACTAAATGACCATTTTAGAGCCACAGATCCACTGAAACCACCTGTGTCTGCACAGCGAGAGGGACACCTGGAAACTCACTCGAACAGAGATCCTGCAAATTCCACCCACAGTCGGGGGCGGTCAAGCATCAAAGGTGACGGAAAACGTGGCTTTAAGTGCGACGTCAATGTGAAAACAAACTGCTGTGTCATCGATTTGGTTGGCAACTCTAGGTGTTAACACCCAGGTAGAGGAATAATTTATCCAAGTCAAAAAACATACTTGTGTAACCAAGGTCAGAAATACACATCAGCAAACATAAACTGAAACTGTTGAAGCTGATTTAAAAGAAGTAGCTTATAATTATTATAGTTACATCATAATAATTATACAGACTTTGGGGGCCCTGAAGAAGGAACTCCACTTGAATACCATAGGAACTCCACTGGAATACCAGCGGGGCTCCACTGGAATACCACAGGAACTCCATTGGAATACTATAGGAACTCCACTGGAATAGCAGTGGAACTGGAACACCAGCAAAACACCTGCAAATTATCTGCTGAAATGACAACACTGAACAATGCAGATAACTCCTGTATAATAATTTCACTTTGCTACTCTTATTTTCAAACCAAAATTTCCTTCTCATTTTCCAGAACCTTACAAAACTGAAAAGCTCATACAGTTTTTAGCTTATCTAATTAAATGAATACCTAGCTTATGCGTGGCCTTTGTATTTACCTGCATTGCACTTTTTGGCCTTCACATGATTCATTTATTTTAACTGGTGTACTTATATCATTAGTAACACACCACATTTGATCCTTTCCCAGTCACTCGGGAAGGTTTGCTATAGCAAGACAAATCAATTGATAGCACAAAACACAAAATCGAGAAATATACTGTACACAAGATACCCACTGACCTCATCAAACCTTGCTTCTTCTTCACAGTTTTCCAAAACCCGGGTGTAAAATGAAAGCCCTGTTGGGATGATGCTGAGAGTCAGATTAAACAGGACACCATTAAGCGGGAGCAGCTGCAGTGCCAGCAGACGGCATGTGAGAATCACATCTGCAGGTACTTGAGGGGCATTATGAAGAGATGACATTAGAAGGGTTTAAGCACCATAATCAGTGGCAATCAGTGAATAAAGGTTATTTATTAGGCTCATTGCTGTTGGTGTTGTTCGTATTATTGATATTATTATTCAACAAACTGCCTCTCACCGGCTTCCTATTAATCATCGCTGATACATGGAAATGCATATTTCAAAAGGCAGGCTGTCTGGCTTATTGCATTTGGGTTACACTATATTATTGTGTTAGTATTCCGTAGCCTCTCTGAAGTGTTGAGAGGAATAATAAAAAGTTGCCACTGTGACTATAATAATAATAATTAATAATAATGTCTGCTATTATTACCGTTAGTAATGTTTAATAATGTTATTACAGTTTAATGTTGTTGTTATTTCCAGGTCATGCAATGCTCCTCTTTTGCGGGTGTCTTTTTTTCCTCATCCCTGCACCTGTACCTTTGGAAAGATCCTCAGGAACGTTCTAAATGAGCAGAGGCAGTTGCTTGCGGTGATAACACACATCGCGGTAAAGCTTTAGCAAAGATCCGAGGGAATCCTTATCTCTCACTGCTGCTGGCTGCTGTAATGATCTCGGTAAGACTGTGGCAAGGCATAAACCTCCTGATACAGCTGGTAGAATCGGTGGCGGAAACTGACAGAGATAAAGTTTATTAAAAAAAACACACTACAACATTATAATTCACTTTATATAAAACACAGCTGCAAAATGAGAAAAAAAACTGATAAAACACGTACGGAAGTGCCAAAGCAAAAGTGTTGGAAACAAAATGAAATACAAGTAATTTGAATTTTGTTTAATCATTGTTATCCCTTTAGGAGTTGTGTTTTAATAGTACTTGACCTTATATATAGTCAGTGACCAGAGAATAGGCTGTTACTTTAAATTTGATGCTCTGCTACAATCAAGTGTTCAGACAAAGACAGGAGGAAATAAATGCATGATCCTGAAGCTTACTGTAGCCAAGGCAACTTTGATCAAAAATTAATCAGTGATTCCTAATTACACTTAAAACTGGGAAACATAAGTGGCAGTTCTGATAATAGTTCAATGAAGTTTGCATTTTATACAGTTCCGTTGCATGTTCTTTTTGAAGATTACAAAATGTGCTAAACATTTCACTTGTAGCTAAAAGTTATGAAAAACGTAAAGAGAATGACAGACAGCATGCCGATTATGGAACAATGTCATGATGATGGGAGGAGTCTATGATCTGAAATAATAGGAGTAGCCTTGTTTGTCATAACGACGCAGAATTTTAGATTAAATTTTTGCTAAAATGGCAGATGTTTAAATGCTGATGGTCGTGGTTATATGTTTGTACGACTTGCTCCGTGAAGGACAGCAAACAAAACCACATGACACAAGGATGGGAGGAAGGAATCGGGACTTTATTTGGGAATGGAAGTGCAGAACGGAGCGGGTTTAACAACTGCAGCGCGGAGGAACCAAAACAAAAACCTGCCATTAGTGCTATCAGCGCGACGGGAAACAGCCGGGCGACGGAAAGGGGGCTGCATGGAACTCTAGGTGCATTTTCTGGAACAATGTGCATGTACCTAATACTGCAGGGGCAGAAATAACATTTCAGTTCTTTAAATTGTTGATCAAAAAGAATTCACAATTTAACGCACAAGCTTGGCTGTACCAAAAGAACAAAGAGAGCCAACTTCTATAAAACATCTAAGCATTGCATATTTCTTCAGGTTTCTTTCAACATTTTAATATCAAGGTGAATATGTCATTACTGACCCTTTAATAAACATATTACCCGATAATTAGTAACGGGGCGTTACTGGGTTATTGGAGTGGCTGCTGGTTATCGCCACATCAGCATATACTTGAAGGGGCTAGTAAGTTTACACCCAAATTCAATTTAATATGAAAATGTGCAATATCGTCTCTACAGTCTAGGCAGATAGTCGCTTCAATTTTCCGTCAAACCAAAAGGGCTATTAGAATAGCTCTACCCTCCAACAACCCCCCCCCCAAAAAAAAGAAACACACTCCCAATAGCAATTTTATTGGAATAATTTACGAAATACTTTATTTAACCTCTTGTCGGAAACATTAGGGACGACATGTATCCCATAGTGTAAACATAACATTACTAATCATAAATAAGATCGATTAGTAACATCTAATTGGATACGATCGTTAATATAAAGGTTATTACTTCTGGCTATTTCCTCAGCTATAGGGCCGCCCGGTTGTAAAGTGCACATATTGGGGTTTGAATTCTAAATATTGCTGCAAGTGCGGATGAATGAAACTATAGGGATTCCCAGAGCTATCCTGCTTCAGCAGGGATGATCTCCTCTAGGATGACTATATTTTCAAGAATTCACTCGTTTCTTAATCACAGCGGCTACCTTTCCTTAACACCCAGGCTCCTTAGTATTAGAAATAAGACGTTTTCTAATCATTTTTGCAATCAAATACTTCCTAAAACAATCCATGTCGTAGGTGGTGTGAGCAGCACCTGAACTTTAAGATGAAGTCTCTAGGTGTGAATTACGCAATGCATTGAATATATCTAATCTCCATATTTTAAAAATTTTCTCGCAATTTTATTGAATGTATAAGTATGAAACATATCTATGCACGCATATTAATGTTAAAGATAACGTCGCTTCACAACCAAAGCTGAGGAAAAGACAGTATATAGTGTTTATGTAAAAATATGAATTAAATTATTCAAACTTCTGTCATCTTTGTACGGGTGTACACGTACCGCCGGCATACACACACATATTCTGTCTTTCAGAGGCTATGCTGCAGGTGCTGTCAGTTTAGACAGCCAACTTTCTAGTGTTTCTAGTGAGAAACAGCACGAAGCAACGCCGAAGTCACAAAGCTGCTGTATTCAGCGGCCAGTGTACGCTGTGCCCCTTATAATTAAGAGAAATAGCAAATTAAAAAATGCATTTAAAAAGAACTTTCCGCGGATAAATAATACTTAATTGAAGATAATGATGATGGTGATGATGACGATTATAATAAATGAAAGATAACCTGGTACCTCGAAATGACACTTTGGCGATCCTGTCTGCCTTCCCCCGAAGGTCTGTAACAGTTTTTAGGTGGACAACCAGAGCCATAGTTCTGTACTTGATGTGAATTTAGCACCAGTTTTTCGTGCGGAAAAAAAAATCGCAAAACGTTTCTGAAATTATTTAAAATGGTTAAGTTTCAGAATTTCCGTTCATAATTCCTGGTAAAAATATATACATATATCCTTATGAAACAGCTTCCGCATTATCGGGTAACGGAGAAAAAGCTGAATTATTGAACAGGCTGCATTTATTGCGCTGTTTGTTGCGCAGCTTGGCTTTCACGCACTCTGCTCTCGGGCTCTTCCTCCCTTTCAGCACCAGTACAGAGTGTAACGCTCGGGAATTATAGTAATTTGGGCCAACAGGGGGCGTGAGTACGAAACAAAACCGCGAACGTAATTATGATTATTTATATTTTTAAAATCGTAGAGAAATAAATATGCAATTAATGCATGTTCGAATCACGGTCTTTTCTGATGCCATTACTAATAATGACATAGGTCTATTAATCTGCTTAAATCATCATTGCTATAAAATCAACGAGATCAAGTTTCATATCATTACGTATCTTCAAGTTAATTTATAAGAGTGCATTTGGCTAAAATATCTTATATCTGCAACTGCTGTTGCTTGGCAACAATTTGTTTTATCTTGATTGTTTTCTGACGTTACCTGTTTACCCTTTTTCTTGTAACATATCCTTAGGATATACACAATTAATGATCTTAATTAAATGTTAAAATCCTGAAAGAATGCGTCCGGTCTACAAACCATTGTTATTAAAAAGAAATGCCGTACAAAAGGAAAGGAGCCCTGATTATTGATGACTGGGCGTATTAAATGCCTGCTGCTGTCAGATGGCCGGGAAAAGGCACCCGGGTTCGTCTATTAACGCACATTATCCCACGTAATTATCGAGTCATTTGGAAATCTGGGTAAAATTAAACAGGTTATGTCAATTAAATGTTAGTATATATTTATTTGTTACAATTTAACGTTTTATAGCAATCTCAAACGATAAGTTTCTTGCTATTTTTCTTGTGTTGTTGGATCTTAGCGTAAAACAGTGGTAACACTTTACTTGAAGGGGCACAAATGATGTGGAGACCGGTGATAGTTGTAACGTAAACTGTACCTCGAAGCTCTTTTAATGAATCGCATTCAAACTACCTGCATATGTCTTATATGAAACGGCACAGGTTTTTATCTCTGTATCACAAACAGACCAAGAATGGTTTAGCCTCAACCATACGGAGTGAAATGTTACAATTTACCCCATAGTCAGGGATAGTTGTAACACAGCCCTGGGTTAAATGTAACATTATAAACGATGTCAAAAAAATTCAAGTCATTCAACGATTTATTTATTTATTTGATCAACATCAGGGATGTCATTAGGCCAGTGTGTGTGTGTGTGTGTGTGCGTGTGTGTGTGTGTGTCACCATCAGAATCACCATGATGACATTTGTATTGAACTCCTGCTGGCCTACATGCAGACTATGCATTTCACCCAATTTTCCCTTCACTTCCATAAACACAATGCTGAAGTTTCCTGGCTTGATAAGTGTCCTAATGGTCAGTTGGACAAATATCATTACAACTATCCCAGACTGTGATAATCATGAACGAGGTTAGCTTGCAGCTAAGAACAACAATATTAACACTTACAACTTGTATAAGATAATTATACAGGCACATAATAAAAATGATTTGTTTGAATAATGTAAGTACAAAGCTTGCAGTTCTACCACAAAAATAAATGAATTAAAAAATTACTTGCTCACCTCAAATTCCTTCTTTACTTACAAATCTGATTGTTTGTTACAGAGTACTCCTTCACATTTAAAATAAAGCCTTAACTGAGCATATACAGTGTGAGTTATGTCGTTCTTGATTTGAGAAATAGACTAATAGACTTTGTTACAAATACCCCATATTACAATCATCCCTGGTCTCCCCTATTATGCTATTACTTATGTATTAATTAACCACAAACTAAGCCTGATACTGATCTCATGTTTCTTCGTCATTAATGAATCGTTACACATCTTTTATCCCAAGCAGTCGCTGTATTTATTACTACATCTTTGTGAATTACTGAAATAACAACCAAGGAACTATTGAAGGAACAAGTTATGAATTACACAAGTGAAACACTGATCTCATCTGTCTGCTCATCATTAATCATGATGCATATTTTATTTCAAGTAGCTACTATATTTGTTCATAATTTGTACTTCAGGTACAAAGTTATCAGTTACTGATAAGTATTTTTGCCCCCTCAAGTAAAGTGTGTTGACCCCGTGGCTTTTAAGATGAGCTGTGATAAATCTATATATCTTCTACATGCTTGTCCTACTAAGGGTATTTGAGATCAGTAAGAAAATAAAATGATTTATTAATTGTCTCCCCAAATGAAGAATTCTTGGTGGCACTTAACCGTAAGTGTTTTGTTGCATACGTCGTCGAATTCGTTCATAATTAAAAACACCTAACTAGAGTTATGAGATTTAGGACAATTCTTCTCCATGGATCGACAGTTTTTTTAATGGACCATTTAAATCACCCTAAAGCTACTGAAATCTTTTGCCTATGGCTATTTATTTATTTACTTATTAATTTTGCCTTTTGTTTGTTTCTGTGTATTGTGACATCGCAGGGCTGGCTGGCAGGACAGATTATGCACTGTACCAGCATGCCTTGCACCTCATCCCGCGTATCTGTAAATAGCATAAATGAGTATGTGCTTTTGTGTTGTTAATAGTGATTGCCGTAAATATTTAGAGACCAATGGTCATTGTTGACACACCACAGTGAGATGTGTCCTCTGCATTTAACCCATACGTGACATAGCAGGGGGGGGGCAGCTAATTCAGCAACCAGGGAGCAGTGCTTGGGGGTAGTGCCTTTCTCAGGGGACCTCAGTGGTGCTTTGCTAGTTGGGGATTCAAACCTGCAATCTTTCCATTACAAATGCGCTTCCCTAACCATCAAGCCACCACTGCACACAGTATTCAATGCTTAGTGTGAAACGTGTGTGGTTTTAGTTCGCACCTATTAGTGCATTTGTCAGGTAAATTGTTGACTTCTGTGTCTGTACAGCTGCCAAGACAGACAGTGTTGAGTGGAAATAAAGAACAATTCTTTCATTCTAAACAAATGATACTCTTTCTTATTTAAATTGTGCCATACTGGTGCCAGTTTGCCAAATTGTCAAAGGAATCAGATACAGATCCATCCACACATTTCAGAGCAGCACAGGAGGACAGAAGAGGCTGACTCAAAGTAGAACTCTGGGAATCTAGCATTGTGTTTTCTCTTGGCAATTTAACGGCGTCAGCATGCGGCTCTACTAATGTCAGACACATGGAGTCGCATCTCCAATGCGAAAGGTGGTTAATTTGAAAGAGGCGGATGGCAGAACAAAGAGCCCAGTGAAGCTCGCCTAGTACAGCGTAGAGGGGCCCCCGGAACCCTACCTCGCCCGAGGGCACCTGCTGGTTTCCCTTAGGAAACCACAGTTCATCATGCACTGGCACTGCCAGGGGATGCCCTCCAAGCCCTGGTAAGCAGCAGGATTTCGCTGCTCAGGTTGCCGCCCTGGAAGAGACCATGAGGGAGAAGCTGGCAAATCGGCAAATACAAGGGAGTGACGCTTTGGGTGCGTTCGCCACCGACCTCTGCGGGAGGACAAGGCTGCACAGGATACTGAGAGAACATAAGTTGCATGACGATCAACAATACTTGTGTCGTAGTAACGCCAAGGGAATATTTTAAAGCCGCTTCTTCAGGTGTAAGTGCACTCCGTTCTTCGGGGGTGTGACACTTTGATTTGTATTGATCCATCTATCCATTGATTCATCCATCTTAAAACCATATACCCAACCATCCATCCATTTTCTGAAGCCACTTATCCTATTCAGAGTTGTGGGGGGGTCTGGAGTCTATCCCGGAAGCAGCGGGTGCAAGGCAGGGAACAGGATGGAGCGCTACTGAAATGTTTTTAATATAAATGAACTGACAAATTGTATTTTCTGCTGCTCTGGGGGGTGGAGGGGGGTGGAAGGGTGGAGGGCTCAGCAGGATCTCCACTTGGCTGCCAGGCCCTGCCCTGATTCCAGGATTCATCCTTTCCTAACCCAGCCAGCACATATAGCATTGCTGAAATGCTGGTTCTCCTTCACATGTCTGCCTGCTCGGGATTCCCTTGCCACCCCATGTCTCAGAGACAGAGGGGGGGGGGGCACATGGAGGTCTGCTGCTCTGCCAGTTTAGCGCAGTGAAGGGAGGCCTGGAAGGCAGCGGAAAGAGAATCGTCCCTGCAGAGATGGAGCAATATGGTATACTGACAGCATGACAGAATGGATAAAAATTGCCCACACACCTTTGTTTGTGATTCTGAAATATTATAAAATGTAAGTGATTACATTTTTTCTGTATTTCCATTCATTTTTCAACTGCTTATACAGTACAGTACAGTCACAGAGGACCTGGAACCCAGTATAGCATGCAATGTTTGGGTACACCCTGGATGGGATGCCAGTCCATTGCTCACAAACAATGGGCGATTTACAGACACTAATTTGCCTTATTTCATTGAACTGCTGGAGAAAACCCCTGCAATCTGAAAGATAGCAATCCCATCCATGACATCCCCAACCCCTACCCACCCCTAACCCTAACCATAAGCAACCAAACTAAATACAAATATAATCCTGTTTTGCGCTCATGAATAGAGCGTGATTAGAGGATCAGCACCTTCAAGTGTGAGGTCATGGTTCTCAGCCGGAAAAGGGTGGATTGACCACTCCAGGTTGGGAATGAGTTATTGCCTCAAGTGGAGGAGTTCAAGTATCCTGATCAACAGGCGAATCAAGCATTAGCAGTTATGCAGACATTGTATCAGTCATGGTGATGACAGAGCAGAGCCAAGAGGCAAAGCTGTCAATTTGCTGGTCAATCATCTTAGGTCACGAGCTTTGATTAGTGACCGAAAGAAAGAAAACATGGATACAAGTGGCAGAAGTGAGCTTCTTTCTGAGCTCAGCCTTAGAGATAGGGGGAGGAGCCCAGACCTTCAGGTATCTATGAAGGATGCCTCCAGGGCTCCCTGGGGAGGTGTTTCTGGCAGTCCAACCAGGAGGAGGCCCCTCAGTATCTCTTCTTGTGTCTTATAATCTCATTTCAATTAGTATAGTACTAACCAGTCCCATTGAAACTGATAGTAATTGATTCTCTGATTAAAGAGGTTTTACCTTACGAGCTGATTTCCTGGAACACATTAGACTTGTAAGAAAA